GGTCCCTGCATTTGCAATTAAAAACTGGAATTAGCACTTGCAATAAGAAACAACCTTCCTGGCTCTAGCAGGCTTTTTTTCTCCTTCTTCCTTAGTGTTTGTAATTGTGGCTGAATGGTTTTTAATTGTGATTGCATGTTTTTCAAAAGCAAAAACAAAGCAAACCTTTACCAAATCAAAAACTTTACCTTGTTCAAAAAAGCTGTTTTCTTTATTGAAATCTTTTTAAAAAATTGCAAAAAACAGGTCCACAAAGGGTACCTACCCCCTTGCAGGCGCTTGCATTTGCAATTAAAAATTGGAATTAGCACTTGCAATAAGAAACAACCTTCCTGGCTCTAGCAGGTTTTTTTCCCTTCTTCCTTAGTGTTTGTAATTGTGGCTGAATGGTTTTTAATTGTGATTGCATGTTTTTTCAAAAGCAAAAGCAAAGCAAACCTTTACCAAATCAAACACTTTACCCCTGCTGTGTCCTCTCAGGCTCTGTCCTCCCCCAGCCTCCCCCAGATTCTTCAGAAGATTTTGCACCAGAATCAGCTGCTACCAACTGCTGGCTACCAGAATGGCATACTTCAGCTTACTCCCCAGGGCTATCAGAATGAGGTACTTCAGCAACTTCATCAGAACCCATGGCAAAATGCCACAGGATGAAACAATTCAGATCTAACCATTGATTGCAAAATGCTGCAGAAAACCATAGACCATAGAATCCATTGATAGCAGAATCCAATGAGAAGAACTTCAAATTTAATCAACTGATCATTCAGAAACTTCAGAATCCAATGAGAGCCTTTTCAATTTGCAGCACCCTTTAAAAAAGATAAGGCACCATGAATCAGAAACCAATCAGAATCTCAATCCAGAACCTTTGAAACATGAACCAGCCAACATGAACCAGAAATCATGCAGAAACTATCAGAAGCTTTGTCACCAGACACTTCAAATATATTTCAAAAAACAGAAACTTCCAAGACATTTCAAAAAACAGAGCCATACTTCAGAAGATGCACCCACATGCATCAGATTTTTGCCACCAGGGCTGCTTGCCAGATAGTTGGTGGCTGGCTTCCAGCATCCAGCATCGATCAGAGGCCATCAAGGCCAACAAAAGAGAAAATGACTTCTCAGCAGATTAAAACAAATTCATATCATATCCTATCATGTTCAGATAATAATTATCAGATTCAAATATTAACTATTCACTCACCAGAAGTCATGCAGAACCAGATCTACTCAGAAGCCATGCAGAAACTTGCCAGAGACTCCTCAATTGTTGTTCCAGAGTTCTCAGAGCAGAGTTGCAAAATTGCAAGGCCAGATCTCACAGAGGCCATGGATCACAGCCAGGTGCTGCAGCAGAATCGATCCTGCAATCAGCCAACATGAATCAGAAACCAATGAAAATCAAATGCAGGACCTTTCAAAAATTAATCAGCCAATATGAATCAGAAACCAATGGGAATCTATGCAGAACCTTTCAAACATGAATCACCCAACATGAATCAGAAACTATGCACAAACAATCAGAACCTTTCCCCCCAAACATGCAGACAACTAAAGAAAACCAAGGCTCCAGTACCAGACCAGCAGAGCAGCACCAGCAGATCACCAGATGCTCACATCATGGCCTCCCTCCTCCTCTTCATCACAGCCTTGGCTTCTGCACTCAGAGGAGGTGGCTTCAGAAACTCCAGAGGCCAAACCACCTGCAGGGAAGCAATGAAAAAAAAGCACACAAAAAAACAGAACATTGCAGCCAATGAATAGACCCAGGCCTGGGCAACCAGCTGATCAGAATCTTTGCCATTAGATTCAGCGAGCTCCAGAACATAGACAAATTGCTGCTGACACTCAGAGAAGCCTGGAATGAGGGCATTAGAGATTACAAAAACAAACCAAAACAAATGGCAAACAAAAAGAAAAGACTAGAAAAAAAAAACATGCAATCAGCTGATCAAGTCACAGCTTTTGACCCAGAGAGCCCAGAGTTCAAAGCCTTCAGGCAGAGTGCAATCAGCTGGAGACATAGTGATCTCAGAAGCGCAGAAGCAAGGAATCCTCAGAAGCATGAAGCTCCAAACCAGAACAGTAAACAGAATAAACAAATACATATATATATATGCTAAACATATTATATATAGCTATATATATATATTACATGCTAAATATATTAATTACTATAAATATACTAAATAATTGTGTATATATATATAACCACTATATATACACTATATATATATATATATAACCACTATATATATATACTATATATATACTATATATATATATATACTATATACTAAATATACTATATACTAAATATAATGCTTAAAAGCCAGCCAAGAAACTCATTCCAGACCAGCACCAGATTTCTGCGCACAGCAGCCACATTCAGAGAACTCATGCCAGCATCGATGGACTGGTACAGCAGCTCACAGGCACTGGACAGCCAGGCCAGTAGGCAGATCCATTTCCAGAGGCAAGGAGGTCCACCACTGCCCAGATACTGCTCCATCCTAAGCAGGTTCAAGAATTAAAAAAACAGAACCAGCAAAGAAGAAAAAAAACAAAAGTAAACCACAAACACATACAAACATGGAAAAAAATCAAACAGAAAACAAGTAACTCCCAGCGCACTCTGCCTTTCAGAACAGCATATGTGCACTGGCCAGAGCTGTGCACATAGCCCCTGCCATCTTTGGCAGCCCTGTAGGCAGAGATTTCCTGCTGCAGATTGTACAGAGACCTGGTGGCCACCCTGTCAGGATCATTCAGATGATCCAGAGGGCCAGGGCCAGCACCAGCACCAGTCTCAGCAGACATATCCATGGGCAGAGACATCGACATGATCAGAAGACCAGAAAGCGAGTGAGACAGAGACAAAGGAATGCCAGAGATCTAGGCCAGAATGCTGCAAATTCACAACAGAATCACATGAAGATGATCAGAAAAACTTGCAGAAAAACCATCTAGATTCCAATGAGGCACTTGCAGAAGACCATGCAGAATCCAATGGACAGCTTCAGAAAAATCAGCAGAATCCAGTGAACATCATCAGAATATATATATATATATAGTATATATAGTATATATATATAGTATATATATAATATATATATATATATTATAGTATATATACATGCAGATGCTGCACAGAATGCATCAGAATCCAATGAAACCCTTATCAGAAACCATCAGAACCTAATGCAATCAGAAGGCAATCAGACTCTCACAGACTTCCATTAGACTCTCAACTCTCAGATAAAACAGAATGCAACTACGCTGGGAAAAGCAGACTTTTCAGCTGCCAGAAAATCAGAACTAGCCAGCAGTAATGCTGGGTTCGATCAGAATGTCCAGCTTTACACCATGAGCCCTCAGATAATCACCATGCCACTTCAGCTCCTGCAGAATGCCACTCAGCAGAGTGATCACCACACACAGCAGTGCCAGCTGCAGAAACTCTCCCAGAGTCACCAAGCCATAGCCCACCAGCACATGTCCACCAAATGCCAGAAGCAGCAGCCAGATGTAGACAGAGATCTGGCAGCCCAGAGTGACCAGATCCAGGATGCAACCAAGGGCTGTGTCCCACAGATCAGGCAGCAATGGCATGGCCAGACTATCACAGAGCAGATCAAACTATCACAGAGCAGATCAGACTATCACAGCTACAGAAGCATCAGACCATTCATCAGAATCCATCCCAGGTACAGAAAATCCAATGAGAATCCCATCAGAGCCTATCAGAAAACAGAGGTTCTCAATCAGAATCCAATGAAGATCCAACCAAAGCCTATCAGAAAACAGAGGTTCTCAATCAGAATCCAATGAAGATCCCACCAAAGCCTATCAGAAAACAGAAGTTCTCAATCAGAATCCAGTGAAGATCCCACCAAAGCCTATCAGAAAACAGAGGTTCTCAATCAGAATCCAATGAAGATCCCATCAGAGCCCATCAGAAAAGAGAGGATTTGTCAAAACCTTACAGAAGCGAAGAGTTGGGATTTTCGATTTACTATTCCAAAGCAGACCCCCCCCCTAAAAAAAAAAATAGGGGGGGGGGACCCCCCTTTACTATTGTCGATGTAACATTACCCCTGGTGAACATCAAAATAGCTGGTAAGTGGATGTTCATCCCCCTAAAAATGGTATTAATAGGTATTGATCCATACCCAACTAGCTTGCAGCTTCTTTTGGGGCGAAATCAGCACACCGTCTGCACCAGGGGGGAGATTGGCCGCTGAACAGTCACTGCACCGATCCAAAAGGCCCGACGGCAAGCTTCCATGTCTGAACACAGTCACAGCACCCGTAGGTTCACCATGTAGCCACAAGTGATGGGATGTTGGTGACAGATATTGATGAATTGTTGGATGCAACATAGTGTTCCTCAAGTTCAGATCCATAACGTGAAAGAAATGAATACGAAATTGAGCGATTACATCTTCGAATATCGATTGATCGACATATGAGTCCCGGATCAAACCCGAACTGTTCGCACATGGCCCTGTGGCTAGTTTGTGGATTTAAGCCAACCAAGCTCAATGTCGGGATAACCATCTTGGCGTCTATCAAAGGTTGATAGATCGCAGCTGCAATGAAAGTGGGGTACAGTGCCATAAACGTGCTTTCACCATTTATAACCCACAAGACCTAGCTGTTGATACTGACTTCAAGGTTTCTCCGAATGACTATTGACACCATGAATCTGAAACATGTTCCCATTGCAAACATTGACCAGCGTCGCTGGCTTGGAGTATCTTGGACTATGTGCCATGGTCAATATGGGATGAAGGGGTGTCGTCCATCCCATGGTGGCAAAACTGAATCAATGGGTATATGAATCATTATGATATCATTATGATATCACCGTGATATCACTATGAATCATCATGATATCATTATGATATCACTATGAATCATTGTGAATCACTATGAATCCCTATATATAAATCCCTAAGAATCACTATTAATGATCATTCCCCAATATGGATACTTCAACTTTTGACCACGTCTGCTGCGCTGCTTGACTCCAACGACTCCTTCTCTCGAACTTTGTTGATCTTCTCCTCTAATGCGCATTCCTAACGGGAGCGCCGAGACATTGTTGCCACCAAAAAAACAATGATCAACAGTGCGTACATGGTCCACATATCTTTACACCCTGGGTCATTTTTGGGGTAAATGTTCAGTAAATATACATGAAGCAACTGGGATGTGCTCGATCCCGACGTCAAGGCGGAGACCATGACAAGGAATCAATACAACCCTGAATCGTACCGTCAACACCAAATTGGATCCTAGAGGGAATTGAGGCCAAGTTCATCTTGCGTTAGCTTGCAATTACCATGTGGGTAACACCCTGTAGGCCGCGGTTGTCATACCACATCAGCTGCAGTTGGAGAAGAGCCATACTCTCATGTCACAATGACACGTTAAAGGACAAATGGAAAATCAATTTAGTATCAGCTCCCATACTTTGCCCTTTTTGGATCTTTTTGGATCTTTTTGCTGGTTCAATGGAAGGAATACGTTCCAAGCACTTGGAGATCGATGCCATGCCATGCTTCGCCTGTCGGCTGTCGCTTCACCGAGATTCCCAGGCACAAAGCTTCACAGATCGAGCTCCCTGCAGGGTTTCGTTGATCAAAACCAAGCGTTCGTCTGCCACCTGGCCGGACATTTACGGTGCAATGACTTACCCTCTGGTAAACTAACATAACTATGGAAAATCACCATTTTTGATGGGAAAATCCACTATAAATGGTCATTTTCAATAGCTATGTTAGTTTACCGGAGGGTAAGTTTTTCTTTGGACAGCCGGGATGATGCGTTGAGTGAGATGATGCGTTGGGATCGGTGCTCCCCGAATCTTACCTGGCGACAAGTCAGTGAAATCCAACTATAATAGATGGAAACCTTACTGTATTACTAGATTTTGAAGACCCATCTTTTTCTTAGAGGAAAATCAACTACGGTTTTGAGAATTTTGTGAAGGTATGTTTGAACCCCGACTCACGGTCGTCAAGTCTGTAGGAATCATCCAATCATCGGCTACTCAGCTTGCGATACCTTTTCACATGTCTTTTGGCTATTTTCAGATTGCCACACAAATTTTACCACCGTCCGGTAAACCCAATCATACCATTCTTACAAAATTGGCATTGCACCAAATGGTTGATTGTCAAGTATGGTATACTTGGTATAATTGATTCTCTATCGGATAACTTAAGGATACTACTGTATCTCACATCACTTAGAACGTAAAATGAGGTCTGGCCAACTGTTGGCTGAAAAACATGTATCCATATTCCATTGTATTGCATAACCGTCTTGAATCATGATGTCAAATTTTAGTACACCAAAACCAAATTTGTAAATTGGCTCTGGTTTGTCATCATCAATGGCTTTCTCACCACTATCTGTGTATTATACATATATATATATATAAACAATTATACCATGTGTATATAATCTGATAATCTATCCATATACTTATATAAACTTATATAGCATTCCCCTCTCCCCAGTGGTCAAAAGAGGCTAGCGTATTGGGTCAAAAAGGTCCTATTTCATCCCCCTCTGGTCACCACCAGAGATGAGGCATTGGGCATCACATTTTTTTGAAGGCACCAATGACCACTCAGCAAGGTTTACTCTAACTAACATATTAATATATATATATAAATAATATGATAATATGTAAATCATTATATCTATATATATATACATATATATATATCTATACATACCGTATACCTATGCAAACAATTACACTTCCAAAATATGACATGGAAACCAAACATGGCCATATCTACGAGGAACATCATCTATCTAACTCCATGTTTTGGAACGTGGATTCCATGTTGAATTTAAGGAGTGTATATATGGTCAGAGGTCAAACTCGGGTGTATCTGAACATTTGGATGGTTTAGGACTCAGCATGAACCAAAACTCTTTGGATCTCATGGTGTTATTGTTTGAAACATACGTATCATACGATGCTTTATCCATCCAACAATTGACAATAAAAGCTGCTTGGTAGTCGTCAATTTCGGATCATCAAAAAAACACATTGCGGAAAAAAATGCAAAAAACATAACCAGCACATCTTGACACATTTTCTGCACGTCTATGCGAAAGCATACTGAGTCCCGAAACCCGGCATACCCATCCGGAGATCATCCAACCATTGCTAATCATAGTCATCATCATTACATACAATGTATATAGATAATTTTAGATATGTATATACATTCATATATATATAATATACAATTGTAAATTATAATCAATTATATACATACGTATACATAATAATCATAGCTAGTACAACAATCTACATATTTCATAACTACCTATACGTCATGGGTATTCAGCCAACCCGCCCATGATAGATGGCTCAGATTTGGCCGGTTATTGCGGCTGGTGGAAACCCGCCAAAGCCTATCCATTGGGAGTGAGGGGGGCGTTGGTTGAATCCAAATGAATACATTACATTACATCCCATTGATCATTTGGATAATGTTAGTGGTAATATGTAATATATGATGGATAATATGATGGATCAAATATATTCAAATATATTCAAAAATAATATATACCATAAACCATAGTTGACCTGTTTATTTCATATAGGTTTTCACGCTCTGGCAATCAAACATGGCAGTGGACAATTTCCCCCTTTTACGGATGATTTTCCCTTTTAAAGGGCCATTTGGTGTTGTAGAGATTTCCCAGCCCTCTGCCATGTTTGAGGCCACCTTGATTAGTATCACCCATCAATCTTGGTATATTTAGTAATTCACTTTCCTGAAATAAGGCCACTCTCTTCCCTTGCGCCAGCCGGACCCCCACTTCAAATAAGGCCATTTGGGGATGATTCCCCGAATCCTAACCATGAGTCATACATCCCTGCCATGTCACCTGAAGCTTCTCCTGCACCTTCTGTTTATATTTGGCCGCTGCACAGTTGCTCAAGACCACCAACAAAATGCAGGCAGCGAGCCCTGCGAAGAAGGCCCGGCCCAAAAAGAACGCTAAGATCGTGCCGGGCAGTAGCAAGTTGCCCGGAATGGCGGAGAAAATGCCTGAGGCAATGGGTTTTGCTGGGGAAAAAAGGCGGTTGAAACCATAGTTTTTACTACCCATGTAGAGGTTTCCTGTACGCTTTCCCTCAAAACTAGAAGTTTGAGTGTGTTTGAAGGGATGTAAGCCAAACAAATATGGGAAAACCGCAAACTTTTTAGTGGCTTACATGGCAATTGTCCCCGTCTTCTTTTTTGAGTGGCTATTTGAATGATATTCCCACACTTTAGGAGTTGAAGCAACGAAACATGGCTAGAATCTGAATGTTCCGGTTTTGGTTTGATGGTTTGCCAATCTCAATATGGGGATGGATAAGGACCTAGGATCTTGATGGATATTGTATGAATGGGGAGCACATGCTGCGTTATAATAGTAGAGATGTGGAGTCTAAATAGTCTAAACAACAACATGTAGCTAGATCAAGATATAGATAGCCATTGGGGACAGGTGTGTTTGATGGCAGGTTTACATCTGGGTAAGTTGGATGTTCCTTGACCTATGAGGACGTTTATCATCGAGATGGGATTTCCCAAGGAACTGCATTTCCAGGACAGTTGTTGTTTGGTGTTAAAGCCAGTCTGACCTGCCCGTTCACCATTTCATAGGTATCATGCCTATCATGCACTATGTTCTGCAATGTTCTGGATATTATTACTGAAACAAATGGAACATGTTTTATGCATGCCAAGTAGTAGAGACATCTGGGTACAATCGGTATTTACATGTATTTACTATCTTCCTAGTTTGTTTCTTGTTTTGTACTCCTGGGGTATCTAAGGCTATAGCTATGCGCAGGGGTCCATCCCACTCGGGGCTCATTTTCTATCCAAACTGTTGGCTGCACCGAGGGACATATCCTGTACTCATAGTGGGTCACATGTTAGTGACCCAGAAAAGTACTTGGTATCATATGCAAGGTTGGCACAATCCTTCGAAACCCAAGGACCAGTTTTTCAATGTTTTTCACGTCAGATTCCAAGGAATCTCGAATATGTTTGAAAACCCTGTTCTTCGGAGTTTATATCCTGATTTATGTTGATTTATGTTGATTTTCCTATATCATTTGAGAATCAATTCCAGTGTGCTACAAACTCGTCGGCACCAACAGGGACCATCAAGTCACATCACATCCTGAGTCCCTCGAGAAGGAGGGTGAGGATGCCTCCAACAGACTCAAAAAGGGGCATTTTTGACCTGAGCAAAATAGGGATTTAAAATGAAGGCGATTGGCCAAAACTTGAGCGGATAGTTTGGATGGTTTCGAGCCAATGATATCAAGAGACTGGCCTGAAAATGAATGTACTGTAAGCTGATAGAAGCAAACACTAACAACTGGCCTGAGGATTGTATTAGATTGTACTAGTCCAATTAAAAACCTGTTCAATACTCCGAAAGGGCCGGCCAGTCTTGGACCCAGTTCCGGGTTACATCAAGTCGAGATGCTGAGAAAAGGTGACATGTAGGGCCAAATGCTTGCATCTTGCCCAATCATCGAAACAATCTCACCCTCTGTCACTTTCGAAGCGGACGTATCCTGGATGCCAAGGAAGTCAGCCACAATGATTCGACCCGTGGAAGGATGAGTTTGTTCTGGCAACTTGTTCAGTACTCAAGGACCACATAATTTTCACACAGAATTTACCCAGCAACATGGATAAAACCCAAACCTTGTCATCTTCACTGATTACTATATGCCTCTTCCAAAGCCATTTATAGTGGGCACGTCCATAAGAGCTTTCAGTACCATATGGGTTTGTCTAAAGATAGGTACCCCAAATCCTCTTCTTAATCAGGTGTTTCCCATTGTTTCCCTATTCAAACAGATAATTCCAAGGTATATGTTACATCGCATTTTCAGACACACCCGTGTACGTTTCACATGGATCTTTAAACTCGAGGATCCAATGTGGTCAACTTTCTGAAGATGTTGCCCACCAAGCCAGCCCACGTCTGCCGTCCAAACAACGTGCAGGCGTGAAATCCATGTTGCTGCACCAAGCCTGCCGCGTTCGAAGATCATCTCAGGGTGCAATCGATCAATTTGGGCCATGCGATTGCCCGTACTACAATCATTGACACTCGTTGTTTCTGTTGGAACACACACACACACATACGTCGTATTCTATTGGCTACATTTGAGAATAATCGATTTAAATAGATTTGTAATAACTATCCCATTGATATGAAATAAATAGCTACATTTAAGAATATTCCATCATGATTGAATGATGCTGAATGTTGTATAACTTACCAGGCCAAGAACTCTGAGCCAAGAGACCGCCCAGCATGCCACTGAGAGGCAAAGCTGCCAACCAAATCATCGCTTCCGTATGATCTCCGGTGCGCAAGCATCCTCGACGCAGGTGAAACAATTTTGATTTGGACCAAAGGGATCCAAAGGCAAGGGTTTGTTATCGTGACATATCGTGACAACTGATGAAAAAAACATGAAACAACCCAAGTCCTATTGGGAAAATCATGATCCCGTTTTGTGGCCATCTTACCGGAAACAGATTGCAGAGACAATGGGAGTCCATCGGACGGTTGAGATCTTGCTGGCGTATTCAACAAATTTTAAAATATGATGAAGTCAACTGGGATTGTAGAATCACAGGTGCAAGTGCGGAAACAAATAAACGCACCAAACGTATTAAAATTAAAATCCAACAGTAGAGATCTGGATACCTTCTGGTGGTTTAACATAGCCTTATGGAACATAACCAATTATACTTTAGTAGGTAGATCAGTAGATCATCTATAAATATGCCATTTCTCTTAGCAATCAAGAAAAACAGAAGGGTAATAATTCTTCGACAACTCCCAAATCTGTTTTCAAGGCAATCAGTCTTGTGTTGCCCAAGGATCGAATCGTCTGCTGGAGAAGGAAGGGTGTCAGCACAAAGAGACATGAAAACAGAACCGCGCGCAAGGCTTCTTGCACGAAGAAACCCTGAATCAGGGGTGGAACAACCTGGAACATGTGGAACATGTGGATTAATAAGGATAGGCATCCTCATGTTTGGTGATATCTTGATATCCATCATTAAAAAAAAAACTGCCTATGAAGTCCATGCATTTCTTGGTCATTTCTCTCCGAAGCATTTTGTATGGTTCAAATCCTGATATTCGCTGGTAGCTATCCCAAATCATAGAACGCGTGGGATGCACAATCACAAGCCCTGTCCAAATTGTGGTTTACTATTGGGTGTAATGAGGAAAACCCGACAATATAGCATCCCCAATGAGGTTTACAAGGAGGAACACGCACATATGTAACATCTCCGATTAAGGTTTATTGGTCGGTATGCATCTATCTGGAACGATTTCTAACAGCCCCCCGAATGGTACCGCGATGATTTATGGCATTGGGTTTACCACATTGCTAAATTGACTTATTGGAGGACTTATTCCATTTACCCGACCCCCAAAAAATATAATGACAGTTTGTCTGAAGGCAGTGTACCCAGAAATAGTCATACAAACCCAGCAAAAAATGTGTTGTTGGTTTTCCAAATCTCCAATCGCGAAAAAAACATGGTGTCTTTTACAAACAGCAATTTCTGTTGGTTATATGAAACCACACTGGAAAATTTATAGTACCATCTGGTAATCAAATATGGCAATGGAAAAAAAAACATCTATATAGATGATTTCCCCATGCAAACCTCCATCTATTGGGGATTTCCATTGCCACGTTGATTGGAGGGCAATACCTGAAATCTTCGGCCCGTTTGGAATAGTTACCCCTGACATTCCAGTGACGTCGCCAATGTCAGGTCGTAACATAGTTCATCCGGATCATTATACCCATTCTATCATAATTATTAAAGGGATTTATAGTCCATATCCCATTATATACTCATTATACATTACTATATCCCAATTGTATCCCTGTAAATCCCTCTTGTCGTCGTTAAGACCGCCCAAATCCAGGAAAGTCACTAGGAATCCCAAATACCATCTGGTAAACTAACATAAATACGGAAATCATCATGTTGAAGTAAATCATCGAACAAAATGGGCCATGGCCTCCATAGCAAACTATTAGTTGTTACCAGAGGTTGAATTCCCTTATATCCTTATGATCATCTCAATTTTCAATATTTTCTCAATGACTATCAAAATGATATTCCTATGCAATAATATGTTGGCTGGTTTATATCCCATGGAACTCCTGTGTATGTGTATATATATATGGGTGTTGATCAAAATAAAGGTATCTGGGGCAGCTATAATCGCCGATCAACCGCGAATCAACCGCGATCCCAACGGTGTCAATCGCGGGAGGGTTCTGTCGTAGGTCAAAACATTGCTACATGTCACAGTATAGAGACATGGCGTAAGCCAGGGCCTACTCAGGCGGGTTTAGCTTTCGCGGAGCAATCGCGGATCAACTACCGCGAACCAATCGCGGATTTCACTTTCAAAAACATGAAATGATCTGGGTTGTTAGACTTTGAACTTTGTTGTTCTGATTCTTCTTTGCTATTGGCTATCACTATTGAACACAGTGTCTAAGCTTGATGGCCGTTTCCAGCTACAAACCTGAAAACAATGATTAATTAATTAAACATGTGTAAAACATGTGAAAACCATATAAAAAATGCAAAAAACATGTGAACAAAAAAGTGTTTCAAAAATGCAATTTTAAAAAAGTGAAAAACATGTGTTTCAAAAATGTGAAAACATGTGAAAAAACATGTAAAAAACAGCAGGAAATCACATTTTTAGACTCTAGGCAAACCCAAATACAGTATAAGGATGTATAAGGCTGAAATGCAATATAATTACTAGTATCATGCCATATAATATTGATTTCTCCTCTTACAATAGTCGATTCTTCTACAACAAATGTTTGTCTCAATCGCGAACCAATCGCCGATCAATCGCGATGCATGGTTTTATAATCGCGGATGCTGAAATACACATGCCCTTTCAATACATATATTACACAATTATATATATATATAGGTTTACCACAAAATCCATTGGTTCATCATCATGTTCCCTATAAAATTAGCTGTTTAGGGGTTTACCTTTCAACACTATATATATACATATTAACGTGAGTAAAGCAACAGTAAACCATCATTGTACCATGGTTGGTAGCCATGAACATATAGGTAATTTATTCTGGCTTTTCTAACATGTCATGTTACTTGATCCTCATCTCCAGCCTTCCACCAGCGCAACATGGCACGGTGCAGTGAGGGACTTTGCCCCGTCAGCTTGCACCGTTGCACCTGTCGGATGCTGCAGTGGACCTGGGTAAATATATGGGTTGTGGGTAAGGCAACTTCCAAGGGGGGTAGTAGTCCACTGATAGTCTTATAGGATTTTATGAAATTCGTGTGTGGCTATAAATGGAGGTAAGTAGGCGTAGCTCACTTGTAAGTTTGTAATCTATCAACTAAGCAGGATGGACCAACACATAGATCAAACAATTTTGGGACGTTCATGTCAAAACACGGGAGTGAAACTGATGTGTGTGTGTGTAACGTGTGTATTACATATACATCATGTGTCTTGATATGAAATACGGTACTTCATGATAAGTTTCGATTCAGGCCAGTTTGGGGAGGTTTCCACTTACTAGCGACCATGTACCGTTAGCTCGTAGCTCGTTGTGAGGTCGCTATGTTATACATCATACCCTCTGATTATTTAGCAGTTTACTACCGAAACCATGGCCCATTTATAGATGATTTGTGATGATTTACCTCTCAACAAATGTGATTTTCCAAAGTTATATACGTTGAATAAAGGGTATATGCCATATGCACCTTTCTGCAAATCATAGTAAGCATGCGACCCAGTATGGAGGCACACTCACCAGCCTCACTTAGCTGGCTATTTACCCTGCAGATCCCTCCCGTAGTTTCTGAAGGCTGGAAGAAACCGTTTCCAGACCATCTTTCATCACCATTAAATATCGCTGCAACGTTCCTGGACCTTTTTATCATTTAAGGCAGGTTTCACAAAACAAAAACACATGATCGTGGTGATGATGATGATGATGATGATGATGATCATTATGATCATTATGATCATGATGATGATCATGATCATGATGATCATGATGATTATGGTGATGGTGGTGTTGGTTCTGACGATGATTGTGGTTTCACGTCATGATCATGATTACGATTTTGACACATTTTGACATTGTGAAATATGTGCTTAAAGCATGATCATCAGTATGTTACTGCTATTATTCTGGTATTATATATATCATTCCGATATATTCTTGTCACCTTAATTCCCCCTTGTGCTCTTGGAATGATGCATGCCTTCGGAGATCTTCCAACTCTATGGTTGAACCAACAATGAACCAACAACACCATGAGTTTCACGGTGAAATAGCAATAACTACTAAAATGATAGGACAGTCACTAAGAATCTACATTTTTCTTTTAGTAGGATTTGCTGTTCTATCTTGTTGGGGCTTGTTATGAAGCATAGTCAATCGTTCATGACAATATCAATCGTGAAACAATAGTGACATTAGAGAAAGGTCAGCTAGAAGCTAGAGTTTTAAGGACAACACTGATTACATTCATCAACATTACCCGGATGTTCATGAATGTTTCTAGTCTCTCTCATTGTAAAACCAACAAAATGTCATCATTCTGTATCAGCGTACAACCGATGATTTTTCCTTGATCGTGAGTTTCAACTGAGAACAACATTTCTTTCTGTATATATATATATATGTATACAGTATATATATATATATGTAACTCTCCTTCTCTCTCTCTCTCTCCACATCTAAATCTATATTTCTATACTATATCTATATAATTATACCTATATATATATATATATATTGTAAATATTCATAGCATTAGGAATACAGACCACGCAACCTGTTTCAATCTGCTGTGGCAGCCCCAGCTCAATGGCATCTCGGGGTCGCCTAAGCTTTGATAACATTCCCGCAGCTATGAATGGCCCAAGCATGACAATGTGAAAAACCATGCTCACCATGTTCAGCTATACTGTTCACCAGGTGAATGACCACAAAGTGATGGTTGATTGTTAGCTAAGTTGGTTGATAATTAGCTTACCTGGAAAATGCGTGGTCGCAATACCTATAATTAGTTTCAGAGAGCGTATCCCCACCTCTTGCCCCGGCTGTGCCTCCGCTCGCAGATGCTCTGCCAATATCTCCACCGCGGGCCCACACGATTCTTTCGGGGGAAAAATCGGCAGAGACTCCAGCGAGAACGTACCGGCACGGATGTTCCTGGGCCACAGCCGCTACGGTAGGACTCGTGGTTCAAACGGCTTTTATGGGGATGACGATGGCGACCGAGGAGAATGTCGCATGCTCCTTTGGAATCATTTTAGCTCAATATACAGTAGTTTAGTTGTGTATCAGCTGTAATAATGTACCAACTTTTTGGGGTGCGGTGTGTTGAACATTCAATGTTCCCAATGTTCCTTGGCTCAGGACAAGGGAATTCCAGTACAACCTTCCGCAAATTGACATGGCATGACATATCCATACATATCCATGGCATGGGCAACCAACAATCTGGAGGTCCATGACTCCTGACATCAATTGTTTTAATCATTCTTGTGGTGGCTTGCTGGCAGGTGGTTGGTCCACGAGATATCCTGAATTCGAATGTGTAAAAGGACCGGACTCCTGACGCCATTTCCGGACCCCTCCTGACTTTGCTGGTCCTATACCCTTCAAGTAATTTAGAAAAACAACTATTAGTGAAAAACAACCATGGCTCGGAAAACCATCTACTTTTATTGGTGGGTTTTCCATATATATATATAATTATGTATATATATATATGTATATATGTAAATATTAACAAACATAACTAAATAGTAATTCTGCAGCAGGGTATCGCATTTAATTTTGACATCAAGTGAAGGGAGTTGCTAGGTACATCTTGGTACATCTTGGTACTATCGTCCGATCAAGATGGTCTGGTTGGATGTTCATCTCCCCATAGATGTTGTTTAAGCATGTTTAAGCTCCTATACAACTGTACATGTTATATATATATATACAGCTGTACATGTTCATCAGCTTTGTCTTTGTCTTCTCACTTCATTTTATATACTGTACATGTAATGTACATGTCGTGAATTCAACACCAGATGAGTGAAAAAATCGAAGATTCGTGCCCAACATGCCCAGTACAAGCGTGCCCGGGAGCCAAGATACCTGTAGCTTTGCTGCATGAAAGGCCAAACCTCGCAAATTTCAGGCTGGGATATCACAACGTAAATGTATATCCAGATTGTTGAACATTACGTTGATCTCCTTCCAATGTTGTAGTTACATAATGACATTTACCTTTTTTGGGTTTGTAAATCTATCAAGATTTGGGTCATGAATTATGGTAGACGTCCCAAGATTTTATAACATACAGTAAAATAAACGATATGCAATGGCTTGTGACCAACTGGGTTACAATCCCTCATTGCTCGGATATTTCATGGGAACCAGCTACGCACTGCCACCGGAACACGCTGGTTTTTGTTCTCGTTCGGACATGCTGGTGGTGATCATTCTCCCAAACACAGGGATAAGGCATATGTATATATATATATATTATATATATATATATATATTTATTTATTTGTGTGACATATTGATATATACTTGTAATTGTATACATGTATGTCTATATGTTAATTTCTCATCACACCTCAATCTTCCTGGTGTGTCGTTTTTCTGCAGCGCCTTAGCCAGATTTCTGCGCGTCGGAATGTCTCAAGAAAGATAATTTGCAAACCAATACTGTGATTCAGAAAGAGCAATCTGAACTCTGAACATCAATAAACTAACTGTTGGATTGAGAACATCACCAAAAACAAGTTCTGGAAACCAAACAACTGCGTCAACCCCTGGCAAACAAGCGTTTTCCGCTCTTCAAGCTGTCAAACTCTAGTGTCAACTATCGAAGTTCAGCCTGACTTTCTGAAGTTTGAAATGATGAATTGGCTTTGATTTTGTAGGCCGGCAAGGTGCGCATATAGTATCATCATAAATATGTATAATGTTGGATAATATACGTTATAGAAGAACATCATATTAGATGACAAAAACGCGATACAAATTAATTATAGAACAACATAGAACCAACAGCGAACATCATCAGAGTCCGAGAAACCCAAAGAAAAAAACACTTCTGCAGCCACCCAGACATTTCCTCAGCACTTGTCGTCATGGCTGGGGCGTAGCTTCCCAGCGATTTGCGTGGTCTGGAAGACGGCTGCGACCAATCCGATACTTGAAACTGTTGTGTTCCTGAAGCTACACATTGAGCAATTTGCTCCAAGTATGCAATGTTAGCTAACATTTACACCCCAAATGGCCCAAATGCAGGGACATGAATAAATATTATATATACATATATATCTACACCACACACATATATATATACATACGTCACACATATATATATATATATATACACCATATATCATATGGTCATGCAAACCAATACCCTCAATTTACCCATGACATTTATTCGAATTTGCTAGTTTACTCAGTTATACTCACACGCTTTACCAATGCGTATACGAACTGAACAAAAATTCCAAGTTATGCCAAGCATTTTTTCGCCGCACCGCACCGTCGCACCTAAGCCAAGAATGGCCGTACCGTTTGTGGATGGGAACCTTAAAATGTGGGTTGCTTACTGTATCTCCATCCCTTATCTGGTTGGTACTTCCATGCAGCTTTGGAATGTTAATCTTCAATAGATTAAAAAAGACATATCCCCAATAAATCCTACTACCCCCCCCCCAAAAAAAAAGTTCCAGTATATAAATCATCTATAAATTGGATTAAACTGGTAATTTTCCATAGCCATGTTAAATTACCAGATGGTATCTGGTTGTGGTTGAACCCTCCACGAACATGGAAAACCCCCTCCGTTTTGGCAATAAAACATATATGGCAATGGGAAAATCATCCATTTATAAATGATTTTCCCCGCTATAAGCGTACATTTATAGGAGATCTCGAAGGCCTCTCCCGAGACGAAGTGGGATAACCATTCCGGTGGTGACTCCTGCGGACAACGGTGGAACATAGCTATCACTTGCAAAAGGGGATGGAAACATAATATAAAAACCAATTGCTGGTGTATGTGTATATATAAGTATATATATATACACATGCATATATACAATATATATATATATACATAATATATATATGTATATATGAATGTAAATATATATATGTATATATGCATGTGTATATATATATGTATATGCATGTGTATATATATATATATGTTTTTTCATTCTCATGGGTCAAAGGTAGGTATAACATATTGTTCCATAAATGTTGATGGTCTATATCTTTTTTTACATCTGATGATAATCTGATGGTAATATTGAACTGTCTAGAGTAATGAGGAGTAAAGGTGACTACATGCAACCTTAATGGCGGTTTAATGGGTATATAATATAACCAACGATAAAGGTGATTTATATAATCATACAAAAAAGGGATATAATAGGTGTCTATACATTAACCTCCTGTCAATTGACATGGATATGCAAAACCCACCAGGAGCGTAGATGGTCTTTCTCCGGAGGAACCCTCTAAACGTGGATCAAACTTTGTTCTTCAAGGGCCGGCATCGCTTCATACCATGTTTTGATCCTTACAGCACATGTATGAACGCAATCATTCAAACAAAAAGCTTGACAAGGGAAATTCATATCTAAGGTGGAATAATCCCTTCCCCCACTAGCTACCACCCAAATGAAACCCTGATTTAGTATTAGACCTATTCATTAGGGGGGCCATGACTCATGTTAGATGGGAATCGTCGGGTAAGTTTTGGAGGTGTCATTGGATTTGTCCAACCTATGAGGCTCTGACCGGCTCTGACTCCGTGATTGATGCCCGGATTATCCGTTTGACCAAAAAACAAAACAACAGTAGACTAGAGTCTAGAGGTATTCAAGCAGCAACCACCGATGTACCATCAATGATCCTTTGGTGAAACTCAGTTGGTATGGTACACTGGGTGTTGAGCCCACATCCATGAGAGCATGTGCCAATTAGGATGAACTACATCATTCATCATTTACGGACAGAAACCCATGGATAAAGCCTATACACTGACAAAGTCCCTAAGTTCCAGCTACAGCCTATGTGGATCTACATGGCTGATGTCAAACACTCAAGGGAAACCGTTTTTGCGGAGGAGAGTATGTATGTTGATAGTTGACAAAAAATAATGGCCTGTCAAAGCCTGTCAACCTACCTTTCACCAAGGTTTACCTTACTAACTTAATCATCTGCAGTAACAACTCTGGAAACTGTCTCAGTAGTTCAGTAGTCTGAGTAGTAATACAAATCCCCATCATCAGATTGCAGGATTTCATGTTGCGCCGCTTTTCAGGTTCGCTTGGCCAGCGCAAAGCCCAAGACCTAGCTATGGATTTTGGTATGGGCTGGTGGGCCAACACCTTTTTGCTTGTCAAAAAATGATGGGGTATACAACTTCTTGGAGCAAAGACCCAGATATAATGACCACACATATCAAATTTCAAACCACGAAGTCACTAGACTCTGCCCAAATTGAGATGGAGCACATGTCATCACAACATATCTGGGACGACTCGGAGGCTTTGATTTTGGCTGACGGTAAGATTGACCGGGTATCAAACCCCCATCTCAGTAACTGATCTATAAGTGGTTGGTTTTCCACTCCCACGTTTGCTTCCCAGAGGGTCTCTGAAGAACTCATTAGGGCGATAACAAATAGATACAGTACAAATAGACTTTCAAAGAAACGCTTCACTTGAATGCTGTTGTCCAGTCAAATCGACGCAAAGAAACAACAACTGGGCAACATGGCTCACACATCGGAGTGTCCAAAAATGGGTTACCCCCGCCATTTCTGGCCACTGAAGACTAGGGAACCTGATTTTTTGAACCATTGGATCTGGGATTCCCGTTTTCCCAACATCTTCAGGTACCAAAGCCAGAACCAGTCATGCAATTCTGTGTCCGTGGGATTCAAGCAATTTCATTCACCATCCCCAATTCATCACCATGTTTATGGTTTGCCAACCATCCCCAGTTGCCTATGGCTTTCGCCAAGCAGCAACCCCCATTGAGACGCCAATGGCCGGAAGCCACAAGCTGGGGAGCTTGCGGCGAGAGCCAGCTCGTGGCAATGGAGCCTGCAGGAGCCAATTTTTTAGGAAGAAAGTCACGTAAATGTGGGTAAAACAATAAACCATCCCCCAGTCATCACCATAAATATATAGGTGGTATAAACTTACCATTCCCAGTCATGGGTGGTTTATGACATTGTTTTACCCACAGAAAAGAAAAGAAAACTATCCTATCCTGGTAACCGATCATTTCTGTTTCAAAAGTGTCTTTTCCCAACAATGTTCAATTCCATGATATTCCCATTGTTGTTGGTTTATAGCCTATAAACCACTATTAATAGTTCAGAAATAGTGGTTTACAATAGGCTATAATTCCATCATCCTAGTGGTTTATAGCCTATAAACCACTATTAAGATCACTATAAACCACGATTTTTGGATGGGATCACCATTCCCTCAGGGTCTCCCGCGCAGAATGGGAGTGAAACTCTCCCCAATTGAAGGTTTATGGTTTAACGTGCATGCCTAACCCAGAAACACATTAACATTAACCCTTATAAAAATGTATATCTATATATAAATAATGCACTGCATATATATATACACATAATAATCATATATACACATATAAACGTATATACACATGGTGTTTGATAACATTGTGGGGATCGGCGGTATCTCAGACGTTCAATGAGATACATACCATAATTCGAGTTGAAGCCAAGATCATCTTGAAGCCCCTCAAATCAGCCGTCCATTATAGTGCTCCCGCCGCCAATTTTGACTGGCAAATGTCCAGAGGAATCTTTCGCTATGACTTTGAAGAGGTTTGAGAGGAAAAAGGGCAGTGATGACTGTTCCATTTGTGTCAATATCACCATGCCACCCTAGTAATATTGTCTGAAACCATCTGAAGGGCATGTTTAAAATTCTCAAAATGGATCAAAGGGAAATCATGAGAATCTACCGACCCCTGAGCAACTTGAGGCGAAGAGCTGACAAAGTGTTGCGTATGTCCAATGAAGGTCATCGTAAGATCAACTGAATCCATGCGTCCTATCAGAAATCCACCATAACTCCCTGTACCCTCTGGTAATTTAACATAACTATGGAAAATCACCATTTTTAATGGGAAAATTTACTATAAATGGCCATTTTCAATAGCTATGTTAGTTTACCAGAGGGTATCTTCTGCTTCTTATCAAGGATACATTGATCATCATTGATCTTTGTCTGTCGTCTTCGGGGCCTATCTTCGGCCATTCTGCCCCCTCTCCATGAAGCTCTCTTGAAGTCAGCGCTACTGTGAGTCGACTAAGAGAAGCGAAGCTGTGCCCTTGATGACTTCTTTGAACAAAAACACATCATCAGTTGTTTGACTGAAAATAATAACCCAACAAATCCAATGGTTTATCATCCGTTTTCCCACAAAAACTGTTAGTAACCTCCATTTTTAGACACAACCAACATCAATTCTTACAGATGTAATCCTTCATCGACCGCGATAATTTCCCGTTTGCCGTTTGGACCTTCCAACTGAGGTCTGACTAGTTTGGTTTTGGTGGCAAGAAAATCAACAGCATATCGTCATATTATACTATCCTCCGGTAAAACATGGCAATGTGAATTCCCCTAAACATGGAGGTCTTAATGTGTTTTCATGGGAAAAATCCTAATATGTTTTAATGGGAAAAAATCCCCATAAGTGAATGATTTTCCATTGCCATGTCTGATTACCAACAGGTAGTCCCATTCTGGTCGGTTGATGCTTGTTTTGTACCCCATTGATGGGTAGAAGACACAGGGCACAGCAGTGCATTAACACAATGGCCGACGGGAACGTTTTTTTGCAGCACCGGCACCCACAGCCGGCGCGTGCCGCAGCTTCAGTGGCTGAGCTGGGTCCTGTGAATAGATAATGTAAACTCACATGGGTAACACTTTTGCTAAACAGCAGGAAATTCAATTTAGCTATGTCTTTTCCACTTTGCCGGTGAATTCCCTATGTGTTTAATGTTTATAATATTATATATATATATATTGCGTGTATATATATATATATATCTATATATATATATTGTATATATATATATACATATTGTGTATATATAAATATATATTGTGTATATACTTATATATATAATATAATATAATATAATATAATATAATATAATATAATAATATAATATAATATAATATAATATATATATATATACTATATATTATATATTGTATGTCTATACAATGTATTATATATATATACACTTTATATTGTATATGTATACTATATATACAGTATATATATATGATTATATTGTACATATAATCATATATACATATATGACATTATACTTGGTGGCTCATCCCACCTACTAAGTAGGTTGTAACATTAGCTATAGGTGGACTAACCCTACTTATCCATACTTATCCCATGTCCTAAGCCCACAACTCAGCCACCTGGCAAGACCTCGCCACGGCCAGTTAATCGATGAACCGCTCATCCCAAACAATCCAAAGGGTTGCGGTAGAGATCGTTAGGATCCTTGGCGGCCAATTTAGGGCGATCTGACATTGGATCTAAGCCAAATAAATGTATTAGATCTTTGCATGCAAGTAATGGCTTGGATCCAAGTAAACAATGGGAATATATATATATATACATACATATATATAGATAGAATACAGTATAATACAGTATACACATGTGCGTTTGCATGATGTGTCCAAGCTGTAAACTGAGATATGGTTCTGGTCAGGCCCCAGAAAGCTGGCAAGCTTGCCATAGAGTGGCTGTGTGGAGAGTGGGACTTAGGTCCATTGAGTTGGATTCCTAGCCGCTTCCTGTAAGGAGTTGGTTGATGTTCACCCCACTAGTTCGTTCATATCCTCCATAAACCCAAGTTCGTTTGTGGATTTATGTATCAGTCAATGTGTCAACTATGCACAACTATTTGCTATCATACATCAGTGATAAATCCCATGAAATCTCATGTTTGTTGGCTAAATCACCACTAGAAAACTCATCTTGGGACTTCACCACCGGTTTTCATCCACAAATCGCCAAGGTGCTTGTCGCATGCTGTTGAACCAGCTGTCTTGCCTGGCGATTGTTTCTGCTGTTCAATGGAAGGAACTAAACAATAATCATCTGTTTAGAAGTTTAGAATGAATCTATAGGAATCTGTCATATTTTCCTTGCTTAGAATGCAAATGGAATGCACAATGGAACCCATTTCAAGTTGCTGTCGAAGACAACTTTCTTGGACTGAAAAAGACGTGAAAACGGAATCTTATGATCGGTTGATTTTATCCAATTTACTTCAAAACCTACGCCTAAAATGTTGCTTGCACACATTGACCCAGCCACTGAAACCAGCATGGCTCATGTGTCATGACCATTCACCCGTTGCGAACACATTGCTTTGAAATGAAGATGTAACCAGAGACTATGTTCATGAATGGGTCCAAACCATGGCTAAAACCAATCTACCTGAGCCAAATATATTGGTACAGTACGAATCAAAATAATCCCAAAAGTGGTGGATTTAGTACTAACAATGGCCAATTTCGTGGGCAAATCAGTACCCCATACCGCTCAATTATCCTCATTGCTACTATTTATATATCATTTTTTTGTGTCAACATAACAGAGCCTAACAGAGCCTTGTGTTCATCCTTCCCTTTTTGTGGGTACCATCGCCCTTTCCATTGGGGATATGTCCATCCCTCCAAAACTCAAACGATTAAATCCGCTATCAAAAACACTCAATATCCGTCCTAATAAGAGTTTATCTCCGTTTCTTTCTAACTGGTAAGAGTTTGTTTCCTTCATCATGTAATCCCTTCCACTGTTCATATTAAATATATTAAACACCCCGGAAAACATGGTGGATGTAGGAGATATACACATTGTGGGGCCATAGAATGGGGGTGTCGAATATGAGGGGATGAGAATACACCCATATCACCATTGTAATCCCCGTTGTTGATATTTGAAATCCTTGTTCATCGCTATGACATATTTGGGGTGGATGGGATTAATCCATTTAAGATTTCAAATATCTGTATTAAGATCCAACTGCTCAACTTCCAAAATTGATCTATTGATTTACTCAAAATATTGATATTAATAGCCCAGCTGATTTAAGATATTTCCTTTGGGGATCCAAATGCGACCTTCTCACCTGAGAAGATACCAAACACCCTAAATCAACCCCCAAATGCTTCCTCAGAAATTACTTGGATATCTTGGATCCATAGGGATTTAATAGGGATACATATTTAAGAACTCCTGCGCCAGTTGCGAGATGACTTATCCCATTGTAATCCCAGTATTAACAGTGTTTCATTGTTACCACTAGTTACCAACTGCTGCAGGATGACTTGTCCATCCACAGTATTTAAGATGTTCAATAGGGATAGATTCATATCATGTTCAACATTTTCAATTTTCAGATATCAATAGTTATTTTCACTAAAAAATGAATCAGATCGATAATCATTAATTGATATGTACTGTATTATCGACTAAGATATTTATATAGACAATCACTAAGATCTATTGATAATATCTTATATATATATAAAGTATCTTATTGATAAGAACTACTTTAATTCTTATATTAAAGATACTTATCTTATATTGATCTTATTGATCATATCTTATATATCTTATATATATATAAAGGGTTTACTTGATCCAAGTGCCCAACTCCCTGGTGACCTCGCCTCCAGAAACCCGTCTGCCGCGCATCCTGGATCTTGGGATCGATCGCGATCGAGGGCTCTTGACTTGGCTCCTGGGGACAGGGACATTTTGACATACTATAAAAACTATAGATATAAACATGTATATATATATATATATTATATTACAATATAAATATATATTATGATGTATATACATCTATATATATATTGTAATACATATATATATATACCAGAGAGACAGAGAGAGAGAGAGAGAGAGAGAGAGAGAGAGAGATAGCATTCCCCAAGAACATGATGAGCATGTATTCATGATCATTGAGATCTTTGGGATGCCCAAAGGGGCAACGCCTCCTGGCCCAAGTCCAAGAGGTCAGAGAAACCCAAGCGCTTCAACAGCGGAGCACCTTGGGCCCATAGTCGTGGGATTCAGCGAAAATCACAGGGAGTTCACCCCAAATCAGGGATGATGCTGTGGGAATTTATCCAACATATAGAGATAATGGATGATCATGTAGCAAACCCAAAGCCATTAACCTTTATACCATTTGAGGATGTCTTTTATATGTGGTTCCCAACTCTTCAACATTGGGGATGGTTTTAAATTTGGTTTACCGCATGAAATGGATGTAGATAGGGATCTTGTCAACGTTTAACGATCAAACATTCAATGGATTGATTTGATGTAAAATCTATGAACATCTACTGTATATACAGGATACCAAAGCTGTCGGCCAAACATAAACCCATGGTTCCAGTTTCCAGCAGATTTTCTCTCAAACAAGTTTTTGGAAACACGGGAGTTTAAGATGATTTAACCATTCTAGTTGGATGATCATATGAAGCGACCCCATGCCCCCAACAATCAAGCGTGGGATTTCACCAAAATCAATAGATCCAACACATCTCAGCCTGGATGCTGTTCAGCTTGCGGATGGCTACCACGTTTTTAAAGGATGCCAAAATGTTGGTGACTTGGGATGAAAAGCAGGACCTCCTGTTGCAAACAAACCAACAACCAAAAAGTAGTGGATCTTTATGGATCTGTACTGTACATGAAACGAGGTGGTCATGGTCACTAACCAAAACAAACGTGTATTCATCTGGCAATGTTCTGCACTGAATCCTATTCCACAGTTTCAATGGTTGCAAAAGAAAGACTGCCGGGAAAAGTACCTTGGTAAGCGAGGATTATGTCAGGTAAATTTGCCAATTCACCTGAAAATTTCAGATAAAATCATGTAAATTCATGTAAATAAATTCTTAGTACTACTCCATGATTCAAGGGTACAGTGGGTTCTTTGCTTTCGAAACCTTTGCCGACTTTCACCAACTCTGGGAGTATCCCCAAAATTGAAATCACCGGCCACGGCTTGAACGGTTGATCGTTAGTTGAATGTTCATTGTTGTGGTTAAAATCCCCGTTTAACTTGCTGCTCGAATCACCATTTTCTAGTGTTTAGTTGGACCCCCCAAATCCCCTTCTTCTGGTGACCAGCTCACATGTCATGGCCAATCTAAGATACACAGTTGATTAGTACATCTCCTCATTTCTAGACACTTCTAACAAAATATGCAAGTACGACCTTTCTCGGATGTTTGGTATACTTCCCCATTTCTTTACGCTTCGCCATCTATTTCCCCTCCCTACTCCCTACTCCCTACTCCCTACGCATGGCCGAGCGAGGCGCAGGACACGAGGGATGAGTTGAGACCTTCGACCAGGACGCCCATGTGTTCATCCAACTTGCTGGCGATCTGTGCCGCTGAAAGCGAACATCGAAAAAACAAACAACCAAAGGATAGATCAAGAATGTTCAAGAATGGTATCATGGTCACAGTCAACGGTACTAATCGATAGTAATGGATACCAGTGGATATACTAATGGATATACTAATGGATAAATTTCGGCTTTGGGAAGTTTTTCACATGTCCAATCAGTTTGAGATGGCTAAACGTGGTGTCGCTTTCGTTGCGAACATATCTGATGGGTCAAAGATAAAATGGTACAACTGGACACGGGATCAAGAATGATCGACGGATTCATGGGACTCAATGGCTTTATCGTGGTTCATCCACTTACCCTCTGGTAATTTAACATAGCTATGGAAAATCACCATTTTTAATGGGAAAAACTCACTATAAATGGCCATTTTCAATAGCTATGTTAGTTTACCAGAGGGTATCCAAGGAAGACTTAACCTGATAAGGATATTTCAAAGATCCTAACAGCCCCAGGTTGTAATGTTGATACCCTGTCTGACATGTGCCGTTCCAAGTGGCATACCCCAATTGGCACAATCTTTCGTATCCACTTCTAGTCTGCCTCTAGTGGAAATAGATGACAATGGATGGATATGGATGGGATATATGTGAATACAACATACCACAGGATAGATCAGGATACCACATATATCCACTCCACATTCAAACACCACACCACCTGGCCTTCTCGCACGCATATCTTTTCAGCACATCCGCGAAGAGGAAGGTCAAAGCATTCACGATGGTGGACAACGACCAATCCTGAGTTGTTTCTTCATGTTTCTTCCGTCAAAAGTAGGTAACAACAAAATGAAATAACTGAATGATGTTTAGATAGGTAAAACAGGGATGATATATGAATTTTATCTGTATATCATATATTCAGTACATATATATATATATATATATTCAGTATGTATATATATAATGTTGGCACCTGATTAGTAGCATGGTACTCTATTGTGGCAAACTTTTTCCTCCTTATTCAGTAACCTGCTGTTTGGTGGGGGGGGGGCCTCTATTGTGGCAAATGTTTTTCCAGATTTTTTTAAAAAATTATGCCTAATTAATCAATTATTTTTTGAATTTATTTTTGAATTGGTTACTTAAAAATGTTTTTCTGTTTTTCATTTTTTTTAATTGAAGCTTTCAAATGCAAGGTTTTCCAAATAATTAGATGCCTCATTAAACCCTTATTAAAAAACAGCATCCAGACAATTTTTCAAGGGGGTACCTCATGAGTGGCTCAGTTACTCAATAATATGAATGTTTGGATGGTACTCTATTGTGCCAAGCAACTTTTGGGGTTGAAAAAAATCAAAAACCTTCTCCACCTTTCTTTGAGTAAAGCTGGTCCATTTACTTTAGAAAGCCATATTTGTGCAAAATCTTCAAGATGCAAGGTTTTCCAAATAATTAGATGCCTTATTAAACCCTTATTAAAAACAGCATCCAGACAATTTTTTAAAGGGGGTACCTCATGAGTGGCTCAGTTACTCAATAATATGAATGTTTGGATGGTACTCTATTGTGCCAAGCAACTTTTGGGGTTGGAAAAAAATCGAAAACCTTCTCCACCTTTCTTTGAGTAGAGCTGGTCCATTTACTTTAGGAAACCATATTTGTATTAAAGCTTTCAAATGCAAGGTTTTCCAAATAATTAGATGCCTTATTAAACCCTTATTAAAAAACAGCATCCAGACAATTTTTCAAGGGGGTACCTCATGAGTGGCTCAGTTACTCAATAATATGAATATTTGGATGGTACTCTATTGTGCCAAGTAACTTTTGGGATTGAAAAAAATCAAAAACCTTCTCCACCTTTCTTTGAGTAAAGCTGGTCCATTTACTTTAGAAAGCCATATTTGTGCAAAATCTTCAAAATGCAAGGTTTTCCAAATAATTAGATGCCTTATGAAACCCTTATTAAAAAACAGCATCCAAACAATTTTTCAAGGTGTTACCCCATGAGTGGCTCAGTTACTCAATAATATGAATGTTTGGATGGTACTCTATTGTGCCAAGCAACTTTTGGGGTTGAAAAAAAACAAAAACCTTCTCCACCTTTCTTTGAGTAAAGCTGGTCCATTTACTTTAGAAAGCCATATTTGTGTTAAATCTTTAAAATGCAAGGTTTTCCAAATAATTAGATGCCTTATTAAACCCTTATTAAAAAACAGCATCCAGACAATTTTTCAAGGGGGTACCTCATGAGTGGCTCAGTTACTCCATAGTATGAATGTTTGGATGGTACTCTATTGTGCCAAGCAACTTTTGGGGTTGAAAAAAAACAAAAACCTTCTCCACCTTTCTTTGAGTAAAGCTGGTCCATTTACTTTAGAAAGCCATATTTGTGTTAAATCTTTAAAATGCAAGGTTTTCCAAATAATTAGATGCCTTATTAAACCCTTTTTAAAAAACAGCATCCAAACAATTTTTCAAGGTGGTACCCCATGAGTGGCTCAGTTACTCAATAACATGAATGTTTGGATGGTACTCTATTGTGCCAAGCAACTTTTGGGGTTGAAAAAAAACAAAAACCTTCTCCACCTTTCTTTGAGTAAAGCTGGTCCATTTACTTTAGGAAACCATATTTGTATTAAAGCTTTAAAATACAAGGTTTTCCAAATAATTAGATGCCTTATTAAACCCTTATTAAAAAACAGCATCCAGACAATTTTTCAACGGGGTACCTCATGAGTGGCTCAGTTACTCAATAATATGAATGTTTGGATGGTACTCTATTGTGCCAAGCAACTTTTGGGGTTGAAAAAAATCAAAAACCTTCTCCACCTTTCTTTGAGTAAAGCTGGTCCATTTACTTTACAAAGCCATATTTGTGTAAAATCTTGAAAATGCAAGGTTTTCCAAATAATTAGATGCCTTATTAAGCCCTTATTAAAAAACAGCATCCAAACAATTTTTCAAGGTGGTACCCCATGAGTGGCTCAGTTACTCAATAATATGAATGTTTGGATGGTACTCTATTGTGCCAAGCAACTTTTGGGGCTGAAAAAAAAATCAAAAACCTTCTCCACCTTTCTTTGGGTAAAGCTGGTCCATTTACTTTAGAAAGCCATATTTGTGTTAAATCTTTAAAATGCAAGGTTTTCCAGATAATTAGATGCCTTATTAAACCCTTATTAAAAAACAGCATCCAGACAATTTTTCAAGGGGGTACCTCGTGAGTGGCTCAGTTACTCAATAATATGAATGTTTGGATGGTACTCTATTGTGCCAAGCAACTTTTGGGGTCGAAAAAAAAAAACAAAACCCTTGAAAGTAAATTGAAATCAATTGAAAGTCAATTGAACGTAAATTGAATTCAATTAAAAGTAAATTGAAAATCAATTGAAAGTAAACTGAAATCAATTGAAAGTAAATTGAAATCAATTAAAAGTAAATTGAAATCAATTGAAAGTAAATTGATTTCAATTAAAAGTAAATTGAAATCAATTCAAAAAATTGTTTAGGGTGGGGGGGCGCAAAGAAATGGTCAGTTATTGAGTAGACTAAAATTGGGGGGGGGGGGGGGGGCCCGCCCACTAATCAGTCGACAACATCATATACATATCGGAGATACTCTGGTTGTCTACGGGTTATTAAGCACTTATCAAATGCAAGTAATAACTCGATAACATCACATAAGAACTCTGGAAGACCCAGCTACTCGGTACAGCCACACAATAAGTTGAATCTGGGTCTGGTTAGCGCCTACAGCTACATGATGACGCCAGGAGAAGCTCAAATAGCTCTTCAGAGCCAGTTTGGTAAATGACTGAATCGTTATAATTATAGTGGATAATAATTAACTTCCAAAAGCTAACACACTAGCTGTGTCTGAAAATGCGGCGGTATACCCATATATATATATATAATAATAATAATACTAATAATAATAATACAATGCAATGTCATGGAAAAAATCCGGATCATGGGAGTTTAGGGTACCCATATTTCATGGGATACATCTCCGTCGTGTTCCAACATCGATTTTTTCCAACTTCAGGAACCTTCTACATGGCAAGGGCATTCTCTTCGATGGCAAATATATGCATTGACCATCATAAAGCAATCACTCATCAAGGCTCTGTGTTAAAGGAAAAACGAGTTGCGAATAGTTTTGAATTTTGAAGCATTCCAATCCAACCATCCGCCTGGACAATTCTGGCAATAAATCGCATAGAAAACTGTTTGGTTGGGTCATTAGTAACGATTGCGCCACCGATTCGCCATGGCCACGACTTGGAGACTTCCAGCCATTTCAAGGGGTCGTTCAAAATGGGGTGCCTGACATAGCCAGCATATAACCAACAACCAATGAATCATCATCTTCCCAATGGATGCAGAAACTTTAAACCAAAATTCATATGACATCCAGATCCTTTGTCAAAAGGTTCTAGGATACACAGCGTTGTACAGTACCCCATTCGAACCATTGGCAAGACCCATAGCTTTACCTTATACAAATTTATCACAATTTATCCATACACTAAATCATTTTGGTATGGATTTAAGTGGAAATTTCTTCAATCATGCTCTAGTGACTGGATATTGGGCTACACGCATGACTTAGGAAACTTCCAAGTGAATTCAGTGAATTCTCAAGTCATCCACTTAACATGAAGTAAAATTGAAGTACTGTACATCCACCATCCTTGCCACCAAGGCTCCGTCTGGTGGACCCACAAGTCTAGGCTAGCCTGGATGTTTGAGCAGAATTTATGGGCATGTATGGCCAAACATATCCAACTAATAGTGTTTGAGGCATCAACATGCGTTTTTTATTCAACATTCATGGGGCAATCAATAGGAACTATGTACCTAAACTATCCGGGGGGAGAAAGAGCAAAACGGCACGCCCTGAGAGTGTAGATTCCCTGAAAAACAAAACACCATGCCCTCAGCAATTATGTGTGCATATATATATATATTATATATATATGTATATATGGCGGTGTGACCATCCAGTCATATGAGTAGCATCAACCCAACTCTTGACCGCGACAGATGTGCAAACAAACACAGGATAAAAAACACAACACCGACATAGTGCTTACGCGCAGACATATCATCATCCATATCATCTTCCATAGCATCATTCATAGTATCATCCATATCAACATACATATCATCATCCATATCATCATCCATATCAACATACATTTCATCATCCATATCATCATGCATGTCAAAAACCATTTCATCATACATATCATCACTCGTAACATCTTCCATATCACTATCCATTTCACCATCCATATCATCATCCATATCACCATCCATATCATCACCCATATCATCATCCATATCATCATCCACGTCATTGACAACATCATCATCATCATCATCATCACCATCATCACCATCATCATCATCATCATCATTGTCATTGTCATGATCATCATGATCATCATGATCATCATGATCATCATGATCATCATGATCATCATGATCATCATGATCGTCATGATCGTCATGAACATCATCATCATCATCATCATCATCATCATCATCATCATCATCATCATCATCATCATCATCATCATCATCATGATCGTCATCATCATCATCGATCGTCATCATCATTGTCATTGTCATCGTCATGATCATCATGATCATCATGATCATCATGATCGTCATGAACATCATCATCATCATCATCATCATCATCATCATCATCATCATCATCATCATCATCATCATCATCATCATCATCACCGATCGTCATCGATCGTCATCCATGATAGTGAACGACAGCGGCATCAATATCAGCAATTTCGTCAATCTTAGGTGCCAGGCCATCACTGAGGGTGTGCTAGGATCGTTGATTCTGTTCCCAAGCCGAATATTCTCGTGGAAAAGTGGTCAAATGGCCTACCTGCCGGAGTTTCCAATTATATGCTGGACAAGAGTCTGAAAACTCAAACCCAGTCCCGGAATTATACAAAGAAATTCACCAGAGAAAAGATGTGGTTTCTCCTAACAGTTTTCCCTGAAGCAACCGTAAACATCTCGTGGATACATCCAAGCCAAGAGAGGAATGCCACCGGGTCACCATCTCGATTTTTCGGCTGCACATCACCAATTGTGGCAAGGTGCCATCGGGACTATCCTAAGTGATAAGGTCCAACATGATCTTGGCCGCTACAAGGTCGGCCCCCCTGGCACCAGGTCCCGCTAAGTTAGTTAAAATCACTACATTAACGATTGGGCGAACGAGGATGCTTATGGTAGATCGAACGATCTAACGGGGTTTCTGAAGAGAACCACCTCGTACATCTCTCAATGGCGAGGAAAACCACATACCAACCAAGGCAGTTGTAGTCATCAAAATTATAATCTATCCATCCATGTATCTACAGCAAATAACCCACTCAAAAATGATGGTTTGAACCTAGAATCCAAAAACGATATCTGACGAGCGTAGGAATCACAAGTGAAATTGACCAGTCAGTACACTCACACATGCGACATGTCTCCAAACAGCATGCCATTATCAACAAGACTTTCAACATAAATCAATCTGCTCAACCGAAAATGGCGAAAAGTAGGTGAAAGTACCACTCAAAATGGCGAAAGCTAAGTGAAAGTTCTGAAAAATAAAAACAATGCAATTTTGTTTGTACTATCATTCTCATTTTTTAGACATCTCTAGATATTTTTTCCAAGTCGCAGCAGGCGGTCGTTGCCAACGGAAGGCCAAGTCCAAGGACATCCCTTCGGCGATGGCATCGCCCGTGCATTCCTTGGGGCTTTCTGAACGACAACGAGAGGAGAGATGAAGGTTTAACCACTATAAATTCCCTGAGAAAACCCATAGGAAAATGGTGGTAAACCATAGGAAAACCCATAGGAACCATGGTGATTTAACCACTTTTTTAATGGTGATGGAAAAATGGTGATTTTTATGGTTTAAGAATGGGTCAACAATGGTGAATAATGGGATGATATGGGATTTAGCCTCTGGTAAACATTTACATAGATGGAACATCACCATTATATAATGGGTGTAAATCTACTATAATTAAATGGCAATTTTCAATAGCTATGTTAGTTTACCAGAGGGTAACTGATTTAACCAGCAAAAATGCTAATTGAATGGGATTTCCAATGGGGACGATATACTGGGATACCAATGGGATAATCATAGGATAATAATGGCTATATTTTTAGGTTTCCTAAGTCATGGTAGCAGACTTTTTGTATTGAAATCCATGGTGACCTGCAGGATGCCCCAGTTCGTTAGCGAAGTTTGTTTATAACAACAATTTCCATAGTGTATGATACTTATAACTATATATTAACAAATTGATAATATATTACTTAATATATTTCCATAGTGTTTATATATTGACTATCTTTAGATGGGCTTATAAACCAACAAACATTTCACTGGAGGGTCCCATCCATCCGGTGGTGATTTTTCCACATGGCCGGGGATGACGATCGGATCAACGAGTAAATGACCATCTGGGAAAGTATTTGGGGCTATGATGTGGGGCTATGATTCGTTGGGCTTTGAATTCATTTTGAATTCATGCTCAGTGTTTGCATCCATGGGAGTAAGTAATTTATTACTGAAAAGCGTGGGTCATAAGTTATAATCCCCTATAAATGTATCCAAATGGAGATTTCCTAAGTCATAGGGGTACTCCCAAATCATCCGGTGATTAGACCATTTTAGTATTGAAACCCATGGTGACTTGGGGATCTCGCATGACTTAAGAAACCTTCAAATGTCATGGTTTCTACCGCATTTGAACATGGCCTTCCTCCTAAAAACTCGTTCCAAATTCCAAGCATCTGCTGCGATCAGCGACGTTGGACACACATAGACTTTCAGCCCGTAGAAATGAGCACCTCAATGGTGTGCACAAGCTGGAAATAAACCATTCAATGGATTGGTTTTCTTGGGAAAAACATACCATTGAAACTGTTGAAACCATGGTTTTAATATGTTTTAACTAGTTTTAACCACTTCTTAGATATACTTCACCATCCAATTATGGGAAGCACTAGATTTTTCTCGCCATTTTCATGCCTGGTTGGTGGTTGAGCCACCTCGCTGAAAAATATGACTCCAGCAACCAATTGATGTTAAACCATTGGATTTTGCGGCCATAAGCCATGATTTCCTGTCAGCCAGTTCCCATGTTAATATTAAACATTGTTTAATTCCATGAGCTCCCTGTTTCATGGTGGCAAAATCATCGTGTGTAGATCCTTTTCTTTGGTGGCTACAATATCCAAATGTCCAATCTGCAAAAGAACCATGGCAGGCTAATGGCTGAACCAATTGCACCGTCATTTCCAGTGGCTAGACCTTGCACGGTTGTTGTTACGAGTACAGGCTTAGACAATCACCGATTCATGGCTAACTTTAGATACAGTGAGTATATATAGATAGTATTTAGTAAGCAATCCAAAAAAACGAAACGTAATTTGCCAGCATTTTAGGCCAGACTTCACTTTTCCATTTTTCAGAGGTTGCTAAGTTGCTACATGTATATACTACCCGCTATACTACCATCATTCCCCGTTGTTGGATTCAACGACCCATCACCACTCAGTCTACCCATGTTCTGCATGATTAAATCCATGGATTTAACCCCCCATTATTGGTAGTTCACCCACAACCCATCCAGTTTGTTGACTCGGTACTGAGATGAAAAACATTATCCGACACGAATTTCTTATTCATCCCGATTTTTTGATGATCACTGTAAAACAGTTAAAAACATTTAAAAACTACCTGTTAGATATCATTGCTAATTTATAAGCACTATAAATTCGAGGCCTAACAACAATAAATGGTCAATGTTGCATAGAAAACTCCCTCTAAAAAAAACAAGGTGGATATCTCATGAAACAATTTTTTTTTCTATAGCCAGTTGATATCGCACATGATTCCCTCTTGATCCCCAGTTCATATCCATCATATTTTTCGGTCCATGGAAATCCACTATAACTGGTTTTAATGGGAAAATCATCTTAATGGTGGATTGTTCATTGCCACAATTGATTACCAGAGGGTAACCGTTATATCAGTTATATCCCATCGAATCTCTAGTTTCTATCTCTCCCTTTTGGATAAACACCACATTCTCCATGTCTATCCCATGGAACTATCCCATTCACTTCCATAAAATTCACCCCCAAAATCAACTAAATTCAGAATTCATCTTGAGTTATCTGGATAGTTATGTCATCAAATCATATCAAATCTCCATAAATATCATAAATCCTCCATGACATCTACCGGTTTTATCCCCATTTAATCCCAAGCGACTGGCATCCAAATCAATCCTCCAAGCGACTGATGCCCCATGCGCTGATGCGGAGCACCTCCTCGGATGCATTGAGGTCGTTCAAGGCCACCCGCACCTGTCTGGGGAGGAACAAGTTATGGATTTTCGGATTTACCAATCAACAGATATTTCACTGGGATTTCATGGTCTTGAATTTGATTTAATGGGATTTAATGGGATATACAGACTGTTTTTTTTGGCGCGGGCACAGAGATGCGTAGCTGGACGCTGCGGCCTGCACTTCAATTCGGTGCTGCCGGCTCTGCCGTACAGAAATGACTGACAAGGCGAAATCCAAATACAGACATATTTTTATATATATATATATATGGGGATGGGTCAAGACCCTGGTACCTAGTGAACCCCAAAATAGCTGGTAAATGGATGTTCATCCCACTAAAAATGGTATTAATATAGGTATTGCCCCATACCCATATAGAATTATAGAGAGAGAGAGACAGAGAGATCCAACTGTTAAAGTATTTGGGTCAAGTTACCTATGAAATGACCATGACCAGGGGATCAACCATCCAGGTATACCAGCTATAACTTCGGGATTTTTAGCGTCAATGTTGGTCTTGACCCATAACCAGCTGCGGAAAAAATGGGAAGATCATCTATGAAAACCATGTGTGATTTTTGGGATGAATTGTAAGATATTCTGACATCATGTATGCTAGATGACTTTAAAATGATTTCAGCAGATATTAGGTTATTTGTTTGATGACTTTAGATGATTTGGAGGGGGACTTTAGATGTCATGTTTGAATTTGATTGATCTATTGATTGATGACCTGTTTGTTAACTTTAGATTATTTGTTTGATGTTTTGAAGGGATCAACTTTTACAAAGGGATTCGACACAAAATCTATGATGATCGGACATGTTGGAACACACATGTTTGCTTTGCAACAAAGATGGAGGTGTTTCGGAAAACAAAAAATCAAGCAATGTTTGTCGAGAATAAAGATTAGGGTTGGGCTTCAGCAAGAAACATGAGTGACTTTACAATCGGAAATTCTGATGTAACCTACATATTTTATCAAATGGTGTCACACTAACCTAGTCATCCCGGCCACAAACAATGGATTCGAATAGATGCAAGCAAGGAACGAACAGCGGTAGAGAAGGTCAGCAAAACATGTTGTGGATTTCACCAACACAAGTTAAAAACAAACAGGTTTTGCAAAAAATCAAGACAATGGATATCTCACCCAGAAAAAAAACATGGATATCTCCCATAGAAAGGCCAAGATATCACAGACAATCGGTGAGAATTGCACCACAAGTGAAAATATGGAATATAAAACACCAAATAAACATATATTCAATGGATAGAGTCAAGGGAAACAAAAACAAAAGCTACCGGAAATCCTGGATTTTTTTTGCGATCAAATCTAGGGGCGTTACTGCGAATGTGCTCGTCATCCAATTCTGGGGTACATGATGAGACTTCCAAACTTAACCAGGGATGCTCTTGAGGATATACAATCAACATTGCTGCAAACAAAAAAAAGGTGTCCCGTGTCTTTCCCTTGAATCTCTCCGTCGGATGTGTACATATATATATATATACATGTATATTGTATATATGTATATATGTATATATGTACGTATATATGTATATATATATATATCTATGTATATACATATGTATATATATGTATATATGTATATATGAATATATGAATACATGTATATATGTATATACATGTATATATATATATATATCTGTATATGTATATATGTATATTATTTGTAGTAGTAGTAGTAGTAGTTGTTGTTGTTGTAGTTGTTCTATATTACATATCTTCAAACTTGGGATTCCAGTATTTACCCGTTCAAACAATGTTGGCTGTATTTTGGAGTGGTGGTCCCGTGTTGTTCAGCACACAATACAGGACTATAGATGAAAAATGATGAAAATATCGTGGCATATGTTTTGACCGAAGCCGTAGCCGCATGTGACCCCCTCCCTCCAGAAGCACATCTTCTTTGCGGAAAGAGAAATCGGAGAAGTTGATGTTGCCTTGGTTGTTCCAGATCCATCAAGACCAGATGTGAACGCCGGACCATGATGTGAAATAATGCGTTCGTTCAATGATGTTTACCCTCTGGTAATGTAACATAGCTATTGAAAATGGTCATTTATAGTGGATTTTCCCATTGAAAATGGTGATTTTCCATAGTTATGTTAGTTTACCAGAGGGTAACGGTGTTGAATGACATTAAGCGATGTTAAATGGCTAGAACGGCCAAATCCTCCCCCCCTAACCATTCTATGAAAATGAAGCAATTTTGTCGTAACTATAAAGGACCCACGGGTTTATTATATCGACGTGAGGAAAGGACAAGAAACACCCATCAAACAAGGACACAACCAACTATGCTGGACCCATCTGATCTTCCCAAATTTGATCTCGTCCAAGATCTTCCAAGAACCAATAAGCTACTACAGTACAGTCTTCAACTGCCAAAGGCCACAAACAGTGAACTCAGTACGATCTGCAGCTTACCCTCTGGTAAACTAACATAACTATGGAAAATCACCATTTTTAATGGGTAAATCCACTATTTCAATGGCCATTTTCAATAGCTATGTAACAAATTACCAGAGGGTATGTTCAATGATTTTTCCGTTTGACATGGGGGCTTTCCAGTACGTCATGTCCGTTGGATCCTCCAAACGGCACGAAATCATCACAGCAAGTTGGTGGACGCTCGAACCACTGAAAGAGTCTTTGTTGGGAACCACTGATGTCGAACAAGCCATACATCTCTTGCAAATCCTAAGCCTTACAGAACTTTGGGCACTCTACACTTGCTTTCTACAATCACTGCACAAATTTCGTTTGAGACATGCAGGAGTGAATACATCAACATTAACAGTAATTGACGTTCTGGGGGTGTTCACCCACCATATTTTGGTCAGTTGTGGAGTATTCATGGCTAACTCTACTCTTCAACATCTTGAACTTTTTTTGTAGATATCCGTGCTAGATTCTTTTCCTCCATCTATGGCTAACGATGATCCAATCCATTCACAAATAATCACGAAGGTGTACCCAGTCTTTGGTATGACCGATGCCTGCGCCAGCATCCACGATCCAAAATCAAAGTCCAAAGGGCTGATTTCCCAGTCGCAGTCATTATCCTGTCCATTCACCTGACGCTGCAACATGGTGCAACAAAGGAAAAAGGTCCCATTCCCCACCTAACCATACACTGGGGTGGATGTCCAGGTACAAAAAAATGTCAAAGAAACCCAATAGTTGCCATCCCCCCGAAACAGAAAAATACTGTTCTGAGTTTGCCCATGTGGAAAGAATTGCTTCCAACCCCCAACTAACTTCAATCCATTTAGGTTGATGGTAACCTACTGTACCATTCCGATATTTCAAGGGAATAAGCAATGGTGAAATCACGGAATGGGTGCTTGAATAGGACAAATCTCCAGAAAACCGTGTTCTTTTACCATCAAATACGAGGGTTTCCTGTAAAGTGTTCCTCCTTTCATCCTGGGTACTGTAAATCCCTTGTAGATGGCTATGAAATATCTTGGCCAGATTTAGGTACTCGAGGCCTTCTCAATTTGGATAGCGGGCAAGATCTTGAGGATAAAGTCCAAGCACGTGTCCTGCATGGCATCAGTAATCCCCTCAGTTGGTGGTCGGTTGGTTGGTGATGGTGATGGTGATGGTGATGGTGATGATGATTATTATTGTTATTATTATTATTACTATTATGATTAAGAAGCAAACGATGACGATTATGATGCTGATGGCAACGATGGCCCAGCGGCCCAGCTGCCCATTGAGCCCATTGAGCCCGAGGAATAGTGCTTCCAACACAGCCAGGAGAGGGGGTGTAGTTAACTGTGAACTTTCACGTGATTGGCGATTCCAGCACCTGCCGATACCTTGCTAAAGCAAAAAGGGACCCTAGCACAAGTTTGCTTTCCTGATCATAACAAACCCTCAAGGCCCTTATATTTTGTTGGTTAAACCCATTATGACCCCATAAATATCAATGGATTCCCTATATAAATGGGTTGATGATTATAACCCCATTATAAATGGATTCCCATATATAAATCATTGATATAACCCCATTATTGTTGGTTATCAATGGATTCCCTGTAATTCCCTATATAAACCTATTATAAATCCCTCGTTTAGTTTAGTGATCCTTTCCCTCCGTCCTTGAGGTGGTTCACCAGCTCTTCCCGGGCTTCGATGTTGCTCCAGGCTTCCTCCGCCTTGGACAAGGCCTGCGGAGTGGGGATGATTTGTATCACATCATACAATGATATGCAGTGTACATGTATATTATATATATATATATATACATATCTTTAGTTGTTACATACATACATACATACATACATACATGCATACATACATACATACATACATACATACATACATACATACATTGATTGCATTGCATTGCATTGCATTACATTGCATTACATTACATTAGATTACATTACATTACATTACATTACATTACATACATACATACATACATACATACATACATACATTACATACATACATACATTACATACATTACATTACATTACATTACATTACATTACATTACATTACATTACATTACATTACATTACATTACATTACATTACATTACATTACATTACATTACATTACAAACATACATACATACATACATACATACATACATACATACATACATACATACATACATACATACATACATACATACATACATACATACATACGTACATACGTACATACGTACATACGTACATACATACATACATACCATACCATACCATACCATAACATTACATTACATTACATTACATACATACATACATACATATATATATATATATATATATGTGCACATCTACTTCCTATATACTACAGTATAATTCACACTTAATCACACTTAATACTTGATATATTATATTATTATAGAATATGATAGATATGTGTATATATATATACATGGACTTATGTAGACTTATTCCGGTCGTTCCAGTTTGTTTGCTTTAGATTGTTTGCCGTTGCATGAATATTGTGATTGTCATTGCCATTGAAACAAAATAAACAAATGCCATTACATGCCATTACCGTTGTTATTACAGTGTCATGTTCATGATCAATCTGAGCGCAGGATGAACAACCGTGATGATGTTGATGAGGAGGCAATTGCTACATATTGCTACATATTGCTACGTATTGCTACATATTGCTACATATTGCTACATATTGCTAAGCTACGTATTGCTACAGTATCAGTTCATGGCAGTAAATGTGTGCTATTAAAATATCATGGAATCTCTCACCTTCCAACTGTCCCGCCGGTAAGGTGGCCACGTTTATACCTGGAGATTTCCATCGAAAATCTCCAAGTCACCGGTGGAGTTTTTCAAATGACCAATACGGACAATGTACCGGAAACCCCTATATAGGATGGGGGGGGGGGAAACTATATGTTTTCTTTCCTGATGTCTCCTGATGTTTCTGTAGATTTTCCCAACCAACCAATCCGATGACTGGTGAGTCTAATGACGATGCAAAGGGGTACCCCCAGTGACTGGATGGAAAGCGCTCCCCTCAATCTGCGCCATCAGCTCTCTCTAACCTGCTCCGGGTTGAAGTCGTGAATGCGGTTCATGACCTCACGTTCGATGTCCATGTCCTGTCAAACCGTTCGGCTGTCCGTACTGGAGAAATCAGGGAAACATAGGGGGGGTTGAGCATCAAACATGGGTTGGACTCCATCAAAAAAAACGATGTTAACTTCAAGATGGGTGGCACAAATGGGATGTCATTCATAGTGAAGCGATTGCTTATGCTATTAAGCCACGCGTATTGAAGACCCATGTGGTTAATGGCTTAATTATGGGGACACTATCGTGGAAACATGAAGTATCGGCTGATTGAGAATTTTCATAGGAACATACTGGGAAAATAGTGAAACCTAGTGATTTAATGAGGATTTGATGAAGATATACTTGGGATATAGCCTCTGGTAATTTGTTATAGTTTACAATGGAAACTCAACGTTAAAATAGTAGGTAAATCATCGAACTAAATGGCCATGGCTTCCATGGCTTACTGGAGGGTATACCACCCTTTTTTACCAATAACATGTATATATATATATATATATTTATATGTATAATAAACATATTTTTTAATCCTGATGCCCATATTTTCTCCCAGATGTCTTGAACACGGAAGAAATGTGTACCCCAGGGCCTCATTCTTCTCCAGTTGTTCCACCACACGAGCCACCGCCTGTGGAAGAAACCAACCGACCAAGCCCGGAATTGGATAGATGTGCAACACCTGAGATAAAGGCATTTATCTATTGTATAACTGTATAACTGTATAACTATATATAACTCTTTATACTAGGTATAGCTGATATGTGAGTATCTTAGTTTGAGTATCGCCTATATAAACTGATTAAAACCTTGACTGTCTATCTATTCATTGTTATATCATGAAACATGTCTAAAGAACACAAATCCCAACGTTTATCAAGAACAAAACTGGTCACTGGCAATCATCGTCCCAACTATGGTTGAATAGAAAGCATCTTTGACACTACAAACCAGCCCACCAGTGCCCACCAGTCAACTCATGGGCTGGATCCACCACAGTCTGGCACCGTCTTTAGCTAGTTTCAGCCTTGGTGTCTGTCTCCTTCCGAAACATCTTATCAACAAAAATAACAATGATGGATTGAAACTGGGCTTATCCACATCTATCCATTTTAGATCAATTACACCAATTCAACACATTCCTTTCATCCAGCCACCAATAAAAAACTATCAATTAAATAGTATTACCAACTTGTTGGTGCATTATGCTAATTAACAATGATCCAACCTGCAAAGTTCGGTTACCAATCTTCCTTTAACCCGGGCTTGTTACATCCAAATCCCATCAGCTCAGCTGTGAGGTCGCGAGGTCGCACCTGAAAAGTTCGGCTATTTTGAAATAGTTGCCCCTGCTAAATCATCATTGCAGTGACGTTGCGACATGAAGTCGTTATAGTTTAATATGTATCCATATGTATTCATAATACAAGATTATAGTATTATATAGTATTACCCTCTGGTAATTTAACATAGCTATTGAAAATTACCATTTATAGTGGATTTTCCCATTGAAAATGGTGATTTTCCATAGTTATGTTAGTTTACCAGAGGGTATATTAATATTATATAATATACACACGTGTGTCTCCTGTTCTCAGATTGAGTTGGTTATATCTCCCATGAAAAATGCCCGGTCATTATCAACCCACAATTCACCCGTGATTCCTCATCACTTTTGCTGGTCAAGTCCCACCTGTCTGAGTTCCTGCCTGATTCTCCTTGAGCTCCTGCAACTTCGCCATGACCCTTTCCTTTTCGCTGCTCGATTCCAGGAGTATAGATCTGTTAAGCGATTCATGGCATGAGTCTATGTGTATCTTGGCATATCACATACATATTATAATATATAACAAATATATTACTATGTGACTTTCTATGTCTATGTGTATATTAATGTGTATATATATATATGTATGTATGTATAATTATAATATGCTACTGCAGTATATACACACATTTGAGATATTCCCTGAAGAATCAGTTGGAAGGTTAGTCTTTAGTGGATTTGACATTGGGAGTTATTGTTAGTGTGTCACAAGTTACAACCCTGTAAATCGTCCAGCCATACTTATTTGGGGACCACCATCTCAAACTGCATCGACAATACACATCAAACCCTGTTTAAAACATTTTAAAACCATATACCCTCTGGTAATTAGACAATGTGCTATGGAACAGGGCAATGTATAGAATCTTGGAGATGATTCTAGCGTTCTTAAACATGGGGATTGCAAAGCAAACTGTTAGTTTACTGGAGGGTATATATCCCATTCACCATAAAAATCATCATTAAATCACATATTTTCACCATTTTTCCCAGAATTTTCCCATCTACGCCTGGGACCAGGCCACAATTCCACTCCCAAAAGCCCCAGTGGCATCCCGAAACGTCCGAGTCTCGCCGTGTTCGACGATTCCAGTGGCACCTTTCACCATGACCTCGTCATCAAGACCTTGGAACAGGGGAGCGTACGGCGTTCCGAAGCGACGCAGCGAATGGAAGAAATCCGAATCACCAGGAATTCACTCTTGGGATTCCCATGAAACACTGCAAATCATATTTTTATCATGGGACTATGAGGAAGAAAAACATCTACCAACTGGTGCAAGACTTCTTCCATTCACAGTAGTTTCGTGCTTGGCAAAGCTTGGCAATCATGGGTGAGGATCCAATATGTTTGATCAGTTGGGAACATGCACCCAATGCGGACCTCCAACAATCCAATGAACCAGAAATCTCCCAATGATTTCCGGCCTGGTCAAGCACGGCAATGGACAAATCCTTATTTATAGATGTCTTTCCCATGTACATGCATGTACATGATCATTTACAGGGGACTTCTCATTGCCATGATTGATTACCAAAGGGTATAGTACATATATATATATATATACATACATACAGAATACAGTATAATATAGTATCATCCCAATGATATCTAACGATATCCCACGCTCCACGCTCCACGATTTTTGTTGCCCAAGCAGCTGCTCTTCAGGGCCGCCTTCCAAGCATTCGCATCTTGGCTTCGTCCTGCCGCATGCGCCTGGGCAAGCAGCAGGATAGACAGTTGATAGGTATTCAACAATAATGGTGGTACAATATAAGTAGCAAAATGCACATTTATAGTGACAGGTGGATAAGTAGCAACATGGTGATTTATACCTATAAGTTATGGTCAAAGTGTATACGCAACCAAAATCGGGATGTTTTTCGGTGGCGCCACCATTTACTTCATAAAGTAAGACTCAAGGAGCCACACAAGAGCCACCTTTATTGACTTGCAAAATGCAGCACTTTTTGGTGGTGAGAATAAACAGGTGATCTTCGGTTCCCTGCAAACACTGACAAGACTTTTGGCTGGTTGGGTTAATTTCGTGTAATGTAGTCACCAATATAAATAAAGTCAACAAACAACCTATTGGTACTTATGATCAGAATGATCATTATATATATACAATGTATATATATATATATACAATGTATATATATATACAATGTATATATATATAAATACATATATATATATATGATATAAACATATAAGTTAGCACGTAACCACCCATCAGGAACCAGTTCCAACCAGTTGACCCACATTTCATGGAGTTTCAGGTTGGTGGCATTCCCCCTGATAAATACTCATCGCGGGACCATCATCCAACATAATAGTAAAAATAACACATAATAACTATAGTTATAATAATGATAATGTCAACCCGGGATTAATAAACCCCTAGGCTGTTCAATTGGGAAGGTACCATTTCAGTATCAAATCATAACTATTGGGTGAATACCCCCTAATGAATAAACCATGATAACCATGGTTTATTAATCCGGGGTTTACATTAATAATTATTAAGAACCGAAAAAGAAAACAACCATATTTGATTTGAGATCACCAGCCACACATTGATTCAACCCCCAGTTGCGCAGCCTCCAGGAGGTTCTGCACGGCAGATGGCACTTCGATGTTCAAATCCTGGGCGGCGAGAAAAAATGGGATGTCCTCGTGATGTCCCCTGCGTTGATGTTCAAAATTCTTGCTTTTTGGGTTCAGATTAACAACATGCAGGAGGCCTCGGCTCTACCAAAAAATTATCACTGTGGGGCATGAGTGGCTTGATTCTCCTCAGCATTTTCCATGGCTATGCAAAGCATAGGATGCGTCTCCCAAAGAAGGAAGGGGCCCGAGTAGCTTTTAATCTAAGTAGTCATGCCTCATTAAACACTCTAAGGCGACCACTAACATTTAGATAAAACATATAGTTCCAAACCGCTAGCTGTCAATTAAATATATCAACCCCAAAAATCTCGCAACAAATGCGGGGGAAAAAACACCAAGTGGGTCCGGATAAATCACCATGACCACAACCATTTACGACATCAGCCTGTCTATCCTAAGCCTCTGTTCTTCCCTGGTTCTGCAGTGAAGATTGACACATCGCATGTGCCTATACAAACATACATACATATATGTATTATATGTGTAATATATAGGGACAAATGCAATATTTCACTAGCCTGAATTAAGGCCATTTGGGGATGATTTCCCTTATTCACCATGATTCCAGTGAGGTCGCAGTGAGGTCGTGAGTCGTTACAATTTACCCAGAATATATATATATATACATAGAATATATATATATATAAGAATATTAATAAACATAAATAAACACATAAATTAGATACTTTATAACCACAATACACACCCACATGATTGTTTCTATCGTGTATAAACTATCATCTATGTAGAGGGAGCAATACAACCCATGTTGCATCTGTCTATGCATGCGCCTTTGATATCTCTGAGCTCAGCCCAAGGTCCTTGAGCAACGTCAGCAAAGAACCACTGCTTTGCCGCAGAGCCTCAGGATGGATGAAGATGGATGTGCTTGATTTTCCCTTAGCATCATTATAATATACTTGGATATCAATGGGATATACAAATACATGTGTATATATATATATATATTAACATAAGTATATATCTATATAATATTAATAATAATAACAACAACAATAAAAATAATATAAAAATAATATAAAAATAATAATTATATATATATATATTATAAACAATATACATGAGAGATAACATCAACATACATCAACACTGTGATGGGTGATCGACAAATAAATTCATAGAGCTTTTAACCAATCATTTCATGGGGAAAAGACTTAGTCCTGTCAGGTCCGGTGAAACTCCAACCGTTACCCTTGGAAGACAACAACCGGTTAAATACAAAAAAAACAAAACAAATGGGTACGGGTTAAACCGCGGAACCAATGGACCCATACAGTCCATCTTTTCTTACAATAGATTTTAATAAGTCATCTATACCCCCAAAAAAAACAGGTTTTCTTTCCAGCAATTGTCGAACACACTACTCCCAAATCCCAAGGTTGCTCATGATTTTGAGCCATGGGCACATCCATTGACCGCGATCCGAGTTGCTGGGATATTGCTGAAGGCTGTTGAACCTTGGAGGTCAATCCACATGAGCCAAGGAAAACCCCTTGGGACACTACGGAAAGCATGAACTAGACTGAGCATCTTAGTCTGTTTAAGAAGATCAAGGCATATAATTCATTCATATAATTTAATATATATATATATATATTTATATACATATACATTTATAGATATACATACATATATATATATATATTGTATACACATATGAATAATGAACCGTCTGTTGGATCAGGTACCAAGTATTACTGACTTGTGGGAGGTACCATATACATAAGGCCTATATGAGGGCTATGGGGGATATGATCCCAAAATCTGGTTTCATATGGGTCCTGAAAAATCCCATTGATACTTCGATTTTTGATTCAGGTTTTTTCGTTCGGCCATCCCCATGGGGAATCGTTGCAGCCAACCCCATCCCAACGTCTTTTCTGTGCAAAAATCGCTGTTGGTGAAGCTTCCCAGGTGTCTTGCTCACATCCGCCCATGTTTCTTGGTTTCTTGCTGAATGTGTCCCCACTTTTTGCTTGCTTGTTGATTTTGTGGTTGGCGGCGTTCATCCATCTAATGCTCGAAAAACTAGTTGAACCACCAACCAGCAAGTAATATCTCCATTTACCGGATGTGTGCTTCAAACCCAGTTCTTCATTGGTTTTCCATCCACAGGATAGAATCGGATAGAACATCCAAATGCCGCCCGGCTACACGCTCAGTTATAACCCATCCGACTAAAGATATGTCCACATATGTCCACCATAAACCATATCTAACGCTTAACATAGGGGGTGCATCCCACTTGGTAAATGGGTTCTACCCCTCATATGGGATGGTCTGGATTAATTATGTGTATATATATATATGTATACTATGAATTATAAACCACTTACTAAGTGAGATGCACAACATGGGTTTGTGAAAATGGGGCACCCCTCAATGTCCTGGCGAAACAAAATCGTTTTACAAAGCAACTGGCCATGACCGGATCGCATAACTTCCGATGAACCAACTGGGGCTCCACCTGAAGGTGAAATCCATGGATTTCATGGTCCATATACTTCATTCTTAGTTCATTCTTTCCATATGTTTCCCCAGTTTTTCTTGCAGCATTTGAAGATTTTTCAGCATCGTCCCTGGGTTTTTTCAGGTTTTTTCCGCATCACTGAAGCGTCAAGGTGCTTTCAAAACAGTTCACCAGCTCTGTTCCGGTGCAGTCCACCCCAGAGGCGTTCAAGGCATCCCTGACGATAGGTACGACAGGTACAACTCAAACCATTGAAGGGGCTATACGGATGGGAATATATAATAGTGAATGAATATAATCATGGGAATATATGGACCATTGTTTGATATTAAGATATATTAAGCATCTCACATGATGAATTTAGACAACAAATCCATACAAATACTAAGCCATTTTCTCGAATGGATTGATTTCAGGGGGCACTTTGTGGAAATCTATGGTGTCAGAAGCCAAAACATGGGAGGTTCTTGTAATTTTTCACCTAAACCAATTCTGGGAGTGAGAACGCAACTACAGTGCACCAGGCTATGACTTGCTGGTATAAAGGCTTTGAGCACAGTGCTTGCATATGCTTACCAAAGTCATAAAACCATGGATTTTTCACCACCAAAACGTCCCTTAAAACCGTTTAGACCTTTAAGCCGGCTTGGCTTCACAGCGCTGTCAAGTCCTTGGGGTACCAGTAGGATGATCAGTAAATATCTGGAACAGCCATTGGAGAAGACGACCTCACAACAAAGATTTGAACATTCTTAACAATCATCAATACTATAATATACTATAATGCTCAAATATATTATTATAGTATTATGGTATTAATCTATTAATACTATAATATCGTATATACCTCAATATGTACTTGTTGAGAGCAATCATCAACATTGTTGAACCGATTGTTTTTTGCCTGGGTCCCATTTCCAAAAGCCTTGCAAACAAAGTTTGCAAACACCTCCAATACCACTGGGTCAAGCTTCGGATTTGTGAATGTGGGATTCACCTACCATAAACCATGCCTAAAAGCACCATTTGTTATGGGTGGTATAAACTATCCCCAAATGGGAGTCGTTTATGGCATTGGTTTGCGTTACCCTAGGACCTAGGATAAACTAACATAGACATGGAAAAAAGTAAACCGTTTGTAGATTCTTTTCCTAGGGAAATCATAGGTTTTTCACATCTACAATTAGTTTACCCTAGGTCTTCTTCAAAATCTCAATCCGAGAAACAGGATGCAACTCTCCAGCTGCGCTTCGAGTTTGGCCGTGTGATCCTTGGGGAAGGGGGCCACTTGCGGTATACGAAGAGGTCAATCCAGGATTACATACATTGTCCGCAGCAGTTATGGGGGGTTACCAACAGCTATATTGGATAGAATATAATTATATATATATATAATTGTTCACTGTATATACATTATACATACGTTCAGGTGGGTGTGGTTTGGGCCATCATGGGCCATCTTTGCTTGCAACACTGCACTATGTCAACAAACATGTTGAATGTTATCATTCAACTCCAAGGCAAACTCAGCAGCACAATCACCAATTGTCTTTAAAGTCTTACCATCTTTTCCCATTAGTTGAGACATGTTGAGACATGTTGAGACATGAGTGCCAACCTCACATCAAGATCGATACAATCCAGGGATGATCCAGGCAAAAACCATCCTGAACGACAAACACGTCAGCAAAATTGAAATGGTCATTTGTGGAAGATCCCCGCACGGAAGAAAAAAATACGGTGACGCCGTAGGAAGGGTTGGTAGAATTCAGCCATACTATATAATATACCAATATAATCCAATATATATATATATGTATATATACACACACTCTACACATATACAAAAATATAGATAGACAAACATATAGATAAGATAAGATAAAATAAAATAAGATAAGATAAGATTATATATATATTATATATAAGATAAGATAAGATAGGATAGATAGATAGACAGTTGATGTCCCTGTCCACAATCCATCCCAAAAAGCCCAAACTGCCAGAGGCACCCAGGAGGCCAACAGGATTTCTCTCAACGCCTCCTGGCCGTCCGGCCGAACACTGGCTGGTTAAGAAGGGATTTCCCTCATGGATTTGTGATCTGAAATATAGTGGATGGATGTGGATAATATTGGATAATATAATCCCGAAATTCATCAACCAACCATGAATATTGAATTGTATCTACTTGTATTCCCATATTAGTTCATGGTTTAAACCTCTATTCAATCACTACAATCATCAACCAACAGGGGTAGATCGCAACTCAAATGTTGGTAGAGTAACTCTTCCAGCCCCTGGAGCGCCCCCCAGGGATTTTGGGCGCCTGGTTCACAGGCAACGCCTTGAGGCCATCAACCAACAGAGCGCGGTTCAAGCCCAACTGATCTCTGACCTGCGTGTTTTTTTTTTCGGAGTTGAGCTGGGATACTTAAAGGAACACACACACAGTTTCCGAATGTGTTTTATTTTTATTTTTTAGATCTGAACTTTGGAATTCGGACTTTGGACAACACAAACAATCACATGTACAAAAAACATGGAGGGCTGGAGGATCAGATGTGTGTAATAAAAACATATTGACACAGGAAGGCAACATGTTCTGCTGCTGTTAAACTGCAATGACTTTATGTGGCCGGCAAGACTGAATGAGCAAAATATGAAAATCATGGATGCACATCAATAATTGGCCTGGCACAAACAATATGAAGAGGGTTTGGCAGTGCAAGTATGTGTTGCCTTGCAGTTGCATATGCAGGATGTTATCGCCCCATTAGGGTCCCGGATGGTTAGACGGGTTAAACACAACCCAAGAAAGCTAACAGACCTTCAGTCCTAGCTGCTGGTAAACAATCCGTATGTCCTGATTTTCATCATCAAGTGAACAAACAATGATCATTCTTCTCAGTCCTAGGCAGTGTTGTAAATACCATCTGGCAAACTAGCTCATGGAAACCGACCCCCAGAATTTCCACCACTTTCCACTCTAAACAACTCACTTTTTTGGTCGTTTCAACGTCGACAAAACATAGTAATTCTAGACATGTTCGCACCATCGTCTCAAATCAGGAAACAATTGCCGGATTAAAACAACACCCTACCTAGTGAGACAAATAAACCAATATTTCTGAATTGTCGAAAGTAATAAATAAAACAATATAATGATATAGAATAACAATGATAAGAATCATAAACATACGTGTTTGATAGAACCACGTCTTTCATGATGATTTTGAATACCTATACTATTATACTATGAAAATTACTAATCATATTGACCAATCATACTGGCCTGGCTTCGCAGGTTTTGCACCCATTCCTGCAGAGATCAGTGGCGCTCCATGGGTCTGCAATTTTAAAGGATACCCTCCCAAGGCTACACCCCATGATTCCATAAATTGTAGCAACATACAAGATACATGGAGCATCTGGGATAAATATATATATATATATATTTTATACGTACATCAGTGGTCTTGTTGGATAGAACCCAGGGAAACATGTATATAGGAATAATTGATGTTCAAGTGTTGGTTCCAACTGACAAATATGGTAAGTAGTTTCAACATATTGATATCATCCAGCTAAAAGTCACCAAAAGGATCCCATATATGCATACTATACATACAACTTATACCATATGTGTGTAAGGTATAGTATTACAAATTATGTACAGTACACATATATATATATTATACACTCTTCTGTTTGAAAGATTGTTCCAAAATATCTAAAACTATAGCCTTCGTGCATATGGGTTTATCTGAAAATAATGTACCCCAAAACCACCAGTTAATCATAATTTTCAGACACATCCAAAAAACATATAATTGGCTTATACCATTCCAATATATATATATAATATGTACATATCCCACAGAACATCCCGTGATATTCCTACTTAGAACCCCATTGATCTTTTTCTAAAGCAATAAGAAACCAGCAATATCTTGATGCTGCGAATACCATGGGGGATGCTGGAGCCCCTTGCTTGACGAAGTATTAAATCTTTAAGGTCATTGCTTGAGTAGCCATTTAGAAATCATGTTGGGGATTGTTTACTGACCATCAAAATGGCCATGATTCGCCAAAAAATGGGGATGGATGGTTTACTGAGCATCAGAATGCCATGATTTTCCATGATTTTTTCCCATTTGGGGATGGGTCAAAACCCTGGTACCTAGTGAACCCCAAAATAGCTGGTAAATGGATGTTCATCCCACTAAAAATGTATCTATAGGCCATGATTTTTCCCATGTCTTTCGCTTTACCAACCCACCACCAGCGCCGCACCGTTTCACGGTGCGACGTGGCGCTGGCTCCTCCAGCTGATTCGGCAGCTGCTCGGCGAAGCGTTGCTCCACAGCGCTGAAGAGCTGCGAGGCCTTGCTCTTCACCTGGAGGCCGATGAGATGGAATGATCTACCCTCTGGTAGTTTAACATAGCCATGGAAAATCACCAGTTTTAATAGGTAAACCCAGGTAAACCATCTATAAATGGACCATTTTCCATGGCTATGTTAAATAACAAGAGGGTATGTTTCCATGATATGTTGGTAAATTTATATGGAAATGAACAAATATTTATGACAATAAACATGTGTCCATTATGATGTACACATGATTTCCAATATCTATGAGATGGAAAGTTTAACTTATATATTATTATGTGTCATGATATATAGTTCACAAACCTGAATTAAGGCCATTTGGGGATGATTTCCCTTATTAACCATGATTCCAGTGAGGTCACAGTGAGGTCGTTATAATTTTATAATGATGTATTGATAATATACATATAATTAGATATATAATGATATACACTCTCACATATATATATATATATTGATATATCAGGATATTTACATCATGACATCTATGTATGTATGAGAAGGATACATCATGATCTATTGTGATGTATGCGTGCATGATATTTGTTGAACAACTATGAACTTGTAGTCTAATCAAATGGAATGACGACCTATATAGTATATAAATAACAATTACCCTTGTTACTACCCTCTGGTAATTTCACATAGCTATGGAAAATCACCAGTTTTAATGGGAAAATCCACTATAAATGGCCATTTTCAATAGCTATGTTAGTTTACCAGAGGGTATGTTGTCTTTTTCCAGTTGGAATTGATCAGGATTTGGTAGCTCCATTTAACAAATCCTAGGGGCCATGACTGTAATGCGAGACGACGATCCTGATCTGGCATGAGAGGACCATCATATAGATGAAACATGTACAGTAAATAAACACCTGAAATAAATATTAATTCACCAATCTGAAACACTAACTTCATGCCATTTCTTGATAGGTCTACTAAAAATAGACCTATCATTTCCAGTGAGGTCGTCATGACTTTTTCCCGATGTGCATATATATATATATATGTATACATACAAATACATGGGTGTGTGTCTGAAAATAGGGTAACCATCCATTCGGCCACTTTACATAGTGAGGAACATAATGATGAAAGTAGTGATGAACCAGTGTACCCCATTTTCAGACATACTCACATGAGCAAGGAAAATGTGGTATCTAAGTTTAAACAGACCTCATATTTCATCATATTTCTATCCATCCATCCATCCATCCATCCATCCACCCACCTACCCACTCACCCACTCACCCATACACACACTACTCCCCAACTCTTCGCCGATTCAAGCTAAGTACAGTGCCATTTTCTACTTATGTAAGTGTTCAGAGTAGCACCCAGTAATTAAATCATATCAAGTTGGTTGTATATCACCATTCATGTGTGTTACTTCATTAATACGCAAAAATGGAAGGAATTAATATACGTTTTACTTGGATAAAGTAAAACACCTCAAACACACACCAATATCATATATATATATAGTTCAGAATTATCCCATGATATTACTGTACACCACAGTACCTGCTGCAATTCTGCAATTCTGCTTATTTCCCATAATAATTATCCCATGATTATACGATTCTACCACTATCACTAAAGTTCAGTCCCCACCCAAAAAAAACTCTAAAGTTCAACTTCTAGCCCTCACATTAAGATGCTGATGCTCAATAAATCACCATCTATTCCTATCAAAAACCTGTCAAAAACTCAGGGAATGGCTGGGCTTCCACGAGTCCACGCCTTGTCGTCGGTGGCCAGGTGCGTCAGGAAGCGTTGACTTCGCTTCTGCACCGCGTCCAGCTGCGGAGTGATGGCCGTCTCCTGGCTGTGATGCAGCAATGAGAATGGGGTTTCATAGTGGGAGTCTTAGCATGAAAAATGATGAAAACATGAAGATTGAGTGGGAATAACAAATGAGCTTTTTCATGGACATTTAATGAGATTTACTGATAATTCATGGGATTCAATTGGATTTGAACATGACAAATTCGGGAAACTGGTGATTCTATAATCCAAAGTCGCGGGAAATGCAAATATATGAAAAAGCGATCACGTGAATAGCTGATCTGTAACTCAAACGGTCCAAAAAACATATGTTTCAAAACACTCCAATACTGATCTAATGTGGATTTTCAGTTGTGAGTTTGACTCTTTGCTTTTCAGTCAAAAACTATCCTTGAACAAGTTAGAGATCATCTGCAAAAATCTGGAAGCTTAATTTGTTGCAATTGGGCTTGAGCTGATTTAGAAAGGGCCCTCATAAACTTGTTTCTTCCACTTGGCTAGAACACAAAAGACACCTAAATACAAGATCTAAAATGAAAGCAAATGCAGCAAAAGAGACTCGAAACAACAGCTATTATCTGGTTATAGGTCATTTTCTTTTGTCTTGCAAGACCGCATATTTTCAGGTCTATTTTCAGTACTAACATGTATCAACCATATACCCTCTGGTAGTTGAACAGTTTGCTATGGAAAATAACCCAATTATAGACTATTTACCTACTCAAAATAGTGATTTTCCATAGTTATGTTAAATCCCCAGAGGCTATAATATACCGTTTTCCCCCATGAAATTCTCATTAAATCACTATGTTTCACCCTTTTTCCAAGCATTTTCCTATCCACATACGTTCCTGGGGTATCCAATTTTGACCAATTAGACATGGGAATGGTGGCCTTAGAACCCAATGGCTTCACAATGCTTCACCACATGGTGGGGGTGCTCATCTGGTCGTTGAGCTACCGCCTTTGAAGGCACAGCAAGCGCATGAGACAAAGAGCCAAGAAAACGTTCTGGAATAGAAATATACACATATATTTTTATGTGTATATATATATATACATGTAATTGTATATATACACATTATACTATATATATAATTGAACACGTGTGTATATATATATATATATATAGTATAATGTGTATACTGTACTGTACTGTATTGCATTACATACACATATATATATATATATATTATATACATACCAACAACACACACACATGTATCATCATATTATGGCTGTCCTCTTTCGAGGGATCAGGCAATCACTGAAAAGGAGGCGTGAGGGGCCTAATGATTGCAAAGAAAATTAATAAGTAGGAAACATGTCGTTTTCGGATGTTTATGGAAGATATATTTATGGCTAATGGGGGTTCATACTAGTGGAAACATGAGGAACAAAATTCAAACCTAGCAACATACAAAAAAAAGGTGTAGTGGATGGACACATACGAATGCCTATGTCCATACGCATGTAGTATGTTGTTCTATATCGATGTCGTCATTATATCTATATATTGTATATTATATTTATTAAATATATTATCACATAGGCTCACAGAACTAAATAATGTGGATAAGTTCACATATCTATCAACAATCACTGTAGATAGTTTATGATACTTACAATCATTCACCCCACAAAGGACCAACGTTGGGGGAAAATTTCCATAGGGAAAAAAACACAGGGAACAACGGGACACATCTCCTGAAGCTGCGTCAGCTGTTCCGCCAAACGCTTCTGCCCTTGCAGGAGCACCGCACCGGCCTGGCTGGCCCCGGCGGAGCTTGGTCGTTTTTAGTAAACATGACTTCACTGGATGGGTTGAAGTTGAAGGACACATCTTAACCGGAAACCATGCTTTTCCCCAAGAGATCTAAGGGTTTCCTGTACATTGTCCTTGAAAGCAATCCAATGATTACGAATCAATCATTCTAGTGCTTGGCATTGAGCATGGATCTTTAGGTAGTTAGTATGAACAGCAATTTTTGGGGTGTTCAGAATCGTGAGCCCACCTGGAGAGTTGAAACTTCAGTCACAAATTGTCCACGAGCATCCAAACCATATCGGAAACAAATGAAGAAATCATGGCCAATCTTGGACAGCATATCTACATATCAAGATATATCACATATACGATTATAATCGATTATATATGTACTGTAACCTCATTCACGGGAACATATTTGCATATTATTCAATAAGCCATCCAAGGGTTACCCGGAAACAAGCTCCACCCCAAGCGCCGCTCTAATTTTCGCTCACACGGAGCTGACCATGATCCCTCGACACTCCAGGCTACGAAGAGTCGCGGGAAAGTTGACGCAGTCCAAACTGTGGTTGTATCCAGCAGGAAGAGTCAGATTTTCCAGGCTGGGAAACTCCACCTTCTCCAGGCTCTGGTTGAAACCATCACCAAAGACCAAAGTTCGAAGGCTTGGTAACTTTACCTTCTCCAAGCTTTCATTGAAGCTTCGACCAAAAATCAGGGTTTGAAGACTCTCTGGCAACTCTGCATACTCAAGGCTCGAGTTAAACATACTTCCAAATCTCAAGTATTGGAGACCATCAGGTAAAATCCCGCTGGGCAGCCGCAAGTTGTAGTCGCCCAATGTCAAGCTTTGAAGACCTGTGAGCTCGGAACATGATTTGTCATATCATAAATAGAAATATCATCAACAATATAAAACATAATATACGTATAATATGATAATATTGTAATTTATAAAATAATCCATATCCATCCATTGTAAGTAAGGTAACGTAGACTTAGGCCCGTTGTCACTTTTTTTTTCCGCGCCACGGATCCTATTCCTGTCCGAGAGGCTGCTGGGGAATCTCACGCAGTCCAATCGACAGCCAAACCTCTCACCTGCAAACTGTTTGCACATCACAAAAAGATGAAAAAAAACAAAAACATCTACAGATATCTACAGTACTTATGATCATACTCATCTACTTATGACTTATGATCATACTGGGATTTAGTAATACTTGTGACTGCTGGCTTGTAAGCTGCATTGGATAGTGCAGACTACCCGACTGGGAGAGTCCGAAGTCAAAACTTGCTGCAAATTCAAACACAAACTCACACGGATTCTTTCTGAGAATATGATCTTATTGGGTATCCCAATAAATATTATTGGGTATTCCTATCGAAAATCACATAAGTGGGTATCCCAAGTTCACAAATGATGATGTTTCCACGAATTTTCCACGCTAGTATCGTAATTTGGGGCTGTACCCAACTTCTTTTACAGACCCTCATATCTACACAGCGCATCAATCCAGAACAATAGAAGACCTCCAAAATTTTCAAATAAAAGTGGAGACCCCACAAGGGAAGCATATGCCCGAGGAATTGGGCATGGACAACGTTCTCTATGGGCATATTTGCGGTGTCCATGAGCCTTCAGGGTACACAGTAAGCTCTATGATGCTCTATTATGCTCTATGTATGATACTGTATTTTCATCTACTTGTGCAACATGTTGTTCCAGTTTTTGAAGCATATGAATGGTGATAAAATACATGCATCGATTATCCATACATGGAGCATATGCTAGCTCCATGCTTATTGCATGGTGTCAAGGGTGAGCATATGAGTGCCTCGCATTCTGACAAGTCACCAAAAGTCAACTGTTGAAGACCCCGTGGCCACACCATGTGCTCGAGGCTGTGGCTCCAATATCTTCCAAACGTCAGGCTCTGAAGGCTTTCAGGCAACTCCACACCTGCGGGCCCAGAAATCTGCTGGAGTCTCGACCAAGTGGACTTGCAATTTGTATCCATAATTATTCATAATTTATGTATATATATATATATAGATGGATAGATATATAGAAAGATAGATAGATAGATAGATAGATAGATAGATAGATAGATAGATAGATAGATAGATAGATATATATATTAACTATTACTGTACCTCATGTTGTTTCTTTCAGTTCAAAATGTCGTGGTCTTGACGAATACCTTTGACCCATACCTTCCAGCGTCTGTCGATAGTTGTTGCCAAAGGTCAAGCTCTGAAGCTTCGGGAGCTTCAAACCCTCCAGGCTTTGGTTGAATTGTGTCCCAAAGGTCAAGCTCTGCAGGTTCTCTGGCAAACCCTTCAAGCCCTCGTTGAAACCTGGGGCGAGGCGCCACGACCGCAAACCATACATATGAACATATAGTAAGCATGAACCCCCAGGGATATACTATAGGTTCCTGTTCATCCATTCCTATCCATCGTTTTGTTTTGGTGTCCACAAAAAACAATGACTTTGAGCCACAGCACCTTTTCCCAGAGTCAAACTTTGCAAAGTGCTCGGCAACTTCAGCTGTTTCAAGACGCTGGAACCCCTTCCACCCAGAGTTAAGCTGCGTAGATTGCTGGGCAAATTCCTGGGATTGGTCATCTTACAGAGGGGAACAATTGAAAAAGTCGAATCAACTCCTGAATTAAGAGAGGAACCCCCAGGCACCTGCAAAATGAATCAAAATGATGCAACACAGATACATTATCGAATACAGTAGAAACAGATACTGTAGAAACAGCATCTCATATTCGCAATCCATTCCAATCCCATTTCGTTCGGTTCTGATGCGAACGATTCTGCTTGATTCTGATGAGTTTTAGTTTTTATTAGCTGCTTTGCTCATTCCTCAAATTGTCAAAGGCTCATTCCTCTGCTTTGGTCAAACCAGTCGCCAAAATGCAAGCCTTGAAGTCCACAAGGCAACGTCACTTGATCCATACTCTGTGCAAAGGTGTCGCCGAAGGTCAAGCTTTGAAGACTTTGTGGAAGATTCCTTGCACGTCGCGGGCCCCTCCGATGTCATCAAACATGGCAAGCTGGGCAAGCCTCGAACTAAATGGGAATTTAAATAGGATGGTCTTCTATACATCATTTTCTCCGGCAAACATATCCAAGCATTTTTTAACTATTTAATCCAGTAGGTAGAGTCCCAAGTGCTGCTATCCTGTTGGATTTTAGGGAGGCAACATCAACAAAAACAACAAAAATCAGAAGCAAATCCTGGATTCACTCCCTGCATTGTCTGGTCAAAATGACCACCAAAGGTCAAGTCTTCCAGAGCTGCAGGCAACGTCACAGCTTCCAATGTCTGATTGAAATGTCTCCCAAAGGTCAACTTCTGCAGACCTGCAGCTGGTGCAGCTCGCTGCCAGAGAGACCGGACTGGGGGATCAGGGATGCCACGCAACAGCAACCGAAGATTATCCCATCATTATCCCATCGTAAACACTAGAAAACACTCGAAAACAAATAACCAATAAAACCATTGGCCAGAGAGACTCTCTGGCAGCTTCACACCTTGCAAGCTCTGATCGAAACTCTCACCAAATGTGAGTTTCAGCAGATTGCAGGGCAAATTTACGCCTTCCAAGCTCTGGTTGAACCACATCCCAAATGTCAAGCTTTCCAGGCTGCTTGGAAACTTCACCCCCACCAAGCTTTGATTGAAATGAGCACCTAAGGTCAAGTCTCGTAGAGCCTGCGGAAGACTGATGACTTTCAGACTTTGGTTCAGGTCTGCGAGGCTCAAGCTCTCCTGGCGACCAACATGTCTCAACCACCAAAATCTCAAGGTTGATTTGTCCAGAAATCTACGCTATCTATTTATATATATATTATATAATATAATATAATATAATATAATAAAATATATTATATTATATTATATATTGTATTATATATAAAATATATATTGTATTATATATTATAATTATATTATATTATATTATATTACATTATATTATGTTTATATATATATATTTATTTATATTTATATTTATATTATATTATATATTAGATTATAAATTACATTATAGTATATTATATGTTACATTATATTATATTATATTAAATTATATTAAATTTTATTATGTCATGTTATATTTTAGTATGTTATATTAATTTATATTATATATATAAACTGCCATAAAAACTGAGCATATCTGCTATTCAAAACCATTGTATCTTTATAATATTGATCAGTCACGGCTTCCAACAAACGATATTATTATATTATATTATACCATATTATATTATATTATATATTATATATTATATTATATATTATATTATATATTATATTATATATTATATTATATATTATATTATATATTATATTATATTATATTATGTTATTTTATTGTTATTATTATTATTATATATTATGTTATATATATATATATATATGTATTATATTATATTAAATTAAATTATATATTACATTATATTACATTACATCATATTGAATTAAATTATATTATGTTATGTTATATTATATATTATAGTATGTTATATTATATATATAAACTGCCATAAAAACTGAGCATATCTGTTATTCAAAACCATGTTATCTTTATAATATTGATCAGTCACGGCTTCCAACAAACAAAAGAAACAAGACTTTCGACCAGTCACAAGTTTGCTTGGCAACACTGCATCTTGGCGGCCAAATCCTCCAGTGAAGCGCCGGAGACTTGGGGGAAGCTGCAGAATGATGGAAGACTCCACACCTTTCCTCCGGGCAAAGTACGGCGAAGTACGGCTCAACTCCCATGGCCCGTATCGGTCAAAGTTGCTTCATCCCAGGTAAGAAGGAACATCCAAAGTATTTTTATCAGCCAGCATAAACATTCATAAACATTCACAAGCCAACAACCGTTGGTATGTTCAATTTGAAAAACACAGTTGGATCAGGAGGGCATTCTCATCTCATTTCTGAAAGAAAACCCCAAAATAAATCGAAGTAGACTTCGACAATTCTGAAGCAACCGGAAAGGTTGGTCGTATCCCAACTGTCCACATCCCGGTTGAAGGTATGATAGAGATCAAACTTATCAGAATGTATATTATATATATATATTATTATATTTATTAAATATTATATATCATATATTACATATTATATATTAATATATTTTATATTATATATTATATATTATATATTATATATTATCTTATGTTATATTATATATTATATATCATATCATGTTATATTGTATTATATTATATTGAATTATATTATATTACATTTAACAATTTTATTTTATATATATTGGAATCACAAGCAGGTTCACCTCACTCATACCCCAAGTGGCTAGTTGAGTCGTTTGGGCAGAATGTACAAAGGGAAATCTTTTACACATCAAAATAGCGACCAGTATGAACCTCATGTTTTTTACCCAAACGGTAGAACCTTTGGTGCATTTTACGTTAGCTTTTCCTCAACCAAAATCTGCGCATATTTTTTCAACAACAACCATCCCAAGTAGACATTGAAAAGCTGCATGGTTTGTCTTTGAAAAACAAAAACTCTCATTCACCAATAATATAAACAAACAGCAATACACACCAAGCTAAACTATGAAAGTATATATAAACGCATGCCAGAACAACACATGAATATGGGTTTGACCAAAAATTGGATACCCAAAATCCAATGGTTGGCGATTCATTTTCCCCACTATCGCCATACAATTGAAGGTATTCCTGCATAATTAACCCATCTAACATATAGTTGGTTGGTTTTAGCTATATGCAACTAACTCCTAAGTGGCTTCTGCATATATATATATATATATTACTCACATACATATACATATCTGTATATACAGTGTAAATATATATATATGCACATTATATATATATACACTGTATATATATATATATATATATACATATGTATACATACATGCATATATACACGTATATGTATATATAATATCTATGTGTATATGTATACATAAATATAATATGTGAAATTATATTCCATTATATCCCCGTGATTATCCAACATGACCCCATCTCTCTCCGGTTCTATCCCCATCCCAGTCTCATCTGCACCAGGCCCTGTAATGCCATCTCTTCCTGCTCTGCCAGAGCACCATCGATGTGGCGCCGTGCGTCCAACAGCCGCCAGGCGGCATAGAGAGCCATGGGAACAAAGGTGCAGGAGAAGGTGACCAAGCCTACCGGGTGCACCCGTGGACAGCTGGGAAATCTAGCTGGGAACATCATCGTGAAATGGGAACATCATCTATACTCCCATATTTTTTTGGGGGATCTATCTGACTTTGGGTAGGTGCTTAAAAGGGCATGATATGGCATGATATTTCTTTTGTGGTGGTTATAGAACAAAATCATCCAAAGATTTGGGATTGTCGCTTAAGATTTTGTAGGGTGGGTATATAATTACTATATAAGGATGCTTGCCATAATTGTCAGTAGATTTTGTCTGGGGAAACATTCTGATAGGATCATCTCGGTCGGCTTATTGTTGTTTTCCATGTTTTCCCGTAGATTATCTGTGCAAACTCCTAGAGTCTGCTAGAGCTGCTGACATTCAAAAACCAGAAATGTCGATCATTTTGGGCATGATTCCCCTTACACCGCCAGGACAACCTGCGTGTTTCCTCTTGGGCCTCTTGGGCTTTCGAACACCCTTTCCCCGTAAACTCCTGCAGAAGTTTCTTGGAAAGTTGATGCTTGGGTCTCGGACGACCCGGACCACGCAGGCCATGTGAAGTGGTCATCGGAATCATAACTCTGATCCGAAAAGATACAGGTTGCTTTCTTCTGACACTGTGGATGGGGGAAAAACAAATCGTCCTGATGAAGTATTCATCAACTGCCCAGTGAGGTCGCTATATTTAGCCAAAAAAAGTCTTGGTGTTGTGGACAAGAGATTTGCCCTGTATCTTAGCATGTTTTATTCACTTATATTCACTTTGACTGGTTGGAGGTAACCACTTATGCAACGAGCCATGGTTTATGGGTTGTTTGGCTCGGGCAAATAGTTTTAAGGCTAGTACATTTTGGGAACTCCGGGAAGCAATCAGCCAACGTTTACCTATCCACTCCATCCATGATGCAATCTTTGCCTGACAAAATAGAGATTCCCACAACTGCTGGTTGATTGAGAGACTTGAAACATCCAGTGCCTGACATGTCCCTTGTCGTGTCAATATGAGTATATCTATAATATATATATATATATATGTTGTATATTGTATATATATATATATATATATGCTGTATATTATATTATGTATATATATATATATATATGTTGTAAATTGTATATATATATACCATCAGCTTGGCCCTATGGACAAAATGAAGGTTTTTTTGAAAGAACCGGGTTTCTATCTTTGTAACCCGTATCTGAAGGGGGTCATCATGGACCCTACCAAAAACCGGGTTTTGAGATACTGGTGGATGTCACCATTATCTCTTCAAGCCATTTTGGCTGACAACAACCACGGTCATTGATGTTCTTTGATCAAATAGATTTGAATTGTATAATAGGCTAACTATATGTCTATTTTCATAGTTTGATATATGACATACCTGTCATCACAAGGATGCCAAATACATCCTCTACCGCCGCTACCCAACGAAAATACCACATGGAATCTTATATGAGTATTAAATGGGAAGATCAGGAAAGAACATATGTCTCATATTAACTTAAGCCAAGCTATTGCCAACATTCCCCATTGTCTGCGAATGCCCGGCCATGCCCTGACACTTTTTTCCCCTTGATCCCATCGTCGTCGACTGGTGAAGCCAGCAGGGACACCCAGAAGACAAACCTGCGAGTCAGGGTGGCAGGGATTTTGACCTCCAAGTTCTGTTTCAGTTGGGGCTGATTTTCCACTGGACGAATTGGAAGTCTGATTGTAATCAGTTTATGTGGTTCAGTAAATTAAGGTTGTATTAGTGGTATTTTTCTGGATATTGAACGAAAACTGTGGCTATTCTTTGTTGGCCCTGATGTGTTACCAACAGCGGAAAGCTAGATTTCCTTTTACACCGAAAGGACATTACCTGCACCATCAATTTTTGACACTCTTTCTTCAAGCCAAGAGAGGGGAAGCTGGTTTGAATTTGTTGGCTTTTGCCAATCAGTTATCTGAAGATTTCGTTGGCAGGCCTGCGAGGATATCCCGCAGGGTTGCATCAAGAACAACATCGCTCAGAGTAATTCAGAGAATTTTTTTGATGATGAGAAACGCTGTTTTGTCAGACGCTGATGACATTCAAGTCTGAAATTTCCTGGGTATAGTGGAGTGCTGTGGGCGCTTCACTTGGACTGATGTTTGTGTGTACCAGTGCATGGTACATCTATATCAATGTACATGCAGACACGCTATATATTTATATATATACGTATATCGACATGATGATTATATGTACATGCATGTAAAGATCTAAATATCTCAAGTTTATGTGTGCTTTATAGACCTGTATCATGTAGACCAAATGTCGAACCTATATATATATATCACAGATAATTCTTAACCGTCATAACCATGTTGCCACCAGGAAATCTCAGGACCTGGCAAATAGCAGGTTGGAGCAGCTTGATGATGTCGAGCCGAGTGGCCACAAAAGTAGCCGGAAGGGTTGGGATGGTTGGATGGTGTGGTATGGCTGGTTTTATAAGTCAATATACCAATATACAATCAATAACCAAATCAATCTATAGATATATTGAATATTATCATGTTCCAAAACCGGGTTTTCAAACCATGAATTTCCAAGACCTATTTTTTTTGGGTCTTAACATACAACCTTTATTTTTCCTGGTTGTCATTGCTCCTGGTATGCTGTATATTATATTATATGTATATATATATAAATTCATCATCAGCGATGTGATTTTGGTCTCTCGCTCACCTTCATTGCCCGCTGTTTGTCGAAGCAAAGTCTGCTGTAGCAACAGCTTCGAAGTGTCGGAAGCCAAAGAGATTGCAGTTCCCGCTTTGGCTGGCAGGGTGTCACACACCAGTTGCTGTACTTGACGTCCAACTGTATATCCTTGGTGGCTTGTTGATACCCAGAAAAGAAGTTCAACTTTTAGGGGGATAAGGTGTAACTTAAACCCATCTAACCCAATAAATATAAACATATACTTGTGGATGGCTATGATCCATCCAGTATCCAGAAAGTTTCTTGAATGTCAATTCTTCGCCGTTCAACAAGTGTACCTAGCAGCGCTGCCAGCGTACCATTGGGATATCATTTGGATATATGACCAGTCTTAATACTATGCGGCTGTCTCTAAAAACGGCGGGCGGATGCACCCCCAATCTATGGCCAGTTTAATGGGGAGAATGATTGATAAAACACAAGCATCCCATCTCAATGTGAATGTGTAGGATTTCACAGATTGCTTGAAAATCAGGTACGGCAACATGAAACACCAGGATATATCAAATGCAGCCACTAAACTCACACTCAACAGGTCACATCGTTCATTGTTTGATGTACTGAACTGCAGTAGAATCTTAAGTTTAACCTCTGGCAGATTGATTATGGCCATGGAGAAAGCTAACCCATTTGCGATTGTACATGATTAATTAACCTGTGAAAAATTACCATTTTCCGAGTACCAGATGGTACCTGGGGTAAATCCAACTGCGCCTGAACATCAAACGTCACCTCGCTTTCCTCCGCCATCTTATTCCACTTCGCAGAGACGTCACAGTGAAATGGCGGCTGTTGACATCGACATGGCTACGTCCGAAGATCGGTGTGACAGAGTGGTTGGGACCAAGGCGTGAAATTACCCGCGACAAAAAACATCTAACTCTACCCTCTGGTAATTTAACAGTTTGCTATTGAACATTGCCTATAGAAATAGTTGATTTACCTATTAATGATGGTGATTTTCCATAGCTTTGTATGTTTACCAGAGGGTAAATTATACAAGGTACTTTCTAATTGAATATGATATGCCAGTTCCTAACCGAGGCCAATTGCGAGCTGCGATCCCTACGTGTCGTTGGCAACGAATGGCTGTCGTAGAACATGTCAAGGTATTATAGTGACAATAGGCGTCAATGAAACCGTTTTCACGGTATACTTTCCTTTAGATCTTCCCCAAACATCACCAAAGACATGTATACGCATTATATACCAGCAGCGTAATATGATGGCTTTGCAAATGATTCGCAAAATCAAGACCCCCCTTTTTTTGGAATCTATATATAGTCTATAATTATCTATCATTTACATCAATTATCATTATCTATAATTTATCTTTTTTTGGAATCTATTTTTCCCAACCATTTACCTACCGGTTCTGAACCATTTATGATGAGACCCGAATAGTTTCACGGCCTTGGAGCTGCCAAGTTCTAAGACCCACTGGAGCTGCTCTTGACCTGACGGGGAAGGCTGGTGATTTTTTTTGCTGGAGGATGGCTATTCTTCACCAATCAAAACAACCAATACTGTGGGAATCTGTGTATATATATATATATCATATCTGTATATATATATATATCATATATGTATGTATATGTATATGTATATTGTAGTATTCTATTGGGATACCATAATTCCAAAAAATAACATCATATCCCAATATTCCCAGTAATCAGAATGAGGTTCCCATTGTTTTCAGGATATGTTATCAGGAATCTTGTGCCAGGAGTATTTTCATACCGTCAATACGTGCTTTTCCGTGGTGAACTTTCAGAATACAAGGGTATAGAACCAACAAAGGGAAGGATAATATATATATATAAACCAACAATATTCATAGAAAGCAGGAGCGACCCCTCTGTATCTGACCACCCTCATCTTGAAGGGCCACTTTGAACAGAACCCAAAATCGAGCGGAGCCTCCCCTGTGTGTTGCATAGTTGTTGGTGTGGGGAAACCCTGTAAAACAGATTAAAACAGCAGGTATTATTGATGTAACCTCCCCCATCTCAACTGCTCTAAGCCGTCAAGAGCATCACCAAAAGAGCACTTGAGAGCTGATATGAGCGAGTTATGAGTTGAGTCCATGCCTCTCGTCTGTTAAGAGCACTCAAGAGGGATTAAGAGCCAGTATGAAGGGTGTAAGAGTCACTATAAAGGATGATGAGGGGTTTTAGAGGCACTGAACAGGATTGTGAGGCCTTTATGGGCTCTTTAGAGTAGTTATTATTTGACTGACTTACCTGCTCCCTCCCCGAGATAAGGAGGATTGCATTTCCGGGGAAAACTTCTTCAAACAAATGGGATTTGTTTCACCGTCAGCACAGGGAGTTTCAACCATCAAGAGATTCACCAATACATCTGCATTGTGTTGAGACATCACCAACCGATAGATGTCAAAGCATTTGGGTGGGAAGCATGAGTTTATATCAATATATAGAACATGTCGGAAACTTGACCAAACTGACCAGTAAAAAAAAAGATAACCACACAAATGTCTATCTCTTTGGGGACCCTACGGTAACATACAGTAACCACTAGTCATCCAAACATTTGTGGTTTCACAACCATCCGGTGTACTTTTTTTTTCCAATACCAACAGCAACGAAACATGGATTCCATAAAGAACCAACTAGCCCAGTATTTGTCTACATAGCTATGTATATACATGTTTCTATTTATACACAGTCAAATAAATGTAAATAAATAATTGATTCTTGTATATATATATATTTGTTTGTATATACAAATCTCATGTATATCATATTGATTGTGTTGTTGATCTACCATTTTTTTCATCATCAGCCCAACCACCACACGAAAGAAAACTCACCAGCCGATTTGCATCGCTCCATCTGCTCTTGCAGGTTGGATGCTAGGACTTTGACCTGACCGAAAAAAACCCAAGGGTTTTAAGGATTACTATGTTGTATCCACGTTACATATGGGTTGCATATATATATATAATTAAATATTATATTAACATAGCTGTTGAAAATGGATAAACATGGCCAATTTATAGTTCATTTACCTACTAAAAGTGGTGATTTTACTATCTCAGATCCAAGTAAACTCAATGCCATACTTGGGGCATCCAAGGAATGGTCAGTAGGTAACATTTCAAAGAAAAAACACATATGAAACATGCCGATGCATATGCCACTAGTCACTAATCTACCTGGTAGTGCAATTGGGCTTCTTAATAACTTGATAGATATAACATGATATAACCATGGCAACTACCCACATACGTTGGATATATTGAGTTATAAATCCAATCAGAACGAGAACTGCATCCGCAAGTAGTCACCAGTTACAACGGGCTACAGACGGGTATACCATGATGTCATGGTATACAATAATAAAGCCCCAATTATTGGGGTGGCCTCATTATTGGGTTTCCCATGGTTTCCCAAGTTTCCCACTCCCATTATCCCAGATTCTCTTGACAAAGTGGACCGGCCATGGGGGATCTGCAAGTGCTATCTGCAAGCTCCAAATGCCGGTTGCAACCAACTCCAGGCAAGTTAAGACGTTCCGAACGTGGGAGTCCGAATGTGTACGTTCTAACAATAAACCTCCAGTTTTGAAGGGTTTATACCACCCATCTACAGTGAATTTGGGGATCGCTTTTTCTTGGGTTTACCACATTATCAATATTCCAACCATCAGGTCCAAGTCCTTCTAGCTGTGGTTCAAAACATTTCAAAACCCAGGTCATTACACAAGGTGTTTAGCCGCATCAAACATCAAGAAAACAGAAAACCCAGGGGATCTCTCCATCAAAGATCTCCGAATCTCCATCTCAAAAAAAAAACTGGACATCTGCCAAGCAACATCTTCATCCGCGGAGGCCGTTTGGGCGATTTTGCTCCTGGTTTTTACACAGCCGTTTTAAGGGTGCCTTTTCTCGGGGTAAGCACATGTAATAAAGGGGGAACTTGTTGCCCAGGTGTACATGTAACATCATGTAACATCCGCTTAATATACTTGGTATTTCTTGGTTGGGTTTGTCTGAAAAGAAAGTACACCAAAAATCCAAAAGTTAATCATCAGTTTCCCTATCTGGTTGGTGGTTTTAACCATCTTGAAAAATATGAGTGCGTCAATGGGAAGGATTATCCCATCAGCTATATTCATGATTATCCCAAAAATTAAAAAAATATTATCCCATAGTCATCAGCTATATTATCCCATATATTATGGAACTTTTGGACCTTTGCTCTCGCACACCTTAGTTCGGCTTCGATGTTGCACAGCATATTGCGTTACAACAGTGAAATTGTAGATCGGGCTCGCTGACCATATATTATGGAAAATAACAAATGTTTGAAACCACCAATCAGCTATTTGTCTGTGGCAATGTGGCTGATCATTTCTCCGGGAAACAGCAGCACCTAATGGCTGGCTGGCCGAGTGGCTTCAACGAAAAAATCACTTTGTGCAACCGTAATTTTTGAAGCCCCAACGGCGCGATAGCAAACGTGGTTGTAAAAACTATGGTAAGTTCTATGGTTGTGGATGTGTTACCACTATGTTTACCATTATTAATCATCATTTACCACTATGAACCATCATAAATCCTAAGTGAATCCCAATATGTTTTTTTTACATATTAATCCTATTAACCACTATCAACTAACCATATTAAACCATATGTGCCCAATGGCAAAGGTGTTTGTTTTCCGTCGCCAAGCTTCAAACACCTCACGGCATCCTCGAGGCCGTCAACCTCCAGGCCACTGAAGTCTCCTAGCGGACCAGGTTTTTTGGTCGTCGATGGGTTTTTGTTCACCCTGCTTCACCGCAAATGGTAATTTCATAGCATATCCCATAGGATCCATGTATGGTATATATATATATGCTAACATTGGGGGTATATTGATGGTAAATGTTACCATATATAGCATACATAGATCCTATGGGTATTATTGGCATGTAATCTTGGGATACATGGGATAGAAAATGATATAAACAATTTTGGACTGAAAATGAGGTATCTCCTCAAAATTGCCATTTAATGGGGAAAATGAGGATAAATCAAATTTTGGGGTAGCCAATGGGTAGCCTATTTTCAGACGAACCAATCTGAACACAAGCAACGTGTTAAACACGTCAAACTGTTGGCATATACAAGTTCACATTCCGAGCTCCTGGTTTATTCAAGAATCAGAAACAACATGAAACAATTATACATCTTAGATCATCTAAAAGCAATTTATAACATCATTTATAGCTTATATTAGACTTCATTAAGATGTTCAAAGATTCAGTTCACCATGGATCTCACCCACCAGCGCTGTTTCCAGGTCCATCCTGAGGCGACCATCTCTCTGAAGGTCACCAAGCGAAAGTGCAAACTCCGCAGGTCCATGGCGATCTCTTCGGTCTCCTGCACCAGGCGCCAAGTAGCGCCAACCAAAATGCTGAGATGAGACTTACCATTTGATGATTTTGATGGTTGGGAAACTCGATCCGTAGCTCCAACTGGCTCCCCATTGAATAGGGAATATATAGGGAATATTAAATAATATTAATACCCCTAGCTCCTTAGCTCCCTCCTAACCACTGGATAGGGCCTTCTAGGGAGGCTTTGTTGGGTCACCACATGGCTTGTTTCCTTTGCTGTTTGATGAATACCTGCATCCATTTGATGCGAAAATTTGAAGTGCTGAGCAAAAGGGCCCAAAATGGCACAAAAACACCACACAATTCTGGCAATGGCATGGAAACAATCAAAACAACGCTGTTTTGTGAAATGGCACTTTGTCAACGAACCGGCAAAACAACTAATTGTTGCAATTTTGGAAGACATCTGGTTTTGCCTGAAAATAGGATACCCCGTACCCCTAAATCCAGTGTTGTCGAAAAAAATAAACGTCTTAAAATGGCTAGTAGTTTCAGACAGGCACATTTCTTTTAAGTATTCTCTCAGTGTATATTGGAATGGTGGTCTCATTGGTCCCATTGCGAAGTTTGCTGAGAGAACATCCAAGGCATTGAGCAGTTCGTCATGATTTTTTTGGATGATAGCTTGGTGATTTCGGATGATCGTTCTTTAATGATTGGGATGAGGGAATTCCTGGGATGGCCTCATTTTGCAGACCCATCAACCCATCCAGAAATTTATCATATCACCATCCTATCTATGCCCGCACAACTCAAAATGTTGGTCTGACGTGCGAAGATTGATGATATTTGGTATCTAAATGTATCTAACATATCTAACATTCCCTAATCATCCGAATATTCAGCATCAAAAGAACACGAAGGACCCCTTGATTTGCAGGAATCCAATCTCATGGTACTGCTATGATTTGTGGTCGCCTCTAAACACCAGGCTTCTCATCCATTGTTCCATGAAAATAGCCGCAAATTTGGGGTACAGTATACTCCATTTTCAGACACACATACAATTTGTATATATCCCATGGGATATTGCACATATAAAAATATGTCAGATATTTCATGGGATATATCGGATATTTCATGATATTTCATGGGATATATACTCCATTTCAGTATAATATGAAATTTGTTATATATCCGAGAAAAATCCCATGAAATATCCGATAGATCCCAAGCTTCCCCCCTGATTGTTGGCCTTTTGCCTACCACCTTTTTGTGCTGGCTGATTCAAATCCCAACCAGCATTCCCATGAAATTATCATGGAAAACCCCTACTTTTGGAAGGTTAAATACCCCATGTGTATCCATTTGTAACCTTCTAATCAAGGATATTCCATGATATTCCCATATCCTCCTAATCTTCCCAGTCTATTCCCAGTATCTTCGCGCAACAATCATGTTGAAAACATCCTCATTATGACTCCCCAAATCTCTTGCGACCCTATGGCACTCACCACTCCTCTTCCCCATCACGACGCTGCCAGACATCGCCGTCACTCCATTGGAGACAGCCGTCCAAGCCTCAGGCGTTCAAGCTGTCCACCAAAAAGGTGACCCCCCCAAAAAAATAAGGGCTTAATGGGGCTTAATGGGGCTTAATGGGACTTAATGGGGCTTAATGGGGCTTAATGGGGCTTAATGGGGCTTAATGGGGCTTAATCGGGCTTAATGGGGCTTAATGTTGCTTAATGGGGCTTAATAGGGCTTAATGGGGCTTAATGGGGCTTAATGGGGCTTAATGGGGCTTAATAGCGCTTAATAGGGCTTAATGGGGCTTAATGGGGCTTAATGGGGCTTAATGGGGCTTAATAGGGCTTAATGGGGCTTAATGGGGCTTAATGGGGCTTAATAGGGCTTAATGGGGCTTAATGGGGCTTAATGGGGCTTAATAGGGCTTAATGGGGCTTAATGGGGCTTAATGGGGCTTAATAGGGCTTAATGGGGGGGCTTAATGGGGGGCTTAATGGGGCTTATGGGGCTAATGGGGCTTAATGGGGCTTAATAAGGCTTAATGGGGCTTAATGGGATGGGGCTTAATAGGGCTTAATGGGGCTTAATGGGGCTTAATGGGGCTTAATGGGGCTTAATGGGGCTTAATAGGGCTTAATGGGGCTTAATGGGGCTTAATAGGGCTTAATGGGGCTTAATAGGGCTTAATGGGGCTTAATGGGGCTTAATAGGGATTATAAAAGGCGAACTTCTGATGAGATCCTCAGTGCTGCTGCTAACCATTCTGAAGGCCACAGACCCTCTGAGGTTACTAGCTCCTAACAGTCAGTTCTGAGTGATCACCCAGCGGACCAAATCCCTGGTATGCCAGTTTTCACATCAAAATGGGTTGCAGGTGTTCATCTGCCCAAATCATGTAGTATCACAGTAATGCACTGTATAGGTTTTGGCCCATTCCAGCATATGATCAATGCTGATAAACCACCAACAAACGAAATCTACTATACTATGATACCATATGATACCATATGATACCATATGATACCATATGACACCATATGATACCATATGAATGGGAAAAGACTCCGCATGCAAATGGATAATTGCTTTCACTGAAAATTCAGTTTTCGAATCCTGATCCTCCAAACCAGCTGGTTTACAGCGTATTTGCATGATCTTGGGACTAAATCTAGATTCAGTTTTTGGATCCTGATCCTTCAAAAAAAAAAGGATGAAACAAACCTCAAGTCACCCGTAGCGGACTCTTGGAAATACTGTATCTACCCCTACTTGGAGGATCATCCCACATAGTAACTGGTTAAACGGGCTTGTAACCCAGCTCTAAAGCGGAAAAACATCCCGGATAAACTACGGATCGGGGACTTAGTAACCATGATTATTAACCACTTACTAAGTCGGATGATGTTCCAAGTACTATTTATACATATATATATATGTATATATATATATATGTATATATATATATGTATATATGTGTATATATACATATGGTAATGTTCCCTTTTAAACCTCCATTTACAGTGGATAACTTTTCCATTGTATATCCATCATATCCCGATTTTTTATTGACCCCTATTGGGATGACAATGGAAAGCGCCAAGGGACGCAAGCTGCCTTTGAAGATTTCGCCCGCCAACCTGGGATCGGTTGTGGACTTTGGAATATCCCCCCATTAAAAACATCCAGTAACTAACATCCCATTGATGTATTGTGTTCCAAATACAAGTAAATTAACATCCCATTCATGTAACATTCCATTTATGTATTATGTGCATATATCTATCTATACATATATATATATAATGTATATAAGTTGCCTGCCACTGTTCCTTCAAAGTATTTGTTCGAAGGATGAGGATTCCCCTATCAACAAGCAGCAACAACTCGTCAAAAGGGGGACAAAGAAAGAAGACGTATCGGTTCTACGAACTCTCCAAAATGCGACAACCTTGAATGCAGAAGCCGCAGGCAACCGAAACTGCTGCGTGTTGCAACCGTTCCATGACGAGTGGCAAGGTTGAGATAGAGGTTTCACTCCACATGCATTGAATCGAAAAGTCAGACTCCTGTCTTCGACAGTGGAATGATTGCCCCTGGGACCTCTGGGACATCTGAACAGCTTCTGGCTCCAACATGTCCATGGGAGATGGACGTTGCTACTGATTGCTAACAATGATGACGTTGGAAACTGATACTGATTAGTCAAAGAGTTGGTCCAATAAAGTTGCTACAATTGGTGTTGCCCCACCTCCCCCCAGTACCATACTGATTAACTATATATTATATATAGTTATATCATGTTATATCTGTCATAAACTGCAGATAATTGGCTATCTAGCAGGCCCCACCTTGTATACAGAGTATCTACAGTATAGATACAATGCATACATATAATGATATATACTAAAACATTATACATATGATATATATATATATCATTATTATTACAGTATTATATATACAGTATATATTATATATGAGTACACATCACTGTATCATAATAGCATAAAATACGGTAGACATCTATGTATATATATATCACATCTATTTACAATGTAACACTTGTAGTTCGGCCGGTACCATCTCACCGGCCGATACATGATACTGGCCTCGCCCCAGTGCCACTGCAGCATGGCATCTTTGATGGTACATCGAGCCTCCGGGGTATTGGTTTCCCATGGTTTCCCCGATCATATCCCCATCGTTTTTCCCGAGTTTTGTCTAGTTTTGTTGGTGAAAACCCACATGAATGAACATTCATGATGCTTGAACATAGATGAATTTAGGGGGGTCTTTGATCCATATGATCCATTTACAGTGTAAGTTGGTTCAAACAATCCCTATGCTTGCTGGCAACAGTGAGCTAGCAGCTAGTACCGGAGTCATCTGGTCAACTGCCATCTTTACCAACTGATTTGGTCCAGTACTACGGTACGGTCAAAAGAGCCAGAATGCTAGAGGCAAATAGAACCATACAGATGTATGGTTGGTTGATGGTTGGTTGATTATTGAAATGTCCAGCTCCGTTCTTTGTCGACCAATGATGACAAATGTAGTGATGAGGTCTTTTTTTTAGGGCCTGTCATCTCTGGATGTCATTCATGTTGCTCCAACATATACTCAAAACATGTCCTGAAAACAAACACATATGAAAATCGTCTAAAATCTTGTCAACTATCAAATATCTTACTATCAGTATCTATTATAGTTTAGATCCACGCATAGAGTATTGTACCCACAAATAAAGAAAGGGTTACCCTTTCCACTACTTGTCAGCAAATTTTTACCAGATTCTATTTTGTTGGACTTGCTGTCTGAAAATACTGTAACCCCAAATTCATCATCGATTCATCGTCAACTTCTAACTTAAAATTGGTAATTTAAAGGTATACCCCATTTTTAGCACACCCCAAAATCATAGTATTGGCTTTTTTCATCTTATATCACATTATATATATATATATATTGTATATATTTATCCCGATAAATTACCTCCCCATTAAACGCCATGCAATCCCCATCCCCAAATTGTGGTTATACTGAGTTATGCTGCCATACTTGGGAAGAGCCGGACACTTACGCAGTTGTAACTTATGATAAAGTCAGACTACACCTTTTCAAATAACTAACTAGAACTAAGTCAGCTTACAAGTAGCTAAGGGCTCCGAGTCCCAGTTGTATCCCGGGTGGATCCCACCAGCGGCTGTCAGCACCTCCAAATCATCCTTGCCAATCCAAACGCCATCGAACAAGGCCCGACTGATCAACTGGTTCAGACCGGAGAAGAGGCTCGACACCAAACCTGGAGTACGGTGGGTGGAAGAAATCCGATCAACCACCAAAAGGATGGTTTTTCAACTGGTGCTGGATTTCGCAACCATCCACAGCATGGGAATAGGTTTTGACCCATCCCCATGTTGTTTCAAGGGATTTGTTTTTCAGGTACAAATGTTGGTTTCAATATGTTTCAATGGCCATTTCAGGCAGCGGTTTAGTGTAGGTACTTGCCTTGTATAAGGCCCTTGGCAAGGGCTATACAACACAATGTAAATATGGCTTGATATGGTACAGCAATGTACAGTACCTCGATTTTGGGGTCCTGAAATTCAATTGATAGTTGGGAAGATTGATCCTAAAATCTGTGGGTATAAGTCATATTGATCATCACATCTAATCAATCATCTGGAATCATCATTTGTTGCAATCTTGGACCCCTAAAGTATCCGTAAACGTTGGTTAAAGTCGCATGAAGTCCTGCAGCAAAAACATCGCTGGGATATCTGGGATACGGCATGATATGGCAAATACACGCAGGCACCATCAAATCTTCAGGTTCCGGCACATTTTTGCTTCAAACTACTCTGCTAACTTCGCAACAGGTTGAGATGCAACTGCCCAAAATGCAAATGTTACAGCCAAAATTAACTTGGAATCAGAGAAAAAGCTACTAACTAGTTGGCAACTATGGTCAGTTTTTAAAGAAATCTAAACAGCATACTCCCAGGAATTAGACTTACCCGGTGCTCTCATCCATTGGAAAAACGCTCACAGCTCCCAGGAAGTCGGTTAAACGGTTAAACCTCCACGTTTCATGGTGAAATTCCTGGACAATGTGCATTGCTGGCTGGTGGATTTCACCATCTTGAAAAATATGAGTTCGTCCATGGGAAGGATTATCCCATATATTATGGAAATTTATGGGCAATAAAAAATGTTTGAAACCACCAACCAGAATATGTTTCATGCTGTTTCCATAATTTTCCAGATATGTTCCCATTTGCCAAAAAACAAACTCACCTACTGAACTATACTGAACTAAGGTTTGCTGTACCCTGACATCCATGTTTTGGTGAACCCGTCTTTACATCCATCCCACCTTGCAACTTAGGCATGGCCGCATCCGCCTGGGACTTCCTGAGGACATGGTAAAAACCATCAACCATGACCAAAGGAACACCTGGATTGTTATTTATATATAGGTGGTCATTTACTATCCCCAGCGAATTTAGATCCGAAAATTGCTTATCTCAATGTTGGATTTTGTTGTTGTCGAACCCCTGCCTCACGGCAGGGTCTATATTGCTTCGGATGAATGTAACAAGGACAGTGAAAATCCCAATCATGAGGGGCTAGCCCCAGTTCAATAGCGTCCTAAGCCGATTTGCAACTATGGGTACTTTTTGGTCAGTACCACTTTGGCGGCCGTACATTCACTCGAATTCGCCAAAGAAAATCATATTGTTTGGCAGGAAACTGGTGTGATTGATTATGTCAGAAACTCAGCGGTCATTTTTCACACAACAGCCTTGAAACAGGGTTGCCCGACCTATGTTTTCATCATTCATGATGCGACATGTTCACTACCAATAATATAAAGTGGGTACCAACGGACCCAACAAATTGTGTCCTATTCGTCCAACCAAAAAAAGGGCGTTGATGATTTTGAACCATTTTGGGAATCCCAGTTGGTATGTCACTGGCACAAGTTATACATATTGGCAGAAGTTATACATATATATATAATTATATATATAAAAGGAAAGCCGGCAGCTACAATACTTAAATAGCAGATATTGAGCACACTAACTATCAAACTGGGATGGAGACCCAAACAAGCGTCCGGTCTTGGTGGCCCATGAGCAACACCCCGTTCACCGTGTATAAAACAGGCCGTATAATAATTTGAAACATCTCTGTTGTATTGGTGAAACATCCAAGACTTCCAATAATTTGAAGTTCAAATTGCATCCAAATCATATTTGCACAAAGCACCCCATATACCATGTACCATATGTACCATAAATACACTCCTTTGTGGGCTTGTGTGAAGATAAGGTACCCCACTCCATCCACTGGTACGTCCTGAGATGCCATTTTTTCCCCTGCGGTTTCCCCTGCACTGCTTGCCGCCACGTGTCAAGGACTCGGCAAGCTCCTTTGCTTCTTTGGCTTCGAAGTCATCCTCAGCCCAGTGATATAGGCGATACCCTCTGCTAATAAAAAACAGATTGCGAATATGGGAAATCACAATTTTCATAGGTAAATCATCTATAAACGGCTAACTGTCCATAGCTACATTAGTTTACTGGAGGGTACGCTGTGATCATCAAAAAATGGCTGGCTGGAAGATCCTACATACATTTTTATAGATTATTGATTTCATTAACACTCTTATTTGTAGGGATTTTTCCAGCTTGCCATGTTTGATTACCGGAGGGGTCCAAATAGAGTTCATTGAGATAAATGTGGGCATCTCGGGGCTATAGTGGGGATATAGCTATAATGATTTATCTAGATACATTGCGCTCAGCACACCAAGATTGTTTTGTTTCCCAAATATACAGGGTGGAGCCCCCGACAAAACTAAGTTGTTTTATGTTGGTTTATACTAAGTTTATACCTAGAGTCTGGTAGGTATATCTATAGTTAATGCGGTTTAAAATCCAACTTTTGGCTGGGGGGCATCTGTAAAAAATGATCCTTGTTGATTGAACGACTTTGCGTTGAACGCTTGGCACCTCAATGATCTTAATTTCATACCACCAAAACACACAGCCATCACATCATAGTATTAATTCAACCATCATACTGTTGATTACACCACGTTATATACCGTGATATCCCCAGTTTTACCCAACACACGTCCTTAAATGGTGTGTCAAAAGAAAAACATATATATATATATATAGATTTAGCTGGCGGTTTCACAGGTCTTTACTTTGAACCACATGACTGGATATACCCAGTCATTATCATCCTGCCCCCATCATAGGATTGGTTTATGGGAAATTTTACAGGAACACCCTATACTTCCCTGTAAAGCACATGTTTTCCGGTTCAGATTTTCCCATCAACCAATGAATGTTTCACTGTTCATATCCCCACTATAAAATCCTATGATATCCACCGCTGCCGAGCCGCCCAGAGCTGCAGCGCTGTGCCAGCTGCTTCGCTCGCGCGGCTCAGCAGCAGGTCCTCTGATGGACCCAAGGTATAGGTCAGAAACGGGGACTTAGGCCAACAACAGTTCGGGATTGACATTGTTTAACCGTTTGACCTGAGATTTATCAACAAATAAATATGGCGATTTGACCAACAAATCTGGTCAGACATGATGAAAATTCGCCAGCAAGAATAATAACCAAATACTCTGCAATCCAAAACAAGAACATTGAGCATCGGACATTTTAAGGATCCACAATGATCAAACCATCCATGTTGGGGGATTTTTATTATAATGGAACATAGCCAATTAAAATGGAATGAACAGGGGATAGAATAGGAAGTATCAGGGATTGATGGTGAAATCGCCACAATAAACGTTGGTTGCATTCCCGTGTGCCAGTGAGCTTCTCAAGAATTCAGCTCTGCGTTGTGGATTTTCGTATAAATCCAGCAGTTGCCACATGTTTTTTGTGGCTGATATAAAATCCCATAGCTTTGTTTGTGCTGTGGGTTAAAATCCGCTTTTCCGATGCTGCTTTGTGAGTTAATTTCTCCCACACTATGTGTTGTGGATTATACCTTTGCGGGTCAAATCCTCCAGTTTCCATGTGAGTTTAATTTATCGAAATATACACTCTGGTAATTTTGCAGTGGACAATCACCATTCTGGATAGGTAAATCATCCTTAGATGGACCATGTTCATCCATTTTCCATAGCTGTGTTAAATTGCCAAAGTAATCCCTATAGAACGGCTGTTTAAGAACGGGATTCCCAGCTGATGGATGATGAGAATTCCAAGGGAAACACCAGGCCACCAGGAAGCCCCCAAACTAATCATCAACCAACCATAATGACTCAATTATATTCCGATATTGTTCTTGGTTCAGAAAGTAATAGGATCGTTGATCCGATCAGCATCCCATTAGGATCTTATCCAAAAAACAAAAAACATCAACATGTGTTTCAAACATCCTATGGATCTATTGTAACCACTGCTGCCAGTTGATTCTTGATTTCCCATTACAGTAAAATCCTCTAAACATCCTAGAAGTATCAGGTCATGTTTTGTTTAAACCTGGCCATAGAGAACTCATTGGACTAAACGGGCCATGGCTTCCATAGCAAACTGTTTAACTATCAAATGGTAAAAAATCCTAAAGCAATCCTCTAAACTCGAATCATCGTATAAGATCTTATACATATTCCTTCAAATTTCACTATCTCATAAAAAAGTGATGGCTAAATTCCATCAACATCCTATAAAAATATCAAATGGTAAACATCCCAGTTGTAAGTTGATTTATAAATTGTAGTCGATGTATAACCGTATCTAACTATAGATATATTATTTCTATCACCCATACACCCATCAATTATTGTAGTTGTAAACCACGCTGGCTATCTATTTTTCCCCACCATGTTTGATGGCCAACTCCGTAAAACCTCCATGTTTCACAATTAAATCCTGTTCTATAATGTTCTATAAATCCTTTAAACATTCTATATTTGATGGCAATGTATATATATATATTACAATATACGATTATATACAAATACCATTAATAAACCAATAAACATTTTGTGTATTTTGTTTTAGCCTATGCCTATAAGAATCTTATACATATCCTATGAATTAATAAGAATAAGAAGAACATATACAGTAGTAAATAAATAAATACAAATAAATAAATAATGTCAATTTCCCATCTCCACGGTGAAATTTCATGAACATCCAGTAAACAAAATCTGAAAATCCTTTTGTTTCAGATGGCTAACTCATGCTAACTCCCAAAGACCTCCATATTTAATGCTTGACTTCCATTAAAATCATTAATGTGGTTAAAACAATGCCATAAACCATCCATTTGGGAATGCTGAACATACCACCGATCAAAATGGTGATGACTGGGGAATGGTTCATTATGGTTCATTAATGGTTCATTAATTTAACCACATCAAAATCATACCCCCCCCCCCAATATAGCCCATCCAATCAGCCAAACTCCGCGCCTGGAGCCGCTCCAAGCCCAAGCCCTGGAAGGCGTCCGCCAGGCGCAGCAGCATCCCTACCAACGAGCCGTTTATGGATGGATGGACCGTGTTCTATGTGCTGGAGTTTGACCATGAAAAAGTGGCCTTTAGCCAACATCAAGAACAAAATGACGTGGTTTTCCCGGCAAAAATGGTGAGTTAATATGACTTAATCATCAAAAAGTTGGATTTAACACAATCTAAGCCTCAAAAATGGGTCTATAAGTATGAAAAATGGATATAGAGCATCAAAAAGTCGGATTTTACTTTCAAAAGTTGGATCTGACCCTCAAAAACTTGGGTTTAACTGGTTTAACCATTTAACATGGAACTTGTTGCCATCGGAAACTATTAAGCATGGAGGTTTCTACCACCAAAAACTGGGGTTTAACTTTAAGCATAAAAAAATGCGATTAAATAGCAACAAAGAAAACATGATCATAATCTATAATGGTTGGACCAAACACCTTATAAAACCGCCCATTTTGGGGGAATTGCCCATTGACATGTGGATTCCTTTATATACCGTTTTGAGGGATACCCAGAACATCTATGAACATTTAACAAACAAATGGAACGGCAATAAAATTCCCAATTTATCCCAATTCCAGGTTTTTTTTAATTTTAAAACCTGAGATATATTATTGAGATGAATTTCGAAAACCAAGCCTGTGACTCTTCTTGAGTGTCATGCAAACCTACACCGTTGCATTTGCACTGGAGTTGTTTAAGCATTGACGAACTGACAAAGGTCGTCCTACAAACTAAGCTGAAAAATATTTGGAAAATTCTCTATTCAAGGCTCTAGGATCTACTCACTGGCGAACAAAAACCTGCCAGTTATATAACCTATGAATTTACAAGGCTGCGACATGGCAAATTTGGAAAATCCTTAAACATGTTGAACAAATAGATTGTAGAAAATGATATTCCACCATCAAAACTGTTTGAATTGCATGATCTGTTTTGTCCAAGTTTCAACCCAATCACCAAGCATTTTCCAACCATTCGTTCTTTTCTGGGTACCCAAATCAAGAGGCGCCTGAATGGAATTTCACCATGGTGGCAGCAACATCCAAAAATCGATTCACCTCAAACCAGAGCCCAAACAGCAGTCATGTGATGAAACTGGCTGTACCGGCTGAACCCTTGAAATAAGGAATCTTGAAAGGGACAACATGCTCTCAGAGTTGGAGTTACCCCCACCAAAAAATGCACGTCAAATTTTGAACAGGTGTGGGTCAAACTTTGAATGTTAAACTTTGACAGTTTTTGAAGACCAGACTGGTCATGTCAGAATCCGTTGGTTTATCCAAGGAATCCAACGGTGACCCATGTCCTTCCCATTGTTTCACCCCGAAACTTGCTCTGAATGCCATTGCGAGCGACTAACGGTAAAGTTTTGGCGACTGGACATTGAACATCTTTGGCCGACATCCAGACAACTTCACCTCAGGAAGAACTGGGCGATTCAGAGAATTTTCTGGGCGACTGGTCACATTCAACTGAAATCATCCCGCCGGCGGGATGGAAAGGAATACGGATAATATCAATAATATGGCTATGGGTCAAAACCCTGGTACCTACCCAACTTCAAAATAGCTGGTAAATAGATGTTCATCCCACTAAAATTGATAGTCATAGGTTTTGACCCAACCCCATATCATTATAAATCAAATTGAACCACCAGTGACTCCTTGTGACATCCAATATAGTTTGCATCTGCCAATGGCAGGGTAGCCAAATAGTGACAAAGAGCGGCGCTAGGAGACATAAATGGCGATATTTGGCGGTGTTTAGTTGATTCTAGAGGTGCTAATGCTACTTCAGCCTATCGGAAAAATGTTTGATGTACTGTATGTTGCAGTTTCCTTACCTAAACCTGTAGGATTTTGATGCACGTTGCAGATGCGTAAATATACGGGTGCCCAGAATTGGTTAATGGTATGATGGTACAACAAAAGATATGCTGACTATGCTATCAAGACAGAGGGTACATGGAGCAATCCTTCTAAACAAAAACAATGATAATTACTGTACCTTACTTTGAGTGATCACTGATCCCCACCACGACACAGTATTCTGGCATAGTTTCTGACATATCATTTGGAAATGGCATATATAATGGTGTATTACTCTGACAGTCTATCTGGCATTCTTTCTGGCATTAAATGTCCGGCATCTATTGTGACATACTTTCTGGCATTCTATCTGGCATCTTTGCAGACATTCACTCCGGCACTCTGTCTGGCATTCTCTCTGGCAGGCGTGCCCAGCTGCATCCGGAGCTTGCGGTAGGATTCGGGTCCAGGCGTGCCCTCAGTCACCACGAGCTGGCAGAGGAAGAAGAAGGAAGAAGAAGGAAGAAGAAAGAAGAAGGAAGAAGAAGGAAGAAGAAGGAAGAAGAAGGAAGAAGAAGGAAGAAGAAGGAAGAAGAAGGAAGAAGAAGGAAGAAAAAGAAAGAAGGAGGAAGAAGGAGGCAGAAGGATTTGCACCTTTGTTACAATCTATATAGAGACCCTCACCTGGCAGGTGGGGAATTCCACAATCCCAACCAACATCTACAGTGAGTTCATCCGGTTGTATCTCCTTCTCTTGCAACCAATATCCCCAACTGTTCTGCCATATTCACATGTATTTACTGCATATCAGTAGCTAAATTCCATTTTTGGATGGCTACCGTACATCCCCGATCCCCGAAATCAGGGAGCACATGGGTCACATGGCAATGAACGGGTCACATGGGTCACATCGGTCCCATGTGACCCCCGCTGGCGCCCCCCGTATACCCGGCCTGCTTCCGTGAGTTTCACGGAGATCCGCTCAGGCTCCACGGTCTGGCGAAGCTGGGTGGGAGGGTTGCGGATTTCGTGCAGGAGTGGTAGCAGGAATGATGTTCTGAATAAGTAAGGTGGATAATTATCTTCTAAATATTTTCTGATGGTGGTAGTGTCCACAATATCCCTGAATAAGGATTGAGTTCTCGAGTACCAGTACGCTCAAGCTCACGAGTAAGAATCAACCTGAAAACGGCTTCACGGCCACATTGATACTGCCTAGCGGCCTAGCGGCTTGCTGAAAAGGAAAACTCATCGTAGCGATGTCAGGACATCCTGAGATGTTCAATCCTTTGTATCATTTTCGAAGACACTGACATGAATTCAATAAGTTATCTTGGGATGTCTTGGGAAAAACCAAAGTTTTGTTGATTAGATTGATTAGATCTCCATTTCACTTGGAAAACATCCTCAGTTTTCCCAAAGCTTTGGTGGATAAAGCATGGATAAATTACCATTTTTACAGCAGCCGCGGCCGCCACGTTGCGTTTCGCGTTTCGCTCGTCCCGTTGCCACACCCACCAGATGCGCTCGCCTGGCAGATGCCCGAGCCCGAAGAGGTCTCTACAGCGAGCCCCGGCAGCGCAGGGAGGACCTCCAAAAGGGGGAATCGATGTCGAGCTTCATCCCCAAAGTTATATAAAGCCTCTGTAGTGAAATAAAAAGGTTATGCGATGTTATACGATGTTATATAATGTTGTACATGAAGTCTACTATTCCGTTTTTATAAGTTCTATCGCTTATATATATTGAGTTAAATTCATTATAAACTGACTTAGAACTGGTAAAGGAGTCCGGATCAAAGTCATGGGGTTGAAACTGATATGGAGCAAACCACCAAGGAGTATCCCCACTGGACCCAAATTTGAATTATAGATCCAATATGATCCAATATGCAGGGTTTCATTTGGCTGGTATTGAACATTGGGAAGGGATTCTGCTGGTCATTTGACAACAAAGACGGGAAACAAGCTGCAATCAAAATAGGGATCGATCAGATTCATGACCATCAGAATGGGGATATCCTGGCGGATTTCACCGGCAAGTTGTGTCCATGTCACAGTACCAAGCCAAAATGGGGATACGATTGCGATATAATCACAATTATAAAACAAAATGGTAGCAATTCCGATATTCCAATTTCAGATGACTAATATTGACTAATCTGATGAGATGTTCTTTAAACCTTGGAGAATTTTTCTATACAACAGTAGTGATTGCTGACCTTCGTTGGGGTCAACAAACGTTGACGGCTACTTTTCCATCGTTGTTTTCTTCACATCCAGGTTGAGTTCATCCGTGAGTCTCGTGGCCAAGTGATCTTTCTCAAAAACTGTACAAATGCCAGTGGGCGGAATATATACAACAGGTACGGGTAACATGTTTCATCTTGATTTTTGATCTTGATACACGCACTCTCGTTGGAAAACCGCTTCGGCAGTGGAATTACATAACTTGCCGTCACGAAATGGATTGTATGTCATAACGTGTCATAATCAAAGTTCAGTTGTTCATTTTGCTTTATGAATAATCCACTCTCTGATGTTTCCATCCTGCCCATCTGCACTTCTATTTATGTTGCCATTTGATTTGGAAAATCAGCTATTTTCTCATCGTTGGTGATTTCATGCCTTCTATTCTTGACTTCGCACCTAACATCTTCATTGGCCTTCTTGCTCTTGAAGGTGTTCAAAGATTGAATTCACTTGCAGTCCCTTGCATTTGTTGAAATAATATGAAATAATCTTTAAATTTGAAGTCTCGACATTTAACAATTTGAGATATCCTATATCATATTCCAATGCTTTGATGCCTTGGACTTTGGTGCTGCTGACTGAGAACAAGTTGCTGTAGTTCTTGAAGGCAGAGTCAAATTGTTCATTGGCGACGGTTGCTTTGGACTTTGTTGTGTGCCTGTGAACATCCTGTTCTTGTGCAAATTGGCCCATCTAATGGCTCTCTTCCAACTTCATTTTGTGTAGTCCATTGCGTGTCTGATATGTGGACTTTTGTTCTTCAACCTGTGCAGATGAAATCCCCATTTTATGCCCATCGCAGGTGCCCTTGCGAGGAAAGGCACCTCCTGCAAAGCCTCGCGCCGCAGGAAGGCGCGGTTTTGCCCTTGGCTCAAGGGCCCCCACAGCTGAACCTTCGCGCGGCAATGCGAGGTGGGCCAAATGCCTTGGGGGGGCTGAAACTCCAAGTTCCAGCCTGCATAGATTAATAGATTAGGTAGGTAGGTAGGCAGGCAGGTAGGTAGGTAGGTAGGTAGATAGCTATAGATAATGCATGGTAGATAGATAGATGTCATGTTGAAGGTATCACTGCTGATGTCAAGGTTCAAACAAAATTACACTACTTAAGACATGACAATGACACTGCCGGTGAATCCATCCGGGAATCCCCAAGACCTACCTTTTGATGTGGCAGGCAATGTCTCGAAAAAGGAATTGATCCCGCCAACAAATGAGCAGTGAGCAAATGTAACTGGGCTATGGAGATGTATTTTCTGTATACCCTCCGGTAATTTAACATAGCTATGTAAAATTGCCGATTTGTACTTGATCAAACCTGTGAGTGTCCCCGGCCGTTGGTGTACCCTCCGGTCATCAAACGTGGCCAGCTGGGAAATCCCGAACTAAATCAAGGTTTATGGCTAGGGAATAAACATATAAATTATGGTGGATTGTCCATTGCCATTTTCGATTACCCAAGGGTACATGGCACAAATACCCCGTTTGCTTCATTCCACTTCTAGAAATCGAACATATATGCAAATTATCCCTATATTTGTCCTTAAAGCATATTCCATAACATATCCAATCATTATGATACCAATCATTTTCCTATAAATTGGATCTGTTCCCCACTTATTGATGGCCTACCCACCAATTTCACCAATTCTTCATGGCCCATCTATACAAGGTGGTGCCCCCAAGTTGAACCCGTGCACCAGTTCGATTGGGGGTTTCCATAGTCATGGGGGTAGCCCAATCGCTGGATGGTTTTTGTTGGGGAAAATCCTACTAACATAGATGATGACTGGAGGTAACCCTATTTCAGGAAACCCCCATTTATCATAAACCCCAGTCATCAGAGTTATAAACCAGCACAAACCAGCTTAGCCAACGAGCTGGGTCACCACCTTGTACCCAAGTCATATCCCATTATACTCCCATCAACTGCTGTTTCATGCTGTTTCAGCCCCTACTTCCCATGAAATCTCATAGTCAGTGAAGGTGGCTTAAGGAATCTCATGAAATACATCCCAATTCTATTTCACTCAATTCTATTCCATTATCTATAAGAGAGAGAAATATATATATATATATATATTATATATATATTATATATATTATATATATTATATATATTATATATATTATATATATATTATATATATATATTATATATTATATATATATTATATATTATATATATATTATATATTATATATATATATTATATATATTATATATATATGGGCAGATAAATTAATAATAAAAGTGTATTTATTTATATTTAAAGCACATCCCAATGTATCTTGCTTTTAAATCCCTGATTTCCTCATGATATCGCCAGGGCAATCGCGCTCAGCGCCTCGTGCATGTCATCCTCCACCCGATAGCGTAAGACCACGCCGGGCCCGAAGCTGCTGAGGACGCAGGTCCCTAAGGCGCCTCGGAGGGAAAGAAATGGATTCTGCAATGGTTTGCAAAATGGTTAAGGTTGATAGTGATTGATCCATGAATGGTTTCTATAATGATAGTGATTGATAACGAACACATATAAGAAATGGTTTCTATAATGATAGTGTGTATAACGAACACATATAAGAAATGGATTCTATAATGATAGTGATTGATATATGTGTCCGTTATATGTTCATCTCTATATATATATATACATCTATTGGTTTGTATAATTGTGATGTGTATATGTATACGTATATTCATATGGCATATATGGCTATAATATGCTATTATCTAATTAGGATCATGGTATCAACAAAAAATCAAACTAAATTGCAATATTTGTGGGTATCCCGGTTTCTGGACAAATCGAACTTTGCCGAAGGATACATCTCCATAGAACCCCTTACACTTTTCAAATTATAACCATGATATCATCTAACGTGTTTATAATCATTGTATTACCACAATATGTAACCGTTACATACCCATTATTATAATCCCCCTTAGATTTGTATACTCCCTCTTACACCCATTATAGATCATTATTGCACATTCATGTACATTCATCATATAATCCTTCATATATATATAGAATCCATTTACCCATTCATACAACATGATGTCACCACTGATATACTCCATATGAATGGTCCCGGCAACCCAGCAACCATCCCCATAGCCCAGCAACATATTATAAATATCACCAAGTGTATACCCACCAAAAATATACCAACATTACATTATAATATGTTGCTGGGTATATCATAATATTACACCAATTATTATAGTGTATAAAAACCCATTGTATCATCCCCCCCCAAAAAAAAAAAAAACAGCATTGTATATAACCCATATAAGCCATCAGCATATCCAAGTTTTACACCCCCGGCCCTTCGTCCACCAAGGCGCACCAGGAACTTCGTCGCACCTCCTCGGGTCGTAGCGCCACCGTCGCCACCGTGGACTCGGACTGTGCGTCCGACGCGATGGACAGGTCGCTGTCGAGCAACACCTGAGATCAGGACACGGATCTACCCTCTGGTTATGTCAAAATAGCTATTGAAAATGGCCATTTATAGTGAGTTTTCCCATTAAACATGGTGATTTTCCCATCAGTTATGTTAGTTTACCAGAGGGTAGCAAGTGGCTAAGAATCTAGGAAGCCATGTAAGTGGGGTATCTTATGTATATATATATAATATGTGTGTGGTCATTATATGGGAATATATGGTATAAAACAATGTGTAATATGGATTAATATGGTTATAGTGATAATCTGGGTATAATATGGTTATAATATAATATAATCCACATACAAGCAGCTTATAATATATATATATATATTATATATATATATATATACATAGATAAATATGTGTGTATATGCTTATATAATTTATGATATATATGGTTATATGATGTTATATGATGTTATATGATGTTATATGATGTTATATGACGTTATATGATGTTATATGACACACTTACGAAGAGTTCCAGTATGTTCCAGTTTAGATCATTTTAGAGCCATAGCTATAGGGGCCCCATATCCCAACTTACTGTATGCGAGTAATGGCCGTGATGAAATATCCCTGTCCAAGTTTGAAACTTACAGCCCAGAGCAATGCCTTTGGTGTAAACCCCGTACAGTCTCGTTCACAACTTTCTCCATGGACTTGCGCCGTAATTACTCTTGGATGTATGATGTAAGTTTGAAATGCTGAGAAATGATGAGTACATTAGGAAATGATCTCCGAACACATGTTAGTGGTTACCACCAGCTAGGGGGAGGGATTTGGGCCGAAATTTGGACTCGTGCTTTTGCGGAGCTTGCGCGAGGCTTTCGCGGACCTTTCAAGGGGATTTTTCAGGTGAACTTCGACAAAAAACCCTTATAATTTGACACGTAAACATCCCCATGAATCGGGACATGACCATCTGACTTAAAAAAACACTTGTTTGGAAGCTTTCGCGAGGATGCTTTTCGATTTGTCTTTTGCGCAACTTTCGCCGAGCTTTCGCCAATGTGGGTTTCAGCTTTCGCGGGCATAACTTAGTTTAAGCACACGTTTTCTCTCGACATAACAGTTTTGAATGCTGCTCAACTGTACCCAAAAGGATGGGCAGTTCAACATCAAAAAACTGGAAATTTCATGGCTTCAACATCTGGACAAATTCCAATAATCCCATCCTCCCAAAAAAAGCAGAAAACGGAAACCCATGGGGACCCATGGCCATGGCCATGGCTTGTCCCATCCCCCGTTCCTCTGATGAAGTGATGGTTTCATAGAGATATTTGGGACATTTGGGGACCATAGGATGGGATACAATGGGTGTGTTTCAAATGGGGTGGATGGAAGTAATTCGTTTATTGCTGGGCTTTCTGACAAAAGCCAAAGGCCCCTCCATTTGTGATTGGACTTCTGCCATGATTGAACTGGTAGACAATGCTAGTTTGGGGTATGAAACGCCGATTTATGATAATTTAGACATTTTTGGAACTGGAAAGGGTCCATCAACGTTGTTGAAACCTTTCCAAATGATATTCGAATTGGGTTGTCATATTTCATTGATTGTCTAGATTGCATATCGTAGTCATTCACAAGTCGGTATGTCCCACACTAACCTTCGTGATGTCATGTCTAGCTTTATATCCACATTTCTTGCTGCTGCTTTGATCTTGATGTCTTGTTGGCTTGATTCCCCAATATCATCGACCACCAGCCAGCAATGTCGCATTCTTGCTTGTCCCCGTTGCTGAAATCCCCAACGATCTCAACCTTTGTTGCATGTTGTTGGAATGTGTTGGCATCTCACCGGCCAAATCCCACAAACATTGCTCAAACATCAACATGTTTGAGAGCTAAAAACGCCTAAAAGACACAATCAAACAAACATTCACACACACAAAAACAAAAATGCAACAACAAGACAAAACCATCATCTGACCCACAACAAAACACATGACCATCTGACCCATCTCCAGCTCCCGTTCTGCCTCCAACTCGTCAACCGTCTCCTTGCAGCAAATGCCCCAGCGCCCGCAAGGGGTCTCCACATAGCGGCCGCGCCACGGCACCGGTCCCGCCATTGCAGCAGAAAGCGGAAGACGCGATCGCTGGGTGTTTCGGTGGGACTGGGCCTGGGGTTGGGGGTAGACGGATGGTGCCGAAACAACGCAGATGGCGATTTCTGCCTCCTTGAACATATATTGCATAGACAACTTCATCATCCCAGGCAGGATATGAATGGAATGATAAACGCTCCTTGACAAGAATATATACGTACAATACAGTCTGCGCTCTGGGGTAGAACATCACCTACGTAGAACATCGTAGAACCCAAACTTGGCTTTCCAGTGACGACTGACAAGACTGAAATGGATTACAAAGCTACTAAGTTGGGTTGAACTGAGTGTGACCTTATTAACTTGTGTATATCACCTTGATCTTGCAAGGTCGAGACGTCCTGTCATGCAGCTTTTACCAAGCTGTTCAACTGGAAGCGCTGCAAATTCTCGACTAGCATTTTGCTGACATGATGGTGATGTATCACTTATTCTCCTGTACTTGTAAAGAATTCGGTGTTCCCTAAGACTCCACAATCAACAACGATCACTTCACTTCCATTGTGACGCATGGAAAATCTCGAGCCAGCCGTCAGCAGCAATCATCACATGGGTGGTCATCCCTCTTCGGAACTTCCTCGGCCAAAAGCGGCAGGATCCCAAGCAGACTATCAGACTTCTCCGAGCAGAGTACGATGACAGCAAGGCAAACAGCAGCTTGAAGCACAGATCTGTGAGTCCCTGGGTCCCTGATCTTCCAAGATAGTTCACCAGCTGCAAGGTTTCTCCACTTCGATGTCTGTATGGGTTCAAATTTGAGGCCCATATAACCACGAATGGATTGCTCACCTGTAGCTTGAATCGTGCTATGTCCATAATATATATATATATATTATATATATATATAATCATATATATATATTATATTCACACGTAATAATCTATCTATTTATATAGTGTATATATAAATATGTATATATCTGTATGTCTTTTCGCGTTCTTTCCATAGTTTGTGCTCGAACTCCTTGTGTTTATTAATTCAAACATCCACATGTTCAAGGGCCTAAACTAAAGCCCGCTCAATCCGTATTCCATTCTACTGGCTGGCTCACATTCCCAGACTGGATAATCCCCAATATTTTGGTTAGATTTGGATAGTAGAGTATAACCCCCCGGCAACCATCAGTTGGGGTCTTGAAGACTGCTCAATTAGTGTATGGGCTCTGGTCATCCATCCCATTTCATTATATGAATCCTGATTGGAATGGAATTGATGACATTCCCCTGAAATCGGGATACCCTCTGGTGTCATCAAACATGGCTTGCTGGAAAATCCACCATTTAGTTGGAAGTGCTTCTCAGCCATAAACTTCCATTTGTAGTGGATTCTCCCATGAAAACCTCCATTTGTAGATATGTGTTTCCAATTAAAACCTCCATTCTCAAGATGATGTTCCCATTAAAACCTTCATTTATAATTAACATATATATATAATATATATATATATTATATATTATATATATTATATTATATTATATATATATGAATATATATATATATATATAATATATTATAGGCTATAGATGGCTATAGGGATATTCCATTGCCATGTTGGATAATGGCACAAAGCGTTCCCCATTCAGTGACTTGACCTCTGTGTAGTAGTCCTCTGCATCATCGACCTCGAGTGGACATTCGGTGGAACACGGGAGAAATGGAGATTTCTACCTTGAGAAAACAGAGAGATTGAAATGATATACAATATTATACAATATTATACAATTTTATACAATATAATATTATACAATATTATACAATCACAAATCATAAATGAGCTTCTGGCAATTAGAAACAAAACATCATGTAAATAAGTGCAATGGCATGGATCTGACGCGCGAAACAAATAAGATCAGATACGATCTTGACCAACAAGGTCCACATGTTCAAACCATAACAAAACCTAGATATATAGATATCAATAACTAAGTTAACACTAAATCTAGTTAATTATCAATATAGAAATGGTGTGTGTCAATTACCGAGGAGGTGTCAAAAGGGTGCTCCCTGCATTTGATTGAATCTGGGCGACTGACTACAATCTTGGTTAATCCAGCATGCAAGTCATGAAATGTGGGACCCGCAAAAACTGTCATCATCCCTAATAGCGTGGTTTATGAACTTATGTATCCCCACCATTCATTGGATGATTTACAGCCCCAAATGGTAGATATTTGATGATCATTGATTTCGAATCTGTGCCCCTGGGAATGCCATTCTCATTTGCTATATACACTATCCATCACTATCTTCATTCCTTAAGCGAGATTTTATTTCCTTAAGCGCTTCCATGCCCATGGTTGTTTGTTTGTAATTGTATTCTCATGCAAGCCCACTATATAAGAACAAGGCAAGCAATGGTTAGAAGGTTTGTTGGTCATGGACATGGCCCACTTGTTTTGGGTTCCTCAACTTGCCCTTTAGAAAATTGTCAGTTGCTCGTATCTGCGGGTGAGATCAATAGCCATAATAGCAGGTTACAGCTAAATATACCATCGCTTATTGGTGATATACCAATCAACGCTTTACCTTTTTTGATGTCAGGTCCCAACCCATACTCAAGATGCTGGCTGGATGGTAGCCCAAGGTCTCAATTGTCTCCTCACAGAGCGAAACAGGGACCAACAAGACCCATATGATGTCTGGCAGAATGTGGTAATGTGCTAACCCCCCTCAGTCAGCACCATTGTTATGGGTGGTTTGTTAACCATCCCCAGTCATGATAGGTTTCATTGACCTGCCAAACTGGACCGATTCAACAAAACGATGCTACGTGATTTGTGTGATTTGCAACGTACTGTATACATATCTACAACAATAACGATTTAGTAGATATCGGTCAATGTTTGGTTATACATATTTATTGACTGACAATAACAATAACAATAACAATTTAGCTTTAAAGCGTGGGTTAGTCAGAAAATCAGGTACCCCAACACCTCATGTTTCATTTTTCAATTGCCATCAATTTTATATTAACGTCAAACATGTGCTTTGAGTTGAAACAAAAAACGTGTAGACATCGGTCCATTGGAGGCGGTCTGACCAATCATGAAGATTTTAATAAGATTGATTTCAGTGAACAACGAGAGAAACAAAACAAACAAATGCTAACCCATGCAAATAACCAAACTATAGAGAACTATAGTTGCAACAGGGCATCAGATTGTTTGAAACATGTTTAAACCATAGTTTTTGCATGTTTTTGCTGATGTCCATTTCTTGGTGGGTTGACATGTTGTTTTTCTCCGAAACATTTCGAAACAGATATTTCCATCTATTCAAATAAACAAAACTGGGTATAACTTGATATTATCCCATTATTATCCCATTATTATCTCATCATTGTCCCATTATTATCCCATTGAGTTGTCCCATCAGTGTGTAGGATGTCGCGCCACACCTCGCCCCCTGTCCTGTCCTGCAAATCAAAGGAACGCAGGCCGTTGCGGCTCACGGCATAGGCGATGAGAAATCCTGGGACTCGAGACTCAGCGCTGGTGCGATGAGATCTGGTGGCCGCCACGTGTTGAATGAACCACGAAGATAATACCACTGTTGATTGGGGATCCCTGTAAACCGTGCAGTATTTCATTGGATTGGGAAACGGGGGTATAGTTGTAAAATGTTGTAAATGATTTATTTGTGCCATAGACCTAATTGTACATTTTCTACGGTCACCACTGCCACTCTTGTGCTCAGGCCAGGAGACAAAAAATGAGTTTCAGTGCCACTCTCTGATTACAAATTTTCGGTGTTGGACAAGCCACTCAGGGCACTGCCAAACTATTGACCCCCAAAATGTGTGGTTTGGAAACCCATGTTGTGACGCCATGCCCACATTGCTGTTACTATATTATGTCTGTTACTGCTGAAACAAACAGCTGAATGCGTGTATTATAGCAATATAAAACTACTAGAAGAGACAAAAACATAGGGTTCGAAAATAACAGTGCAGTACACTATTTTTCTGTTTAACATATATATATATATATTGTATATATATATATATGTATAGGATGCATCTTATATAATAATAGTATTATAGACAATAATAGTTTTGGAAAACGCACTAATGGTATGAATACTGATATTGGAAAATTATGTGTTGACCAAAAATCAAATAGCACTATAGGATATTGAAGAAGGATAGTGTAGGTTTGTCTCCAATTTCAGGTTTCCTTAAAATGGGAGATCCTCAAAACCATAGGTTTCAATACAAAAATGGTCTAATGCCTTGGATGTTTTGGGGGTCCTCCCTTTTTTATGGAAAAAAACTCCATATATAGCCATTATCCAAGATTATTATCCCATTATTATCCTACTTGGTGGCTAATCCCACTTAGTAAGTGGGTTATAACCCCAGTTATGAGTGGATTTACCCTACTTATCCCATTAATAACTGGGGTTATAAACCACTTACTAAGTGGGATGAGCCACCAAGTATTATATCCTATTCAAAATCACGATTTTTTCCTCACGTTGCACGTGAAACACCGGCCCAACTCCTTGATGTCGCGCGAGGTCCCGCTGCAGCGCAGCTCGGAGGAAGCCTCGCGAAAAACGCTTAAAAAAGACGCCGACTCTGTCATCGTGATGCGTAGGAGAAGTGCTGAGGAAATCAAACATATATATATATATATATGTATATGTATGTATATATATATATGTATATATATGTGTATATATATATATATACATATAGTGAAGATGAAATGTGGTTAAAACTCAAAAGTAAATCATCCCCAACATCACCATTATTATGGGTGGTATAAACCATCAAAAATGGGGTGGATTATTATTGTTGTACCCATACTATACATATATATATATATATATATATATATATTATATACAAATATGCTACCCCCTATGACTCTATACGTAAATTAACCATGACCATTGTCCGTAACTCGGAAGCTTTCTAAGTAAGCTTCCTTTGATAAATAAATGTATATCAAAGTAATACAATATCCCGGGTCCCCCCAAAAAGTTCACAGTGTGGGGTCAGGTGTGCTCCTCTTGACCAAGTGTGGCACAACGAATGCAAAACCCATACCCAAACCTTAGGCCTTAGGTACACTTGATCCAACATGAATGCTGTATCGTTGCGGCCGGCACCTTTAAAATCGCGTTGCGACAGGAACATGCAGCGCAAGTAGTCCTCGCTGCTCACCATCGCTTGCGGTACACATGGGATGATGCTATGTGCCCAGATGGGTGTGTCGGAAAGTGTACCCTCTGGTAATTTAACAAAGCTATTGAACATGGCCATTTATAGTTGATTTACCCATCAACCGTGGTGATTTTCCATAGTTATGTTAGTTTACCAGAGGGTACATCCCCCAAATACCCATTGGCAAAATGAGAAAATGATGATGATCAATTGGCTTGCAGGAGCACCCTATGTTCAGACAAACTGCTGCGCTGCTCTGCATGTTTAAGCCCGTGTGCCCTCTGGGTAATCAAACATGGCAATAATTAGAAAAAACCTACGGTGTTTTAATAAATAATGTTGGAACATCATCTATGGTTGATTTTCCAGTGCTATGTTTGACTGCCATTTCTTACCATGTTTTAAATTATTTTCCAATGAACACCTCCATGTACAGGGGATTCTCTTTGGCACCAAGTTCGGTTTATTGCGCCACCACGACCACGTGGCCGGGGTCCATCCTCACATTCGTCGCCCTTCAAATCTGTGGGCTTTTCGTACAAACACCAACCTGCAGCGTGGACCATGTTGGATGTCAAAAATATCGCCAGCCTAGCAGCCAATCTGCATCATCTTCGATAAGATTCCAAGACGGAAGTCAAACAGTAAGGAAAATATGGCAATATTACTATACAAAATATGTTTTATAGACTATCCATATATGTTTTTCCTATACTATAATATACTATACATCAATTTTGGAGAACGAACTCAATCGATTATGGAAATCCAATGGTATCATCGGCTAAGCCCGGCTGATGTTGGGCCTGAAATCGCCTGTGTCAACTGGGAGACAAGAATCCCCAAATATGGTTGCACAACTAAAACCGCAACCATAGACGTTAAGAAACAGCTACAACGAGTTCTGGTCAACAACATATTGTTTCATATTGTTTCATGGTTAAATCATGTTCGTGGATGGCTAAAATCGAAATTTCAGGCGGAGAGTGGATAGTGGATACTCATTTTTTTTCCATTGTTCATTAAATCATCTGAAATCAAATGAATCGACTTTTTTCGATGGTTCAATCCCACAAAATATATGTATGGCATTGTATGGCTATGATCTGACATGTAAAACTTCCTATGTTCCAAACTCATTCCGCCTATGCGCAGCGCCACGAACTCAAAGGACTGATGTACCTGGGCCATCTTTCCAAGCAGCAGGCTGATAGGCGAGTGAACAGTCGCTTCGTTCTTGGTGTTACCTGTATCTGGTTGGTGGTGGACCTACCCCTCTGGAAAATATGAAAGTCAGTTGGGATGATGACATTCCCAATATATGGAAAAATAGAAAATGTTCCAAACCACCAATCAGAATTGTACTTACTGTGGTGAATAAAGAAAAATAACGAACCTATCCGGAATATATAGTATTACATAATATCGGTGATAGCAAACTGATTGATCTGATTGTATTCTCAAAATTTTCAAAGCAGTATACAACTATTCCTTCATAGTTTGAACATGTTTGAACATGTTTGAACATGTTTGAACATGTTTGTGGTTTAGTACATGACCACCATGGAAAACATGATGACGCTGAGCCCCCTAAAAGTCAAACAAAATGGCATCCCGGAGCATCCAGACACGCGAGAAGAGGTAACCCAAGGCCTGGATTTCAAGGCTGGTGATACGGCTGTGCTTCTGGCAAAAAGGTTTTTTCGCTTCGTTACGTGGGGGAGATCCCCACTATATCCAGTACGTACATCAAAGTACAACTTTGAAGTCTTTCTCGAAGTCACATCTTACTAATCACAATGATAATGGGATGATAATGGTATATATTAATATAATGATATAACTAACTATGATGATAATGGGATATAGTAATATTATGTAATATTGACTATTAACTAATTATATTAACTATGATAATGATAATGGGATATGCGAACGAGTTTTCTGTTCTCCGGTCAGCACTGGATCCCGAACGACTTTCGAACGATCATAGCCAGGCGCCTCGCCGAAAACTTTGGACACTGCGTAGAAGGAATCGGGACCCGTGCGACCCAACCTTGGCGACGGCTGCAATGGTCAGGAAATGGTGATTCAATGGTGATTTTATGAGGGTTTAATGGTGATTCAATGTTGATTTAAATGGATTTAAGTGGTGATGTCAATGGTGATTTAATGGGATATAATTAGCTAACCAACAGTTTTTGGAGATATCTTGCAAACCCTAGGAATCCAACAATCATGGTGATTTATGTAATGGTATAATGAGGATCATCATGGGGATACATGGGATATAGTATATAAAATCAACTTGATATGTGCCATGGTCAAGTAAAACAGGGGACCTTTAAGGGGTGTGGGCATCCATCCCACAGTGGGACAATCCCATGGGAATCCTGCGATAATGGGTAGTAATCAATATCCCAATTGATGGATTGATAAGATTATGATCCAACTTTGATCATGGCACACATGAACTTGAGGAACTTGAGGGTGCAGAGTTAACCAGTTGTATCATTTTTTGTATTCATGAATAAGTGAAAAACATGTTCCACCATAGTTTTCTAGGGGCCAAACAAAAAAACAACAAAAATGGAGGTGGACTCACCATGGTTACAGTATACCCACTGAAAAACCACTTAAAAAAAGGGGTGTTTGCACTTGTTGATCTAGCCATTAGCCCAAACCCCATATAAACAGCATTAAACAATTAAGACTATGGTTTATACTTTTATACTAATGCACCTTTTTGCTTAGATTAACCATGGGATCAGTACACATTATATGGGAGAACGTGGTTGCTGAGCCTATTATATAATTAGCTAGTCAGTTGGTTAGTGACCTTGCTAATAACCTGGTTAGTCAACCTGGTCAGTCAAGCTGATTAATTAGTCAACCTGGTTAGTTTACCCATCTTCACAAGGTGCTGCCCCCAGTTATGCCTGTTGGTTTATAAACCCGACGTAGATCGATCTACCGTAAAGCTATCGTGCCAGAGGGCCCCACCCTCCAAGTCGAACACCGAAAGAGTGATTTCTGTGGCAAACCTGATGATTGATATGATAGAATATATGAATATGATATACATATTACAATATGTATATATATATATATGTATGTATATATATATATATATATACTTACCTAACCTTACCTACCCCAAAAAGATGCAAAGATCCGATCAAACAGTCGTGTTTGATCCGATCCACAAAAGGATGGTGAATTGAAACGCTTAACCGTCTTTTTGTTTCGGAGAGCTATATCAATTTAATGCACATATTTATCATGTACAGTAATGACATATATGTGTGACATGAAATATATGAATATATATGAGGTATCCCAAAAGTGGTCCAATGAAAAAAGAAAAACCCAACGGATAAGTTTGGATGGCGAAAGAAAATAAACATGTCGTATGTGTACAGCTAGGTCGTATGGACAATAACTCAGCTATAAACCATGTGGAGCAAGAATCTACCCACCTGAGCAGTGTGAACTCAAAGCGGTGGGTAGGTTGAGGCAAGGTTCGTATCATCCCAATGGCAAGTTGGAAGTATATAGGCCATGAATAATAGTAATAGTAGTAATATACTATCAAATACTATCAAATAATACTATCATTCTCAGAAAGACCCAGAAATTTGATAGATTTTGATAGTATTTGTAGCCCTCTGTTGAAAAAAATGTATGGCCCTTTCAAATGTTGTGTGTGGTTACATGTGGTTACATTGTTACATTATTCTGGGTAAATTACAATAATTCACTAACCTGAAATAAGGCTACCCTCTGGTAATTTAACATAGCTATGGAAAATCACCATTTTTAATGGGAAAATCCACTATTTCTATGGCCATTTTCAATAGCTTTTTGTTAGTTTACCAGAGGCTATCTTGGGGATGTTTCCCCTTACTAACCATCATTTCCAGGGTTCGGTCGCAGGGTTCGGTCGTTGTAATGGTCAACCAAGGAACGGGTCGGACAAACGGATCGAAGCTGCACCTGGCAAGGCCGTCAACTGACGAGGTGCCGAGGATAAGGCATGTGCTGAAACACCCATTTTTGGATAGCATCCCAAGTACTAAGTGACAAATAAGCATAGCATAACCCTCTTGTGTATGGCATATATATATATACCATAGTGATATATAATCTTACCATACAATGTATTGTAATATATTGTACTGTTATAGTTATGTAGGGCTTATTACGCACTTACCATTCCTGGGATGCACTCCCCTAAGTAGGGGTTTGTTTCAAAATAGGGGTATAATACTGATCTTCATGGGAATTCATTGGAATTATTGCGCCATCAAGTACCACTTTATAGGAATTGTTCAGGAGATCTAATGGGGATATCATGGAAACACCATGAGGATATCAATAGATATGATGGAGATATCATGGGATTATGAGTTTGTCTGCAGATGGTGGATACCCAAATTTATCGCCATCTAAGAATGGGGAAACCAAGGCTTTGAACTTTGGCACTGGACAGTTTTTTTTCAGAGGCCATTTCGGAAACCTCAATTGGAGGTACCTACCATATATGAGGTCTATGTAATGACTATGAGGTCTATGTAATGACTATGGAAGGGGATATACCCTCTGGTAATTTAACATAGCTATTGAAAATGACCATTTATAGTGGATTTTCCCATTGAAAATGGTGGTTTTCCATTGCTATGTTAGTTCACCAGAGGGTACCCCAATTTCTATGGCTTCAAAAATGGTACAGCACGTCCAGTGGATCGGTACCAAATATCCCATATGTTCGTCGGTTGGTGGTTGCTGCTAACCCCTCTGAAAAATGATGGAGTTCGTCAGTTGGGAGTATTATTCCCAATATAATATGGAAAAATAAAATTCATGTTCCAAACCACCAACCTTATGAAGAACCGAGCCAGCTACACATTGGAAATCTTTAAAATATGTTTTCATTTTTTTATCATTTTGGTTATCATTGCATTCATCATTTTTTTATCATATATTTTATCATCTTCATTTTTTTATCATTTCAGGTATCATTTTTTTTATCATTTTTTTATCATTGTTTTATCATTGTTTTATCATTTTTTTAATCATTTTTCATCATTTTTTCTTCCAGTGGTGCAAAAAAAAACAAAAAATGGAAAATTACAATTTTCCTCGAGTTTTTTTTCATTTTTTTATCATTTTTTTATCATGTTTTTATTTTTTTTGCTTCCAGTGGTGGAATTGATGAAAAATGATAAAACATGATTAAAAAAATGAAAAAATGATAAAAAAATGAAAAAAACAATGATAAAAAAATGAAAAAAAAATGAAAAAAAACGAGGAAAATTGCAATTTTCCAAAAAATGAAAAATTGCAATTTTCCTCGAGTTTTTTTCATGTTTTTTTCATTTTTTTCATTTTTTTCATTTTTTTTCATTTTTTTTTATCATTTTTCATCATTTTTGCTTCCAGTGGTGCAAAAATTTTGCAAGAAATGGAAAATTACATTTTTCCGAGTTTTTTTCATTTTTTTTATATTTTTTTTAATTTTTTTGCTTCCAGTGGTGGAATTGATGAAACATGATAAAAAATAATGAATAATGATTAAAAAAATGATAAACAAATGAAAAAAGAAAGATAAAACATGAAAAAAAAAACGAGGAAAATTGCACTTTTTCAAAAAATAAAAAAATGCAATTTTCCTCGAGTTTTTTTTATTTTTTTTTCAGTTTTTTCATTTTTTGTTCATGTTTTTTTTCATTTTTTATCATTTTTCATCATTTTTGCTTCCAGTGGTGCAATTTTTTTCCAAGAAATGGAAAATTACAATTTTCCTCGAGTTTTTTTTCATTTTTTTTTATCATTTTTTTTTCATTTTTTTATCATTTTTGCTTCCAGTGGTGGGATTGATGAAAAATGATAAAAAAATGATGAAACATGATAAAAAATGATTAACAAAAAAAATGATTAAAAAATGAAAAAAACAATATAAAAAAAAAAAACGAGGAAAATTGCAATTTTCCAAAAAATGAAAAATTGCAATTTTCCTCGAGTTTTTTCATTTTTTTTGGTCATTTTTTTCATTCTTTTATCATGTTTTTATCATTTTTTAATCATTGTTTTAACATTTTTGCTTCCAGTGGTGGAATTGATGCAAAATGTTAAAAACTGATGAAAAATGATAAAAAAATGAAAAAATGAAAAAAACAAATAAAAAAAATGATTAAAAAAAACGAAAAAACTCGAGGAAAATTGTAATTTTCCATTTCTTGGAGAAGTTTTGCACCACTGGAAGCAAAAATGATGAAAAATGATAAAAAAATGATTAAAAAAATGAAAAAAATGAAAACAATGATAAAAATATGATTAAACACATGATAAAAACATGATACCTGAAATGATAAAAAAAATGAAGATGATAAAATAAATGATTAAAAAAAATGATGAATGTAATGATAACCAAAATGATAAAAAAATTAAAAAAAACTATTTTGACCTGGCCCAGTCTGTGGCTGCAAGTTTTTCATAACACCAACCAGTCTTAAAATTAGAAAAACACCTATTTTCCTGGGTCAACCAACGTCCATCTGCACCGTTTTTGGCATTCTCCCGCCTCCGAGTTGCTGTAGCTTTGTCCAGCTCATCCTGCCCGGATGGTCACCTAAAAAGGCCGCGTGATCATTTTTTACCATTCACATGGGGGAAATATGAAAATATGATGATTATATATATGGGAAAATATCGGAAACCACATGAGAACATGATGATTTGATTGATCTAAATGTGATCAAGCGTGAAATAGTGACTCCGTCATCATTATTTGTTTATGTCTTCAATCTAGAGCCCTATGTCATAACAGCTCAAGAAAAGAATGGACCAGCGACAGCTATATATATATATAATCGATTTCAAATTCTGAAAAGACCAAGAAAACAATCATTGACAAGATATGGGGGGTGAGGTGGCAGGGTAAAGTGGTGGTTTCAAGAGCGTTTAAGAAACCACTATCTGTTAATTCGTAGTTTAGGCTTTAAACTGGTGTTTCGTGCACCCCTTTGAGCTTGGGGACGGGCGAGTATGTACTCTGACCCACTGGGTGGCCACTTGAAAGAACACCTCACAACTGAAAGGGGTGGATTTCCATGGATTTCCGAATTCTCATGCTCAGGCAGGGCGGAAAGGTTGAGTCTCGCCCAATGTACACAAAGGTATCAGTTCTATATACCCCAATAAACCGACCCATTTTCCGGAAATGGGCACGACGGGTCTTACCATGATTTGAGACACACCAGATTATTTTTTCATTATTACGGTATACCACTTCTTATTCCTACTTATTCATATATATCCCAGTTACCGCAGAGGTTAGTTGATTTCTTTGGAAAATGGATTCTAAGAGGTTTGATGTGGTTTGTTACCAGGATCCAATAATCCAGCATCCAGTATCCAGTTTACTAATCTGTGTACTGATGGACAATAATAGGATTATCCAGGATCAAATTATTGTCCATTGATACATATCAGATGTGAACTGGCTATGGATTCTATCCGAAAAGGTCATGACCCAGACACACACTCCGCACAGACCCATACCCAGTCAACCCAGTCAACCCAGTCAAGCAGCCCATGGTGGCACCGTGTTGAGCGTGGTTCCTCAGGTCAAATTGATCAAAGGTCCATCTTCAACCCCAAACCGTTTAGATTTAGACTAAAAACCCTCCGGTACGTGGCTGGCTGGGAAACCCTTGAACTACATGACTAAATGGAGAGTTCAAGGGGAAAATGATCTACAAATGGTGCATTGGCCGTTGTCATGTTTGATTTCCGGGAGGTAAATATGTAATTCCTATTCATTTGAAGTATTCTAAAACCTGGATTACTGCACCAGGGACTCGAATATGAACCATCTTTAAAGGTATGCTGGTTGTTGGCATAAGCGGCATAAGTCATGTCAGTCAAAGGCCTGGAATTTGGATGACCCATGCACCGACTATGTTGTTTGCCCACACATCGCTTTCTAACCAACTGTTTGCCCAATGTAGGCCGCTGATCTCTCAATTCATGGAGCGCAAAATCAACGCGCAAATATGGACTCAACCAGTAGGTCAGGATATTGTTTGTCTGTCTGAATAACCAACCCTGAATGATGCAATCAAAATTAAATGAACGGGTTACAAGCACAGTTGCAAACGGGGCGCATCCCACTTAGATGCACTTGTAGTATATAATTGGGCAATAACATGATATAAGCCACATATTGTAATGGATGCACATTCAAGTACTGCATCGTACTGTAGCGTTTGTCCAATTTAACACAGTCAAGAAACATTACCATCGCGCATTTTCATCAAGAAAATCATCTTGCAGGGACTTGGAAGTGCAGTCCCAGTTATAAGTGGATATATAACTTTTATAGGTATATAATGGCTTATTTATATCCCAACTGATGGGGTTGAGAAAAAATGGCTCAACCTAATAGGAAACCTCAACTGCACCCCCAAGGGCCCCAAGGCGCCAAGATTCGTTGAGGCAAAAATCACACGCTTCACTTTGGCGCGTTCAGCCTGTGAAACGCCAAAGATTCGACGGGCATTCGACGGGCAAAGAACTGGTTGGTAGTTTAGAGTCACCAATCCCAATGAGACAAGTGGTATTTATATGGGTATGTCTGAAAATGGGGTATACCCCCAATTATAGCCATTTAGTAGGGATAATGATCAGCAAAACCATTGGGTGTAGGGGTACCCTATTTTCAGACAAACCCATATAGTAATCCCACTTGTTGAATGAAGATGAAACACATGTGTACAGCTACCAAGCAGTTTTTGTCTGTATACTGTATACGTAATATATTCGCAATATTAAGAATTAAAACCGCCAACCTTAGAAGTGTTTCATTTCTCTCTGGTCCTCAAAAACACAAACGAGTAGTTGTGGTAAGTATCGTGACGGTTGAGTCCAGAGTGAAGGGGATGTACAAGGCACTAACACCTAAGAATGACGAGTAATGGACAGGGCAAGTTGTTGCCAACATCTTCAGTCACTGATAGTTAGGGTTTTGAAAAATCGCACAACGGACCCTCAAACTAATGTGTAAAAAACATACCTGTTAAGGTAACCCCCAGGAGGTCATACCAAGTATTCTATAAAGATACAACGGTTAGACCTGACCTTTTTTAATCAATGTATTTTAAATAAAATCATTTTTTTATAATCCCCAAGGCAAATATTTCTTCTATAAAATCTATTTTTGGGGCAACAAAATGATGCACAACTCATCCGTAACTCAACTCTTGGGCTTCTGTTGAGCCACCGGATGCCGCAATCCGGTGGACCAATCTGTGAAGATCAAAACTGCGAAATGAGGCAGGTGATGGGCACAAAGTTTATACATGAATATATATATATATATGTATATATATATATAATTATTATATATATATATGTATATCTTTATATACATATGACGGCCATGAACCTCCCTGGGAAATCTAGGGGTTTCAGAATTTGTTTAGGCCAATTGAACATTCCATCCATGCTACACATGACTAATGACCGTTAAAAAAAAAATGACCGTAAAAAAATTGGAGATTGTGTTCATTTTCTGCTGCAACAGGATACCTTGTGATTCCTTGTGAAACTATCTTATACTTCTTTGGTATTGGCGTTGGATAGTTTTTGGTTGCAAAGGGGCCAGCATGGGCAAACTTTTATGAAAGATTGTGGGACACCAGTATGTAGAGATATGCAGAGAAATTCAGAGATGTGTGTGAATATATCTCGATACATGTGGATACCAAGAAAAATTGGGGTTTGAGGTGGGAGGCTTGGGCAAGGTGGTGTTCAGGCTTGATTGTGGAATTTGTCAGAATGCGGATCTACAAAATGGTGGCGGGTGACCCCATCAGGGTGCAAGGAAATTGGGGTCTTCAAGCCATGGCAATGGCAGGCATGGAGCAACATGTGGCTCTATAAAATGGTGGGGGGTGACCCCGTGAAGGTACCGTAAAACTGTTCACTTTTGTGAAATCCAGCGCAGAGCACATGAAAAAGGCACTGTTAGGATCCGTTAGGTATTTCATGGTATTTCACATGCCTCCAGCAGAACCTAAGAAACTGTTCAAGACCAACAAGATCTAGCAAACCTGAGCAAGCATTTGCACGCATGGCTACTATTACTATATACTGATTTCAGTGTTGCAAAGTTGTACATCTACTTGGTCAGTTGCGGCTACAAATGGATACAGCTACAACTGTCCATTTGTTTGGTACACATAGAGGTCTAGAGTCTATAGGTATATTTTTTCTTTTTAATCACCGACTGCGACACAACTGAATTTCAATTGCAAAACACACGTGTCAAAGAAGTAATATTCAATTATTTCAGACGCAAATATCTTTGGAAGGTTATCCACTCTTAATCTCCACATTTTAAACTATAGTTTGCAAGGAAGTCAAATTTATAGACAGATATCTTTGGAAGGCTGTCCACTCTTAAGTAACCCATTTTAAACTATGGTTTTAGAGGACGTCAAAAACATGCATTCTATAGACAGGTATTTTGGATGGTTGTCAACTTTAGGTCTTACATTCTTCAAAACATCAGTGTCAAGGAGTCACAATCAGGCATTTTATAGACAGAAATCCAGTGAATTCTTGGAACATCAAATCTCCATAAAGTCTACAAATATGACACCCCCCCCGAGGATCAGGATAAAAGCAGTTTTCGTTATAAAATCAGGGCATGACCCCCCACTTTACGGGTTGTATAAAACGTTTTATACCTAGCCATGACCCTCAGCATTTTATACCAGGATATGTTACAGTAACAGGTATCAAAAAAGTCTATCAATAATCTCGAACAAACAACAGCCTCACGTAGCCTTTCCATACCTTTGCATGCAACACCCCCGAAGGAAAAAACGAAGAACAGTCCATCAATCTGAACCAAGTCAGGCAGAATGCAACACGTCATTTGCCCGAAGAGAAGTGCTCTCAGGTGTTAGGACTCATAGAATCCACACTTTGATTCAGTGGACATAGGTTAGCATGTGGTTTGATCACCACAAGCACTCAAGCACTTCTTCCAAAACGTCAAGACAATCTGCGGAAGCACTGCCACAACCTGGTTCAATCACAGACCATACCTCTCAAACACCCTGAGAAGACATGAAAAGACATCTGCAATCCTTCGATGAATCTTTGCGTGCATGTCCACCAGCAAGGCTAGAGCTTGAACCGGACGACCAAAATATCAAGAACAGTCCATCAATCTGAACCAAGTCAGGCAGAATGCAACACGTCATTTGCCCGAAGAGAAGTGCTCTCAGGTGTTAGGACTCATAGAATCCACACTTTGATTCAGTGGACATAGGTTAGCATGTGGTTTGATCATCACAAGCACTCAAGCACTTCTTCCAAAACGTCAAGACAATCTGCGGCAGCACTGCCACAGCCTGGTTCAATCACAGACCATATCTCTCAAACACCCTGAGAAGACATGAAAAGACATCTGCAACCCTCCGATGGATCTTTGCGTGCATGTCCATGCACCAGCGCGGCTATCTATACGTATATATAACTAGAAAAGGACAACATCAAAACAGTCCATCAATCTGAACCAAGTCAGGCAGAATGCAACACGTCATTTGCCCGAAG